TCGGCGAAGGAAGCAGCAGCAAAGTTTGTGGATCGTATGCTCTTACACGCGTACGCAGCATCCGCAAATCTTGGACCAGACCTCGCAAACGTGAGGGAATGGAAGTATGAAGACATAATCACATTACCCGCCGAGGAGTCGGAAGCCTGGATGCAGGCTTGTCGTGATGAGATCGAAGCTCTCGTCCGACGGGGTGTCTTCACGGAAGTTGACCTACCGCCCGGTCGTAGGGTGATTAGGTGTCGATGGGTATTCGACATAAAAACAGATGGCCGCCGAAAGGCACGCCTGGTCGCTAAGGGTTTTTCCCAGCGCGAAGGCATCGACTTCTCCGAAGTCTTCTCCCCAGTAGTGCGCTTCGAAACCGTTCGCACCATACTGGCACTCGCAGCGCTCAAAGGCTGGTACGTCTCTGGCCTCGATGTGCGGAACGCCTATCTTTATGGCGATCTGGATGAGGAGATTTATATGGAGGTGCCGAAGGGGTTTCACACCCCCAACAACTTGCGCAAGGTTTGGCGCTTGCACAAGGCTCTATACGGGTTGAAGCAAGCTGGCCGCCAATGGTGGCAGGCTCTTCGCAAATCCCTAAAGGAGCTGGGCTTCGAACAAATCCAGTCTGATGCTGGTGTCTACAAGTTCAAGCATCGCACTACCAACATGGTCATTGCGGTGATCTACGTTGACGACGCTTTGTTCTTTGGGCCGGATCGTGAGGTTTTAATCCGCGTGAAGGCTGCGTTCATGAAACGCTGGGAATGTCGGGATCTTGGTGATACCAAAGAATTCCTGCGCATGCGACTGACCAGGCCCAACTTGACGACTATTCGTCTTGACCAATCGGATTACCTGCGAAAAGTCCTTGTGCGCTTTGGTTACCACAACGCGCGCTCAGCGCCTACGCCACTCCCTACGGGGTACACGGCAATACCAAATCCAGACCCGGTAAACCCAGTGCGCCGACAGGAATACCAAGAACTGATCGGGTCCCTCATCTATTTGATGATTGGGACGAGGCCTGATATAGCCTTCGCAGTAACACATTTGTCACGGCATGCCGCCAACCCTTCAGAGGACCACCTGAACAGAGCAAAGTACATACTGCGCTATTTAGTAGGGACACAAGATTACTACATCGAGTACAACGGGACTCTGCGGAAAGGCTTCGTCGCCTTTGCCGACGCCGATTGGGCTGGTGATTCCACCGCCAAGTCGACGACCGGCCATGTCTTCATGATGGCAAACGGACCAATATCTTGGTCCTCATATCTCCAGAAATCCGTGGCTCTGTCTACGGTTGAAGCCGAGTACATGTCCATCTCGGACTGTTCTTGCCAGGCCAAATGGTTCGCTCAAATGATGGGCGAACTTGAGTGTCTGCAGGTCGGTGCTATTCCGATCGTGGGCGATAACCAGGGAGCCCTGCATAACATTGCGAACCCTGTAACTGAGAAGCGGAGTAAACACATCAACATCCGTTATCATTACGTCCGGGAACTATACGAGGATGGTGTCATAGACCTCTTTTGGATCCCGGGCACCGAAAATCCAGCGGACTTGTTTACCAAAAACTTGCCGTTGGTTAAATTTGTCAAGTACTGTCGTGAGATATCTCTCTTCTTCCGGTCGCCATTGCTCAAGCAGTAAAGCGAATACGATTCGAGGGGGGGTGTCAGATTTACGTCTAGTATTCGACCCTTTACGGCTTTATTGGTTCATCCAGAAGCCTCCTGTACGGCGATGTTCCTCCTAGAGGTCTACAAGTAAACATCGCCTTCATACGTCTATTCAGGCGCTTAGTATCCTACTGGTAACTTAAGCGCTTACGCACTCGTGTGGCTCCGCGTTCATCGCATAGGGCCACGTTCTGCTTACGTAGCCGTCCTGCATTACCGTGGGACTTGGACTGCATAGTAGTTACGAATACGGTAGTGACTTCACACGCTCCTGTCATATATATACAGTCGCTACCATGAATATCATCTAAGTCTTCTCTCTACACCGAACGACTACTATCGTCAGCTATAAGCCTAACCGCTATCACTCAACCTTCAACAACTAACTGCCCGGTGAGTTCGCGCTTTCATAGACTCCATCAGCTATACTCGCGTCGATACTTTGTCACTGGACGTGCGTGGTATTGCACAAGTCCGCCAGTATTCGACTGTAGGTCCATCATCAGCTCCACGCTCATACGGCAGTACTCATCATAATAAAAACGCTTTCTCTCCGCCTTTTTTCCACCCATCCTTCACCCATCAGGCGTCCACTAATCCGGGTCCTTCCTTCATTCTCAACGAACTTCTCTCTTCGATCCCTTTCTTTGAACTCGTCCACACCTCAACCGCACCTCTTTCAACTCCTTCAACGTATCTAGGAAGTCTCGCCACCCGGGTACTCGCGTACACTCGCTCACTAGCTTGTAGGTGATGTCATCCAACCTCAGTAATCAGTTCGCTAATCTTACACTTCTAAACCAGTACTCTGTCCCGCCCGCAAACGTCGCTTTCAACGAATGCCCGCGGAGCGCCCTAAGCGAACTGCACGCGCAGCAGCGAGCCTGAGCGCCGACAAAACCAAGTGCCTGTACTGCCCAAAGCTCTTCGATGCGAAGGCTAAGGGAGCTAGGGCCACTCATCTCACCGCATGTAAACGACGTCACGAGGGGAAGGAAGGGGACGAGGTATACGAAAAGCGGCGCATAAAGAGCGAACGAAAAGGTGCGTCGCTGGCGTTGATCTTTTCTGCGTTCAGATTTACAAGGCTGCTCGTATTCCTAGCAAAAAAACAAGCACATCGTGATCTGTCAACAATCGCTGAGGCAGCCTCTTCATTTCGCGGGCCCACCCTCGATCAGTCTTTGGACACAGGTGAGTTATATTGTGTAATATAACGAAGCCTCGCTCTTATTCTAATCCACGAAAAAGTACCGGATCCGTTCGCTCAGTACATGGAGATCGCAATAACGGAACCAGACTTCAAGATTCTCGACGATCCGCCCTTCGATGACCAGCCTCTCGACAACCATCCCATTCAGACTACGGACGATCGCTATTCAGACGACCTGCGGTCGCGTAAGCATTTTGTTACCTCTCGAATATCTATGGCGCTATACTAACACTCGTCTAGGCTCGGATTCAATCTCGAGCTCGAATGCAGGTTCGTCGATGGCTCACTCTGGACGCGTGTCCCCGCCCCCCATGTCGGTGAACTTTTCGTCGACTCGATCACACGGTAACCCTACGGAGTTCAAGACTGAGTACCAGCCAAAGGGTCGACGGGCCGAGACGACTCAGTACGACTCCTACGACACCTTCCGCTCCCGGTCGTATATACCCGACGTTAAAGAAGACGTCAAACCCTGGTTCCCTTTTCGATCTCGAGGCGATAGCGAGTTCGCTTCGATCGCCGTGGACGCCAATCTCTCTGACTCACTCGTTAATCGACTCTTATCCCTCATGACAGATCTAGTCAACAAGAAGAAGGACATTACCCTGACTAATTCTCGGGACCTTCGGAAGGTTTGTGATGAGGCAGCGAAGGAGTTTGCTCCTGTAAGTTTTGTCAACGCTGCATTACTGTAAAACAACATGTATGTATTAGCTATGTAATAGTTTCAGGAATATCCTATCAACCTCGAACACAAGAACGACGAAATCGAGCTCAATTTTATGGGCCGCGATCTCTGGGATTGGAGCCTCGACTTGCTGCATAATGAGCAGCTCGCTCCCCACTTCGTGTGGGATGCACAACGCGTATATAAGCATAACGGAAAACCGGGGCCCGAAAGCGAATACGTCAGGTTCATCGACGAACCTTGGACCGCCGATCGATGGTGGAACGTACAGGTGAGCTCGTTTGCTGCACTCTAGCGAAGACTGCCTAATACAATATTGTGAGCAGGACTCACTGCCACAACACTCGGACGCTCCATCAGTACCTCTCGCGTACGTTTTCTATGCTGACAAAACACGACTATCTAGCGCCGGAAACGTGCAAGGTTATCCGATCGTTGCCAGGTGTGCCAACCTTCCCGCTGACATTCGAAACGGACGAGGTGTCGGAGGCGGACGAGTTGTGGGGTGGTTACCACTGGTGAGTTTCCTTACTTATGTTACACTCGTGCGGGACATTGACAGAGGCCATACTTGGGCGATCAGCTTCCAGGGGATGCTGAGAAGGAGGGCACTCTAAGCTACACAACGCTGAAGCGTGTAGTGTGGCACAAGTCGGTAGCCAAAATGTTCGAGGGTGCTAAACATTACTCGCATACCGGTTATTATTTCACGGACTGTTTCGACGGGGTGCCTCGGTGGCTTTTTCTGGTTATCCTCATTCTATCTGCCGATTATGAGGAACAGTACGTCGAACAGGTTCCACTGGTTTCTTTGTTTCATTTCTGACATTTCTGACATTATAGATGTGTCATGGCTCTTATCCGAGGAGCAATGGGCAACTTTCCCTGCCCTATCTGTTTGGTGCCATCTGAGCGCCAAAGCAGGTGGTCGGAGGACTATCCTCGGCGCTCTGCTGAGTTCGCCCAGTCTCTCTATACTGACTTCAAGTCCGGCGACCGGTCCAAGAAGAAAGCGGCCAAGGAACAACTCGAGAAAGAGAGCTGGAGGCCGGTCGAGGTGTGTGGTTGACTGTTCTCTGTAGACTCATTTGACCAATGTTATCACATCAGAACGCGTTTTGGCTTCTTCGAAGCTCAGATCCAGCTGAGGCTGTGTCAGTTGACCACCTCCACGCATTCCATCATGGTTTATATGGCAAGCACATTCAGCCAGAGCTGATCAAGATCCTCAAGAGCTTCGACAGAAGCCGCGAGTATCTTGGGAAGCTAGATAGACAGTAAGTTGTTCATATTTTCATTAAGATGTCCGGTTGAACATCGCGGTTGCAGGTTTTCCGAGCTTCCGAGCTGGCGTGGCCTCGCTCATTTCAGCGGGGTCAGTACCGTTTCCTTCAGTGATGGGAACAAATTCAGAGATATCTCTCGAGTAAGTCGTCATTATTAGTCTCTCGTCTTTAATAGCTAATGCAGCGCTGTAGCAAATGCTATTCGCTGCTCACAATATAATCAAACCGGCGCAATCTCCTGAGTTCCATACTTTACTTTGCTTACTGAGTAGCTACCTCGAAATAGACTCCTACTTCGGACTGGATGTTCAGACAGACGAGACGCTGGAAGCTCTCGATAAGGAGGTCGAGCGCTACGGAAAGCGGTTAGATGTGAGTAAATTCTAGTATCGAGACTGAATGCTCATAAACTGTCGTGTATTTTACAGGTGTATATTGATGCTGCAAAGGAAGCGAGGTTTCGAATTGAAGACTTGAAGATCAATTGGGACTTCCCGAAAAACCACGCCGTTCTTAAGCACGCAGTCGAGGACCTCCGCCAGAAGGGCGTCAGTCGCAATTCTACAACTAGGATCAACGAAGGCGTGCATCCACCCTTCAAGAGATCATATCTTCTCCGGTGTAGCGGTAAGAAAGTCGAAAAGCAGGTACGCAGTTTCTGACTATGCCTTTCGGAGAGACTAATATTAATATCATTTAAAAGATACTCAGAGTCGAGGATCATCGTCTCGCTGTTTCTATCATCGAGGATCGAATCCAGGCTCAGGAAAGGAGACTAAAGGCTCGCCTGTCAGTCTCTGACCATCACGACGACTGGCTTGGTCCAGAATTCGAAGGCCACTTCTACTTTGGCTCGCCAACGACTCCTCAAACGGTCAAAGAACTCGTCAGCTCATATCGCTCCTCGGATCGAGCGTTCATCAATTTCCGCAAGTCTCTCAAGACGTTCATCAACGAAGTCTGCCTCCCGCATCGTGATTATATCGGGCCGCCTGTCAAGGTTCGCGACGGATTCATTGTATGTCTATTCGTATTCATAGCGTGAGCATTTGTAATAATTATCCATCAATTTATTCCATAGGTTCAAGAGTTCCGCTATATGAAGATAAACTACGAGTCAGTAGAAACCTGGAAGATGTGCACGGATCTCCTCCGGTGCACTCCCAGCTTCTACGATAAACCACGGTATGACTGCGCGATCGTTCACCTCGACGCAGATCCCGACGCCTTCGGGATTGTTCGGTTGATTTTCCCTTTCAAATTCACCATCCCTGAACTCGGCGCAAACTGCACGCCTTTCCAGGCTGTACTCGTACAGCCATACACCGGCGTAGTGGACTCAGAGAAAGGCCCTCGCACTCGCCGAACGGATACCGATCTTGGATTCCTGCGAGTCAAAGCTCAACCCCGATCCGAAGCCTTTGTTATCCCCGCTGACTCCATCATTCGAGGTGCCCTCCTGTTCCCCGACTTTCGTCGACCCGACGAGTTCCTTGTCAATGACTATATTGACGGGGACATGTTCCTTCGAATGAAGGATCTCAAGTGGGCAGGGCTACAATAAGATGAACTTTTGGTGCATTTACTATTTGTATCGGTGTTTCTTCTTTAGACACTCTAACGCATCTATTCTATGTAGGTAAGTTTCGTATTTCTCTACTGAACAAAAGCGTCGTAATGACACGTTGCAAACAGACGTCCCCGCTGTGGTTTTCTAGTCTAAATCTCCAATGTAAGTCTGCTGATTTTTTTATCGATCGTAGATTGATGGTTGTTCCTTCTTCAAGTCCTATTATTATTCGTCAGGTCGCCCTCCTCATCTACGTTTCGAAGAACCACTCACAACACCGACACGATTTTTTCTACGCCTCACTTTCGATCGGACGCCGATCACCTCGGGCACCCCCACAGCCCCCATCTTCATGGAGTCCCCTTTCGCTTACAACACTCTCTCCGCCCTTGACCACGTCCAACACCCACACGATCTCATTATGCTGTACATATGGTCTGTCAGCAGTCCACTCGCAGAGCTAGTATTCCGATCTTATTAATCCCTTACGTCATATTTGCAGCCTGTCTTCCTCGTGCCCTCGTCCGTGGACTTCAACTCGCTCAATCTCGCCTGGCGCCTGACGAGTACTCGTCCTCGAGGAACTTTACACCACCGAACTGCCACGCCGTCAGCTCCTGGAACAAGAATCAGTGCATCCGCAGCGTCAACGAGGCTCTGATGCTCGGCATCATGGAGCAGCCTCGTGCTGTTGCTGCCACAGCATTTCGGCGTGTATAGTCCCTCCCTGATACGATCAGTAAGTCTTTCAGAATCCCCAAAAGGTTGCCTCGACGTTAGTGAGTGATTCCTATTCTTATTCTATCCAGAGGCCCAATGGGAGATCACGCAGGACTGTAGATCACACTCGCATCGCGTTCTAACTTATTACTCAAGTTGCCTCTTGCGTACAGGTTGATCTGCCGTTACACGCGTACTTCGAGAGGATCCGGCCCTGACTCTACTACCACACCGCAGACCAATATATTCCACCGCGGTTCTATCTCACGTTGAGACCCACGGCGAAACCGCGAGCATCAAGGGCGTCCGATCACGAGGTGAGCATCTTCCTGTAATATGCCTTGAGGTTTTGGCCCCTTCGTTGCTGACTTTCATGCTCCAGATATGCGCGTTGGATCTCTGCTCCCACCAGGGAGCATATTGGGAGGTGAAAACGTAAGTGGTGCATGCTCAATTCCTTATCACTCAAGATCTACTCACTCTGATTCGCTGTGCGCACAGGTCTAGCAAAGAGATCGATTATACACGAGGCGGCATGGCAGTGACCATGCAGCCTTCTTTCCCCTTGCATGATTCCTTCGTGCGGCCTTGCAGTGTCCATGCTGCAACCGGCCTGCGTTACTCACACAGGCTGTCGCCGAGTACTTCTATGGTACGTCGAACGGCTCCTGCTCCCTATTCCCTTTACCGTCATGTCCGACCCCGCAGGCGAGGATTACCGCGACGCGATGCGCGACATCGAGTCAAGCACTTCCGACGAGGATAAATCCGACGAGGACGAAGCCAACGGCGACGGCGATGCCGCTGACAACAGGGCCCAGGAAACGACGGATGAAACCTTGGCGCAGGCTCGAGTCATGGCCACGGATGCTGACAACGCAACCGTGCCTCAATTACGCTCGGTACGTTCTCTCGTCGCGTTCCATCTCACTGACTCACTGTTTCAGGGCTTGAAATTCGCGCAAGCTCAATGCACTAAGTCTCATTCGACAATCTTGGAGCTCCGCCGTCGCATCCAGGAGCTAGAGGAGGAGCTCGCCCAGGCCACGTCAAAGAGGAAGCCTACGACTATCGAATCCAAGGTCATCGAAGTCGGTCGCCAGTTCGTCTATCTATTTCGCCTCATCCCCCCCAACTATTTGTTCCCGCTTCGTGGTGTCGAGCCTCTCGATCCTCGTCATCCATCACGGTTCAAGGACATCGAAAAACGCCGCCGCTGTCTAGTCACCGAGTTCGTCAAGTTCCTGTCGCCCGAACTACGCAAGGCTGTCGCCAACTACCCGAATTTCCAGGAAAAGGTACGTATATTAACAGTGTTCATTCCTTCACTTTGTTTATTCTAATTTATGCTCTTAGTTTCTTCAAGGCGCGAGGTCTGAAATCGGCATCTTCGTCAACTCCGTCAAGTCTCAGTGCCCGCATATTTATGCCGGGCTCAACATCGGCAGCCTTGGGCTCTCGACTGCGGAGAACCTCCCGAAGGATCCCGTCGTTAAGTGGCTTCTCGAGGACCCGTTTGCATCCGACGACTCGGAGGAACGCGCCAGCAATGAGGGTGACAAGGAGGAGGAGGAGGAGGAGGAGGTAGATGCCGTCCCCACCTTTCCGAGGATCCTTTTCCAGGATCCCAGCCTTCCTGACGGTGAAGAGCTCTTTAGGGCGACCGCTTTAATCAATGTGAGTTTTTTTTAAACTTGTTAATGCTATTCTAACTTCATATGTCAGGCGGCTAAAGCTGCTCTATTCGGACCGTCTTCGTTGAACGGTCGCGGCGGCTCTGGCGGTCCGAGACCGCGCGCGGTGAGGTGGAGCATGAAGGGGGTCACGCCTGGTCTCATTTGTGCCTTAGCAATTTTAGTACGTATAATTCTAACTACTTGTCGACCCGCTAGCTAACCCGATCTCTAGGTAATCCACCGACTTACTATGGACAACGACTTCAATTCCACGGGCAAAGTCACGCACGTCAACTGGGATGCTCGATTCGACGAGTACCTCGCTGTATTGAACAGAAACCTCGAATGGACCGACAAGTTGCTAGCGTATTGGGACGCGATCCTTTTCCCCAAATCCGGATCTACGAAGAAGGCCGGTCGTGCAGCGCCTCGTGATCCAATCGATCGCGCCAACTCTCTTTTCGACAAGCTCCAGGCCCGTACCATGTCAGCCGAGCCCGAACCTTCCGGTGCCCCGGCCAACTCGGACTCTGCATCCGCTGCTCTCAAGATTCAGCAGCAGATCGGTCAGTTGTCTATTACGGACTCGACCGCGCCGGTCGACACTGCGCCGGCGGTTTCTAGCGCTCGCGCTCGATCGGTTCGTGCATCGCCCGTTCCGTCCACCTCGCTCGCGCAGCAGCCTTCGAGCTCCGCCTCGGCGGCATCCCTTGAGATCATCCCTGCAGATGTACCAACTCAGGCTGACGTTCTCGCCACGAAACCCGCCCGCAGGACCCGCCAAACGGCCCGGTCGACCCAGGATGGGGATCAGGAGTCATCTAGCAAGGCGAAGCGCAGCGCCGGCGGTGCTAAACGCAACAAGGCTACCTAGAAGTACTCGAATTCATCATATACTAGCTCTATAGCTCGTGTATACTTAGTAATATACTTAGTATACAACTTCTATTCATTCTCGTGACTACCCTTTTTCTATATGTGAGATTGAGTGATGGTACGCGCCTCTGTGTTTAGTGCAACATCACAAAAAGCGATTGATTAGATTTGAAAGACTGCTATTATAATAGTCCCGCATAAATCAGTATATAGGGAACCGAGTATCTTTAGTGTTAAGAGCCATCATGGCCTAGCGGGAACTATGCTAGTGAGTACTTTCACCTTTATTATTCTTAGAGTGCAAGTGTTCGAATCCGGGCTACGCCAACTAATAATGATTAATAAGTAATAATTCTACAACCGTATAACAAATTGTGAAGGCAGCGTGTGTAAGTAACGTAAGTAAACATAAGTAAGAAACGTAAGTAAGGGATCAGCAATAAGTAGTAACAAAACCAATAGAACGGTAGTAATAAAACTTGAAGTCGCTTAGTAGCCGTCCGACGGACAGTTAACCATTTTGGGATGCTTCTCCGATCATTATGATCCCTTTGTAATGAGGCGTTCCTGGCGCGCCCGCACGCGCATGGCCATGTGATTCTGATCGATCACAATGCATCTCCATGGCGTCATCCTGTGCCCCATTGCGATGACATCTCTATGCCATCGCTATGATTGGCCCGGCTCATTGACATGATTCCCCTTGCCGATGGAAAAGCTTTGTGATCGTAAGTGCCTTTCATTTTAATGCAATTAAATGCCAGACAGCATTGGAATGGTTCCCAAAGGTTAGCGATGCTCGTGAGAAAGTTCCGACATAATGTTGCAGGTCTGAACTGCTCAAGTGAATTTCACCAGTTTAGCGAGCACGATCAAAACGCTTTGTGATTTGGCACCAGAATACCGAGACAGTAGACTCGAGTGGGATCGTGACGTTGGAGGGCGTTCAGCTACGGTAACGTCCGTTCGGGTAATGCGTCGCGTAGAGGCGCAGATTGAGCACCATCTCCCCTTTATGTCCTCCCAACATGAGTGTGCTCGCCCCTGCTGATCCGGAAAGTTCGCTCTGCTTGAAGGCCTACACTGGCATGTCCACCTGGCTCAGCGTAACAGATAAGCGAAGGAAAGATAGGGGCATTTCCCAAAACGAGTAGAAGCTTCCGCTCCGAGGGCCGAGGTTTCCTTATGAAGGTACCCCTAGACCTTCGCTATCAGGTCGACGAGAAGCACTGACTAACGCGTGTGTGCGGGCTCCAGATATCGTTGTCTTTTTCTCCCTTTATCTCTTCTCCATCCTCTCCCTCGATCATCAAAGCCTAAACTTTCCAGCCAACGAAGGCGACGAGCACGATGGAAGTCGTCAAATTCGTATCCTTCTCGTCGATCGTGCACCCTGGGTTCTGGCATGAGCTCACCCGGGTAAAGATCGACGTGCTCAAGCTCTCGGATGATACATTGACCATCGGCGGATCGTACGCTCCGGGTAGATCAATCAAAGATAGGGAGACAGGCGGGGAGATCGCGATGCCGTGTAACTTTGCACTGGGCGAAGATGCATTCAAGGAAGTTCAGTGAGTGCTCTTTCAACTGGCTTTCTTCGTGGCGCGGTGTAGCTGTTGAGGAATGCAAGCATCCAACTTGTGTAAGGTGGGTGGCTGACTAACGCGTGCCGCATAGGACAGCAAACTTTGCGATTCCTGTACAGGGCGAGTTCAAGAACTACAATACGATTGAGGATTTCAAAGCCGCAAAGAAGAAGGAGCTGCTCAACAACTTGAGCAACAAGGTGCGCTCCGCTTGTGTTCATATCTTCGTGCCCAAGACTTATGCAGCCTTCTGTTCACCGTCACCTATCTCGTACTCTCCCCTCTTTGTACGCATAGATATGGGACAGCGTCACGAAGGACAAGGACACGTCCATGCTGACACGCTTCTCCCTGATCACGTTCGCGGATCTGAAGAAGTATAGGTACCATTACTGGTTCGCGTTCCCTGCATTCCCGGCCGAGCCTTCGTGGCAGATCGCTCAAGGAGGATGGAAGGCCGCGAGCGAGGAGTCGAGCGCAAAGCAGGTGGGTACCTGCGCACATTCTGCCTGTTTGAATGGCTGAAGAATGTAATCGCTGAAAGCTTTCGACTATCCATACACGCTTAAGCGCGAAGCCAAGCGCGTTCTTCCTCATCAGGCCGGCTGGTGACGATGTTGAAATGGACATGGTCGAGAATTATCAAAGCTTCTTTGCAAATGTTGCGCCTGAGCAGGTATTTCAACACCCTTCACTTTATCATTTCTATCACCAGTTTCAGTACACTCATGTGGAACCGCCTTAGCGAACGATCGGTTTCGTCGATCCCTCCGCACAACCTCAAAATCCAGGATGGCCACTACGCAACCTGCTCTCATACCTGCACGTACACTACCCCACCGACTCGAGCGCCGTGCGTGTTCTCTGTTGGCGTGACTCGGATGTCCCGTCGGCTGCCTCTAGTGGTGGCTGGAAGAGTCGCTTCGGTGTCGTGTCGCTCCCTGCTGGTGCGACAATCGCCGGGCCGACCAAGGCTGTTGGGTGGGAGAAGGCGCCTGCGAGGGGCAAAGACGGTGGGGTCGAGGAGAAGTTGATCCCGAGAATGGCAGATCTGGCGCCTATGATGGACCCGACGAGGTACGCCATTCGCGTCTCGTGATGTCCAAAGCTTAGTACTAACTCTTGTTGGTAGGCTCGCGGACCAAGCAGTCGATCTCAACCTTAAGCTCATGCGATGGCGCATCATGCCCTCCCTCGACCTCGACAAGGTCGCGTCGACGCGGTGCCTGCTGCTGGGCGCCGGCACGCTTGGGTGCTACGTCGCGCGCACGCTGATGGGGTGGGGCGTGCGCACTATCACCTTTGTCGACTCTGCGCGTGTATCGTTCTCCAACCCCGTGCGGCAACCCCTGTTCGAGTTCGCGGACTGTCTCGAGGGAGGGAAGCCGAAGGCTGAGTGTGCTGCCAATGCGCTGAAGAAGATCTTCCCGGGGATGAACACACGGGGGATCGAGCTGTCGATTCCTATGCCTGGGCATCCGATCGAGGGTGGGAAGGACGGGAAGCTTGCGCAGAAGGCCAAGAAGGATGTGGAGGAGCTGGAAAAGCTGTTTGATGAGCATGATGCGGTGTTTTTGCTGATGGATTCGAGGGAGAGTCGGTGGTTGCCCACCGTTCTCGGTGCTTCAAAGGGGAAAGTAAGTTCACGCCTCTCGACAGGGTTTCTTCATCCTTCCTAGGAGAGCGCTCACGAATGTTTTTGCGGCCTCTATTAGATCGTAATGAATGCTGCACTTGGCTTCGACACGTACCTCGTGATGCGCCACGGTGCACGGGCGTCGACTAGCAAGGGCCAACGCCTGGGGTGCTACTACTGCAACGACATTGTCGCACCTGCCGATGTAAACACAATCTGTCGGTTCATGGCAAACCTCGGAAAAGGCTGACACAACCCACAGTCCCTGACAGACCGCACGCTCGACCAGATGTGCACCGTCACGCGCCCAGGTCTCGCACCTATCGCAGCTTCGAGCGCCGTCGAGCTCCTCGTCTCCCTCTTGCAACATCCCGAAGGCCTCCACGCCCCGCCGCCACCGCCCGAGTCATCCAAATCTCAGAATTCTGAAGACGGAGCGAACGAAAGCGTGCTCGGGCTGGTCCCGCATCAGCTGCGCGGGTTTCTCGCGCAGTTCCGGACGATGCCGATTACGGGCGCGGCGTACGACCGATGTACGGGGTGCAGTGAGGCCGTGCTCAAGGCGTATGAGGAGAGGGGGTTTGATATGATGCTTGAGGCGTTCAATGAGACTGGGTATCTTGAGAGGCTGACGGGGCTGGATAAGCTGCATAGCGAGGGGGATGCGGCGTTTGAGGCGGTGGATTGGGATGAGGAAGATGAGGAGGGGGATATGTGAGTGAGTGTTAAGATTGTGTCCGTTAGAGGGGAAGCGTGGAGCTGATACATCCGTTTTTGTGCAGCGAAGATAATGAAGCCATGAAGAACCGTGCTACGGCAAGTAACTCTATCGAGGATCATGCTGAGGAGAACGATGGCACTAAGCGTACAATCGTTCGGAAAATGTGTTTTATATGCGCTCTTGCTTTTTGCCATTGCTATCTGTTATATCGGTTTCACTTATTTTCATCCAGTATGCGAGGGTTTCTCCCAATGTATTACTAGTGTACATATATACCCGTTACCTTGGATTTGCTTGACGTGAGTCACGACTCTATCGTAGCGAAGCAGCGATGTTGCAATGACGGAAATAAATATTTTAATGATATAAAAATGAGAAATAAAACATACATCCTCACGAATAGTGACGTTTGCACAAGCTTGCTGGTAAGGTTGACCTGACCTACTGAGGTTTAGAAAGTGCATGTGTGAAAACCAATACATATGAGCGGGAATAAAATTCAAGAAAGCGAGTCTGGGCTCGGCCCATGTAAACATGAATCAGGATTAGCCAGTGATATAGAGGAGTTGGTTCAGGAAGATATGCGCGATATATTACTCCGTGAGCGAACATGATACCAAGCATGGTACAGGAGACCAGCTATGCCGGCAAGCTAGGGCTTGGACCCGAGTCTTGGCTCTCCACTTGTCGTGGGGCGCTCGCGAATGCTACGGTCATCAGTTCACTTGATCTGGTTGTCTCAGCTTCCATCTCCTTCCAGTACCTCATGCGCAGGCCGAGGATCAACCATGGTCCCGCCATAGCTGATATAAAGGTCTGCGTTACATTATATATTACGGGAAAAATGAGTGACTAGGGGACCGGTGTTGGAGTCAGTACTTTAATAACCGTATTAAGCGTAATTCTCACATTTGAAAGTAAGGGAACTTGGTCTATGGTGGAGAAAATAGCCGTTACGAGCGCGCTAGATGTCCGATACCATATGGTGATCAATAATGAAAAACAAAGTCTTGGTGGTGTGCACTCACATGAAAAAGTAAGCGAAGTTGTCACGAAGGATGATCCATGCAAGACTAGTTGTTCTTTGTCCCTGTAATCTCCAAGCAGGAAGGTGTTTGGAAGCGTAACCCAGTGCAAATGCACACAGAACGACTTCAAACGCCAGGACAGCAGTATTAGACGCAGTGACTGCCCACATTCGATTTTTAGCGAAATTCAAGTTGAGAGCGCAAGAGTTGGTGACAAGCACTTTTACTAACAACAATATTGATTTCGTGAATCATTTACTAATGACGTGGTGGATCAGCCAACGCACCCCAGTATCTCTCACTAGGGACCACAAAGAGGAGACAGCAAATAATGTTTATGACCTGGGTGACGATGAAGCATGGTCCGAGAACAAATAAGATCGACCTCGGTTTTCCAAAGAGTATGTACACCCGAAGACACAGCATCCCTATATCAGGAATGTGACAAACGTGCATCAACGTTGTACATAGAAAAATATCGAACACACCCTGAAGCAGCGAAATTGTGGTTAATATTGATCCTTCTGTAATCACATCCAGGTAGAAGCCTGCATAAATTCAAGCTGTAGTAGCTCCTCGGAGTTATTGAACTTCTATTCTTACACCTAGAGATAGGGTGAAAAACAATTGGATATTAGAGCATATTACTGACATCTATATATTCTCGTTTAATATTTCTGACTTTCCGCGCGATTCCAGATTATCATTGCATGATGCACTCACCTTTGCCGATACCAGTGCCAGACCAATGCTTGCAACTGCCGAAGACATCAAGCACTTGCTATGAATAAATCTCAAGTGCTCACCCATACTAGAACTAACACCAGAATTGAATGAGGTTATTCAAGAACAGTCAGCACTGGTCCGTGCTCACGCTGCGTGCATCAACCCAATATACCGCATCTAAAAATGTGCGATTACAACGCCCGTTATTGATCACAACGCGTCTAAAATGGTGTGGTGTACCAACCGTTCCATAAAGCAAAGTTGACCATGTGAACTTTTTACCCTGAGGACGCGTCATCAACATGCTGCAGTCACCAGTGGGGCAAAAGTAATCGTACCCATATAAAGTCGAACTAATTCAGGTCAGCCAGACATTCAACATATGAACGTCGCAGGGTGTTTTGCACACCTCGGACCCAAGCTTCAGCACTGTGAAGTAAAGATCAAGTTGTCGCCCCCAACTGAAATACTTCACGCACAATAATCATATATAGCGAATGTCAAAACACCAGCTGTTTGAATGATTTATCAGCCTCGTAGTGGCCAATCGTGGATTCCAGAGTTCAAGGACACACCGCCTATGAAATTCATTTTCTGAAAATAGCTTGTTGCAGGATTTCTTGTTCCAGTGCGGAAGTCATGAACGTTCGAATTTGGAGAAGGGGATCAAGGCTGGCGAATCCAGGATGGTGCCTTTAATAGATCAGTCAATGCATAGCTTCCCATGAGTCACGAGTGTACTCCTTGATGCGGCTATATCAACAGCGATGATGAAGTACGGTTATAGAACAAACCGCCTCTTTTTCACTTAGACCATTACCAGAAGTCCAAATTCGTTCGCGCTAGCAGGGCCTTAATCACGAGCTGCCTGTGCTTCATTGATTGTGACTATGCTAATCACGGCTCTTGCCTTTACGCAGTAAAGCCAGATACAGCATCTACACCGCGGATTTTCTTCGAGGTCCCACAAATTATTCAATAGTCGAGCACTCATCTACTGGTTCATATGTAGAAAACTCAGCTACAGGACAATCGGGCCCGCGTCTCACCTCTCACCGCTTGCTTGCTCCGACTACGATGACTCCATGTATACGCAAGGAGAGTCGAGTGAAATTTACGGTATGAGTGTATTATAAACGGATGTGAGTCGTCAAGCAACATAGTAATATAAACACGGGGATACCGAACATGTTCTTACTCGTTGATCTAAGCATGAGTGTTCATTGATCACTGAGTACATGAACCCGCTCTGAACAGAGACGAGACACATGCTCCTACATCATACTAGAAGTCTAACCTCCATCGCGTTTTTTTGTTGCCAGCAATCCCTCAGCCTCCCCCCCTTTAAAGGCCTTTCAGCTCCTCACACACTCAAAACCTAGCCTTGTTCTTAGACCTTTTTCAAAAAGCCATAGTTAATCAGGCAAATTGCAGATTAGCGAGGGAGGAGAGTGAGTATATCGGGTAACAGACGTTGTAACCGTTGTATCAGTTGCGACAGCCCAGTGCAAGGCAGCCAGACGTGCCTTATTCTTTGTCGTTTTCGAGTGGGATTTTACCAGGGCAAAGATCAAAGTTAGGTGGTTTGATGAACATTCCGACGATGAAACAGAAGATGACCTACAGACCAACGCTACGGCACCCATTGCAGAGGCATGGCTGTGGAGCGCGGCGAGGAAGATGAAAGAGGTGGTGAATTTTACATATTGGATGAGAACGAGAGGGCGAGTTGACCGAATATTCGAGGCAACCGCACAGGCGTGAAGAGCGTACATAAATACGACCCAAATTCATCCGTATCCCGATAATATCTACCTCTGCGATATCAATTTCTTTCGTTTCTCATGACGCCCCAGCCCCTCGCATACCACTATCCGGTACTCGTCCGGGCCTGCTATTTACTCACATACTGAACGGCGCCGAGAAAGCTCGAAGCCTAAGTTTGGACACCATAACCGACCCAATGTTACAGTATCGACGGAAACCTCCCCACATAGCGCCCAAACGATATAACTGTGTATCCATTCAGCGGTTGATGGGTGAACTTGCTAAGTTACCGCAACATCAGCTATGGGTCAGCGGGTACTGACTGATGCTTGGGGTCGTTGGCCACCACCGTGACGGATCCAGAAACATCTGACAGTGAATATGAGTGTATTCGGGTGTAAAAGGTGCTATTATTGAGAATCATAAGCTCGAATTTGAAGCCAAGCTTTGTCGATGCCGTATTCCCGCTACCGGAGGTAGTGGGTCTTGGATTAACTTCATGTTACCGAGTCGACCGCTAAAATCTGGCATTTGCGCCAATCACGTGATAATTCTTACTCCGACTAGATTCCGCACTTGTTGCCTGCCATAATCAGAAATACGGAGAAACGAGAAGTCCGGCGCCAGCCGGTCGCGCGCGAGTCCGGCGGGTACGCACGCGGTTATGGGGTCTCCCAAGGAATCAACTGCATGTGACTGCCGCGCGTCGCGCCCTAGCATACCCCTGTAGCATATCCCCGCAGCTACTGTTATCCACCACCTCTATTATAACACTATGTTCATTGGAGATATCCTCCATCGCAATCCTATACTCGAAACTATTGATTTCAACAAGATCCTACATTTCATCCAACTCGCCAGCGAGCTACGATTCGACATCGCCAACGTCGAAGACGGCAGGGTCAACACCGAGGCAGACATCGCGCCTCGATATATGCCAATTGTTCAGCAAGGGTTCATCGCACGTACCGTCGGTATTCGACTACAGCTGATCCCCGTTCTATGGCGGGCATTCAAGGACTTCATTTGGACGAAGCGAAGACCAGCTGAGGAGCAGCAGCAGCTGCTACAAGACTTTGAGGATGGAGGCTGGAGTATTGGCATAAGTGAGCATCCTTACCCTTTATCTATGCTTTGACTGTAACTTTATGCCTCATAGCGATGCATGTACTCGCACCTCCCAGTCGGAAGTGCACAAACGTTCACTGCGAGCGCAAGAATCTCGAGATGCGTGCCCAAGATAAGCAGGTGCGCGACGCCGTCGTCTTTACTAGAGACCATGGCCCTCAAGCAGCCAAGGCTATCCTTCTCACATGTCCAGGTATTCTTTCGAGTCATCGTCATTGCATACAGCTAAACGCAGTACATTACAGCCTGCAAAACATGCTACAGGGACAACTACTGCGTCCATAGCAAGTCAGACACGCGTACCTACTACTTCGACCTTCCCGAGTTCATTCAAGTAGGAGATCATCATTTCGTCGAGACATCAATGGCCAAGGATTGGACCGATAGCATGGTCGTCAGCCAGTACGTATTCCGCTTCGGTTCTGTCTTCTCTACTGAAGGCACGAGCAGTACATCTGCGACAAATCTTGCTACTGTGTATGAGCTATCACGCACTCGAGACCTCGACCTTTACTATTCCCGCCCACGAATATCGCACCGCGACGCACGTCTACCTTACAGCGGTATACTCACCTCCGAACAAGTGTGGCACACCTTTGTTATTCTTGCTCTCCTTCGCAGCCACCGGGTCCGCCGTGTCCCGCTTTCAGTCCCTCACGATGGCAGCCAGCGAGCGCGATTCGAAGACGCGATGAAGCAGCAGAACGAACGCGTTATCAAGCACGGCCAACCCGAGATTACCCACTACTGCGACGCGTGCATGCGCATTTTTGCTAGAGTTAATGAGGATGGTGAACGCGACTTCTGTAAGTTCTAATCATATAGATACTCCCAGCTCAACTTCTGACTCCACTGTAGATAAAACTCAGGTCGTCGTCGCAGATGGCTTGACGATTGGCCATCCCTGTTGCAAGGAGTTTCGCTGTCCCGACCCACTTCAGCACGCTCACGACCACTTTTGCGAGCAGCACTACGGATTGCACAACATATGCTATGTTACCAACTGCAAGCGGTCGTGCACGCCCACCGCAACAACGTCAAAAACCTGTCAGTTAGAGGAACATCAAGAGATGGAACGCCAGAGCCGCGAGCGAACCACGGCAATGTTCGCACTTAGTCGCAGGCGCGAGGCCCAAAAGAAACTCGCTCGAACTGCAGACTCGACCGCCCCCACTGCTGCCGACTTCGAGTTTGACGACGCCGAGGAGTGGTTTGAGGTCGACGGTGCTGGACAGCTCTCCCAGCACATTGATAGCCACCCGGTAAACATTGGCGTCTCTGACGAGGTTGCTTCGCAGGATCAGCGGGCATGTCCGGGCAAGACCCCTCGTGCTCGCAAAATTCTACTATCCCGGCGTCGTACCGCCTGCGAGGTCACTTTTGTCAGGCCATGTGGTGTCATTGTCGGACGGGGCACCATGTTCGGTGCAGAAGCTGTATCTAATGTTCTTGTATGTCCTCTAATCTCTCTATCGCATCTAGCTAATATTCTCATTATTCCAGGACATGGGGGAAGTCTTGTTCTCCGTCCCTGGCGCTCAGAAACCGGAGCATTTTATATACGACACCGCATGTGACGCCCACCGACAAGCTAGGAACCGCGAGAGCGATTTCTGGAAGTCTGTCGGGATGTGCGTCGACGTTTGGCACCTCAAGAACAAGCACAAGACCACTCATACGTACTGTCGCGACCACTGCAACCCGGCCGATTATCCTGAGCTCAAGACGGCCGACGGAAAAGGGTGGTATTTTAACACGTCCATCGCAGAGCAGGTGAACGTCTGGCTGGGCGGGTACCAGGCCATCGTGCGGGAGATGCTCCCCACGAAGTATAACTTTTTTCTAGATGAGATGGTTCGCCTCAGAAATATTAACACGCTTGAGTCTCTCAAGCGTAAGCATCTCGTCCCTACTTACTATCCTGTCGGATCATAACGCTTTGTACTCATGTTTTTTTATCTTGTCCTTGTCCACTCTGTATTGATATGTCACATAATACATTGTCAAACTCATTGTCAAACTGGTTTATGAGAGTGAAACATCGCCCGAGACAAAACAAAATACAGAGAAATGTACATGATTAGGTATCTAGTTAATGTCATCACCGTCAACATCCACTACCTCTGAGTCTGGTGCACGCAGCCTGACCGCATGCGTCACGAAGTCCCATAGGCCAAGCGGTGTGCGGCCGTTGTCCAGCATATTGTCACGGTAAGCTTGCGGGACCTTCTGCCAGCGCTTCTTAGCGTCACTGAAGGTTTGCTTGACATAGCGAGCGCCGTAGATGGCTTCGAAGCGGGCGCGGGCGGTCATCCAGGCGAATCAAAGATCCTTCATCTGCTCGAAACCGTCAATAATGTCGACGGCGGGCCAGCCGTTGGGCCACGGCTTAGTCGAGCGCCCTCCTCCAGAAATCATGCTCTGAGGCTCCGGGAGCCGTCTGGGCATAGCGCGCTCGACCGCCTGCATAGACAAGGCAGGGGTGTCGTCATCAGAAAGCACAAGCGTCGGGGATACAGTGCCAAAGTCCGTCCGCTTGGAATAGCCATTCTGCACAGCAATATCGGCGAGGAGTTTATGGATGCACACCGGCGAGGGCGACCGAGGGAGCGAGGGCGTTGATGTGAGCGAACCTGAGTCAGAGCTCGAAGAAAGCTGGCTGGAGCTCGAAGAAATCTGGCTGGATGGTGAAAGAGTGTCCAGTTTGCGCCGTTTGCCGGGCGCGTTGTCAGGAACAGAGAACATCGATCCACTGGATGATGATGACAATGAGGATGGCCACGCTGGCGAGACGGTGCGCTTTGCCTGCTTTGCATCTTGGCGACGAAGCTCCCGCTGCCGAGGCAGGTTCGTATTGGCGTTCCCCGGCAAGGTGTTCAGTCTTTCGTCGAGGATATCATCGAAGTCCTTGCAGGTGGTGACACCTGCACGGCGCAAGAATAGGAAGCCGTTCGACTTCACCATGAACCGGTGGCGGAGACTGCACCCCTTCCAGGTGCCAGATACGAGGTCGTAGTATTCGATCCCTGGGATATCTTCCCCCGCGAGTTTATTCAGCGCCGCCAAGACAGAGGGACGAGGAAGGTCCTCGTGCACAGAGAAGAGAGGGAAGAAGGGCACCTCAGAGTGCTCGTCGGCCGAATCCTGCAATGTACGGAGTATGCACTGAGCTTCCTAGAGTTTGAGTCATAAGTAACCGATTAAAAAAAAGGGAAAATAGAAGGATACGAACCTGGAGCCAGAAGTACATGTCGAATGCTCGTTTGCCAGCCTGCGTGCGCGAAAAGTATTCCTTCTCATCACACCTGTATTTGACATGTCCGTCATGCGAGTACTCCCACTTCCGTCGCCAGAGCTTGTTGAGATGGTCTGTATGGCGAGGAGCGTCAGGGTGTTCATCCGGGACCGCAATGTCCACGACGAGACTGCGCAAGGGAGTAGGGGTGGGCTCTGGTAGAGGATCGTTGAGGAAAGAATAGTCGTCCTCCCGGGCTTCGTCTTGAGGCGCTGCAGCAAGCAGCCGAGCCACGTCGTCCGATCCAGCGTCTAGTGCAGTAAATGGTACATAGGGCTGGGATGCAGCCGTGGTCGTGCGTTTACATGTAAGTTTGATGGAATCTACCAGAGAAGCTTTGCCAAAAACGGTGGATCACACTGATTCGCGAAAGACGTGGATCCCTTAGGATCCGTCTCACAGGCAAAAAATTGGATCTTCTTCGTGGGATTTCCGGCACATTGGGCGGCGTCACGGCGCTGGGTTTGAATGGTTGAACATGGTAAGTGTATTAAATCAGCATTTCTTCATCAAATGTAATACATGGCTAGTATTCGCGATTGGATAAGAGCGCGCCACTTCTTATGGCAATCGTTTAGCACAACTAGAACTCGATCCCGCCTCACATATACGCAAGCACTCAATGCGCCGCCGTCAACGCGTTGACGCTCCCGCGTTTCCTTTCTTCCCTTCCCTTCTCTTCACCTGTCCGTACATTCCACCCAAATCCCACCTCGCACTTATCTTAGGTATGCTGTCATTATACTGGCCTAAGTGAATGCTAATGTCAGGATCATGTCCAGTATGTCTGAGGAACGCTCTCGCGCTTCGCCGTTGCGCACGGCTGCCGCTGAAGGTGACGCCGATGCCGAGGAAGGACCAGAGTCGGATGAGCCCGCTGCCACCCTCGCAAACGCCCAAACTACAGCAGATCAAACCCGCGCCTCGTCCAAAGCCCCTTCGAAGGAGGCTCCAGTCACCAAAAATCCTGAGGACCCCGAGTATTTCGTCGAGAAACTCCAGCGGCACTGGGCCCAAGGCGAAATCAAGCTTCTCCTTGAGGGTCATCTCGATGGCTTTCGCAAGGCTCGCCAGCAGAGTAACACTCGCACTCGCGACTACCTCGCTCGTGTCGTGAACGAGTACTTCGCCCTTGTTCCTTGGAGGAACAAAGTGTCCGACCCCGTTCCAGCCAAGGATGACCCCATCAGATCTCGCCCTCCGGAAACGCTGAGCGACATTGAAACGTTGCAGAAGGCGCGCAAGTTGACAGCTATGGAAAGTGTGAGTCCGTCCATTCATGCAACGTGCAGCCTTGTATTTTCACTGAGCGTCTACTAACTTTTTATTCGTTGACAGTCTATTGAACGATGGCTTAAAGCCCGCGTCGACGCCTCAAGGATTGCTGGGCGGCCCGGCAACAAGGAGAATGACGTCTGGACTCGCATCGCCAAGCAACTCGCCGGCATCTCTCCTTCTAAACCCAAAAAACTCTCTGCCGTTCAGCGCTGGTCCAAAGATCACTACGAAAAAGACGTCAAGTCGGACTTTGAGGCGCGGTGGGCTACCGAAAAACACCGACTTGGCACCAAGAATCACGCCCAGTTTCGAGAGACTGTCACCAGCGAGCATTTCAAAAATCTCTCGAAGGCCAAGCAGGACGACTGGGCGAAGAAGGCCTCAGACGATCACGATCAGGAGCTCGCGGAGTGGAAGGCTGCGCTCGAAGCGCCAACGGACACATCCCCCGAAGGGCGACAAAAGTGAGTTCTTCATATGTTGTCATTTCTGTGCTCCGATTCTCACATCCATAAGGGCTATCGACTCCGTGACGGACTTCTCTGGTCCTTTTCTCGAGGCTATCGCAGATGCAACCGGATGGACGGGTGCGCTGATTCTAGGAGGACCCGAGCCACGGCGAGCAGGGCGATTGAATGTCATAACGTGAGTAGATTTGCTTCGATGTGTTACTTGCCATCACGGTGTTTTAAACACGAGTTTGAACCATCTAGAACGCACATGGGGAAGAATTTGGCGGACAAGCCCTTGAATTGGCAGGCGTGGGACGAAAACAAGTGGAAGGTCGTCAATAAGTTATTTTTGACGTTTTTGGAGACATGCTACAGTAAGTTTTCTGTTACTACACTAGACCGTATCTGAGGCAATATTTCAGCAAAAGAAATGAAAGATCTCTGCGCGCTCTCGGATTCGAAAGATATCAAGGTCACGCCAGAGATGCTGGATGCCCTCCTGACCTTACCCGACAACTCCAACAAACGCGACCAGCAGGCCGATCCTGGGTCGTCGAAGCCCCCGCCTGCAAACGTCTCTCATCCCCGCGATGCGCCTTCGAAGGATGCACAGACCACGTCGTCGAAGGGAAGCCATGACGCGTCATCGAAAGAAAAACGTGACAAGTCTTCAAAGGGAAAACGCAACACGTCGTCAAAGGGAAGACGTGACGCGTCGTCGAAGGGCGAACATGACGCATCGTCGAAGGGCGAAAGCAATGTACCTTCGAAGAGAAAACGCGAGGCGAAGGGGAAGCGCAAGGCTTCGTCCTGCACTTCAGACGAGGATTCGCAGACGGCCCAGACTTCGGATACCGACAGCGATGCACCACCTGTTCAGAAACTGTACAATACACGCGGTCGCTCAAGTTTGATGGTACCCAACGCTGCACCAGCCTCTCGCATTGAAAACGGTATTTTATTGATGTCTCGCTTCTATGTTTTCTTACTAACAGAGTACCTTTCATGTCAACAGCACGCGCCGCCGAAAGCGCAGAGAGGCAAGTCCCTACATTTGTCGTCCCTTCTCATAACTCATGGTTTATGACGCCACCTTTGACATCTTTCAGCGGAGTTCTGGCACAAACGTAAGTCATCGATGTTCAGAGAACATTCTGGCAATTTCCCCTTCCAATTCCCCCGGCTCATTGATCTGGTCAGCGCCGGCGATTCTAGCACCAACGTAACGTCCCCCACTCTCGCCCCGTAAGTCCTGTCCACTGCTACTTTTGTCTAAAATCCATATCGGTGCTCATCAAAATCACCATCAGAATCGGGCACGAAACGGCTCCGCCCGTCGGTGGAACTCAAGGTACGTGTTCCAACCCATTTTCCCTTGTTGGCCGCTGCTCATGGGGCTTCTCCTCGGTTCTACAACGTTCCAGATGCGCGGGATGGTGTGGATGGCGCCATCTCCACTAACCTATCCAATGTGCACTTACTCGAGGGCGCGCCAAAGTGGGCTGCGAACGCGTTTCAATACCTTCGATCCCCCGACTCGCTATCCCTTGCGGACCGCAAACTCGTTGGGAAGGGCAGGAAGGACGAAATCACCGATCGCCAAGGCTGGAGCCTTCCGACGGCATACGCAGGTCTACTGGAGCAGTACCTGTTCCTGGAGAAGTCGTCTGGCTTCCTGGCCTCAGCAGGAGCTGCTGGCCTCCTTGACTCGCACGGGCGACCGTGGCAGATTCCTTGGTGGATCAGCCGTGCGCGTGCTATGGGTGTTCGCCCCGAAGTTAAGGACATCGAGGAGCTTGCAACCACGTGGTGGGGGTGGTGGGCCACCCTTCAGCCGTCTTGGCGCCAGATCGAGGCGCCCTTTGGGCCTGGAGCACCCTCTCTTCCCCGCCAGGATGACGGAGAGTGGTGTTCCCTCGATAAGCCAGGGCCAAACGGATTACTTTCCGTTATCGTTGCCCTTAAATGGTGGGGTTCCGAGACCGCGGCGGCGGCGGCGGATCCACGCTGGACGGCAGCTGTAGAAGATGTTCAGTGGGTCATGAGGTGCATCACTCGCTCGCGCAATCAGTAAGTCTTTATCCCGAGCTCAAGTTTAATTGTCCGAACTTATTGTCTATCTCTCGCAGAAGCAAACGCCCATCCGAGAACGCAGGAGAGATAAAGGTCGTAAAACGTTCCCGTCGTAGATAGTCATTCAGAATATGCATCCCCTTGTACTAGCGTGTCATGGCTTATTGGAATGCCAGCAATTCTTGATCGTACTTGACGTTAGCCTTCACAATAAATCAGAAGCTATTCAGCTCCTATTGTTAGTTCTCCCACGGCGAACAAATGAGTCAAGACAAGGGCTAACTTTGCTAGGAACTTTGCGTGGTCCCCGGCAACCGCGGGAGTAAAATCAATCATATTCTATTTGAGTGTCTGGCAACTGTTCGGTCTATTAGTGGAGATTCTCAGTGGCGTAGCCAATTCGAATTAACTTGTCCGAGCTCTCCGAGCGCACGTGGACATTCACTTGGAAGGTATGGACTATCATTTCGCATCATGTTCCGGGTTTCATGCATTGGCACGCCATCAATTGAGACAAGACTGTTTTTGTTTTCAGTGTTACAAGATAGTACAAGATAGTAGCAATTCGTACAGTAAAACTACAGGGGTTCATCCTGCCAAAGGAAAAGCTTGCGCTCCCAGACTTCATACATCTCAACAGGGCCGCGCCGTAATCGTGCGGCAACGTCCTCTGCAATAGCAATGTGCCTCGTCAACGTGCGACCAACCGCGTCGCAGCGTCGATAGAGCTTACAGTTGCTGCCGACAAGCTGACGAAGGGAGTCTTGTACACGATGAATCGCTTCATGCAGAGTCAAGAGGTACACCGACCTCTCCGTGACAATGGAAAGATCGCCATCCGGTGTCTCTTCGTTGGTTTTCGACCCATCGAACTCACTAATCAGCCTGAGTCCCCAGCCCTGAGGAGTCCTGTTGATGTACCTCAGTGCGAGGTCGTTGACGAAGTCAATGGCATCCTTGCAGCCGTCAACGGACCATCTACGAGGTCGAAGTTTAGTACATCATCACAAGTGAGATAAACACAACGTACATCGCGAAGTCATTACCGAGCACGTCGTCAGGGTCGTCGACGTACGACGCGATCAAAGAAACTTGCTCGCCGACGTATACAACGGGATGCAAGGGATTGCCGTGACGACGTGTCGCATCCCGGCCTTCGCGGCGCGCAATTAAATTTGACCTTGTCCTATCAAGCTCGTTAGTAGATACTTAGTGGAAGCACGATGGGACATACGCGGAATATGTATCTAGTCGAAGACGCAGCTTCAACCGTTCGCGATCTTTTTGCGGCATGGCAGTGAGATCTTCGACGGTCGGCTCGGAGGTGTGCCAAGGCGAGTCCGCAGAGAGCTCCAAAGGCTCCATGAGACGTGTGTGGGACTGCATAATGTGAGTGAGGACCAGGCGAGCTGGGGCGCCTGCGGAGTGGCCTGATAATATATACGTGCATGAGGTAACTTGAAAAGGAACCAAGGTTACTCACTTCGAATTATGCTCTGATCTTGTGTGCCGAATTTCGCTGGATACACTCGGCTGCATCCACACTGATGGACGATACATAAAATTGGGTGGAAGTCGTCAACAGACAGAGAATAGGATGTCAATGCCAAGATGGTTTTATTGTAGATACAGCTGGCTACAACAATGTTATTACAGTTCCCGGGTTTGGTACAAAAGCTGACCTCGATCGCGCATGTCTGCGAGGCCGAGTGCTCCCTCGAAAGACATGATACCATATATCTCTGTGATGGCTCGGACAACCTCAACTAATCTATAGATTTGAGTTTGGATACCAGTGCTCTCGGCCATCGAAGCGGCCTGAGACCTAGTTTCGCGCGCCGAATCCATTATAATGTCTACCCCTGAATGGAAGTCAGACGTCTCGTCCCGGAGACGATTTCTTCTGGCGTCAGATCGTGAGTTAATGAACGCGAGGCTTAGTTCATCTAAGCGGCCTCTGATATCGCCGCCGAAGAGCGCAAGAAGCCGACTGCTGATCTCACCGGGGCTAGATAGGACAGAGGGTTCCATTGTGGGGCTAAGGTTGGACTTATTGATTAGGTTCCGAGTCGACGTCGGCGTGGGGCTTGCCCGCGTGTACACGTCTGAAGCCGGATAAGTGTTGGAAGGCCTGACTGGGCTAGGGCTTGGGCTAGATGGCCAAAGAGGACTGGTCATCATGATGGCGCTGGGACGACGGGTGACGCAGGGCGATGCCGGTGGGGAGCGAGGAAAGTTGGCCTGAGTGGTGGCTGTCGGTGGATGTGGAGGACCTTCATTCGCATGCGCGGTGGAATATTCTTCAGAGTGAAAATGCATATGCTGTGGTCTATTCGATATCAGTATGGCTTGCTGCAATGTGTGAGGTATAGCGAGATGATCCTACCGTTCGTTTTCAAACGCTTGCACCTCACTTAACGATAACATTAGTCTCTCAGACACTTCACAAGAAGAAGGACCATGCGTACCTTTGATGCATTAACTCCTGCTCATACCTATGGAACACGTTAGCACCAACATTCGGCCACTGTAAAGGGGCGGGCCTTAACGTACAACGCGTCGGACATGGAGCGCCTGTCGCAGATGCTGAGCTGCTCATGACTAGCAACAGGCTCCTCGAGTGCATTCAAGTCCTGGCTATAAGCAAATCGAGCAGCAAGCTCAGGGTCACAGCAATCGTGCAGAGGGAAACCAAGTACAACTTACGTAGGTAGACCACGACCAGACTTGTACACTCGCTTGTTGCGTTTGATTCCGGCGGCACCTTTGTTGGGACCACTGAATCAAATCAGTGTGTGCACTGTCCAGAGAATGCGCCTTAATCTTACTGTGAACTGATGCGCCCAGCGTCACGCTTCACTCTGGCCTTCATATTGATATTCTGGCGATTTCTGCAAGCGTGAGATGCCAGCAGGAGTGGAATTGTTACATAGAAACATACTTCTCATAGTAGCTTGAATTCCATCGACGCTGTGCGTCCTTTTTCTCCTCGAGGGTGGCATATATCTTAGGGCGGCCCATGAGCAGTATCAAGAGAAAGAAAACACTGGCGCGAAGGAGATGAGCGGCGCAGAGAATATGAATGGCCGGCAATGGAGATATGTCGATAAAGGAGGGCGGCGGGGTATAGTTGAAAACGGGCAAAGACTAGCGACGAAGTGTGAATGAGAAGTGTGCGTCCAACCTGGGCCTGAGCGTTTGAACGTTGAACTGTAGGATTCGCGGACACGGTTTACTACTGTAATTACAGCCTTACATACTATTACTAAACCATAGCTCAGATAGGAGCCTATCATAGTTTTATACGAGTTTTACACATAGGCTAATCCATTCCGTAATTTACGGTGTCATGAATCGCATGTAGCATGTCCTCAAAGCCAGAGGCAATAAGTTTATAGACACAGAGGTCATCGCCCAGTTTTCTAGAGCGAAATGGCATGTCTTGCTCAATTGTATATGTGCACGCAACCTTTGGTGTTACAGCTTGCCAATGCGTCCGCCAATTGGACACTACAGCTTGTGTGAGTTTTACAGAACATCATCTAAGTACATCCCTCTGCTGTTCTTCACAGCGTTGAAGTCTTCTGCTCTTTAGTGTCGAATTTGAGCTCTTCAATCGCAGCAGCATGTGCGTAATGAGTACTACTAGCTCGTATGGTGTATGATCAATTCTCCCTTCACCAAAGTCCGTTGTCCATGAGCCGTGTTCATAATACACATGATCATGGTTGCCAGTCCAGTAAAATAACAATGGCAGAGCTATATATTCATTTCATCTGAGTCATTACCGTTACTGCAAATTGACTGCAAAGCACAAGACGCCGTTAAATATATGAAGTCACTACCAATGTTATTCACAAGGTCGATCATGAAGACGGAAGGAACATCCTATGTTTTTCCTTTGATATGTCTGAATCAGACATGTCCGAGGACACCGAGCTCGTTCTGAGATAAGGTTCAATTAAGCTGTACTTCTGATTTGTTCTTGACAATGATCCTCACAACGCCGCCGATAAGGGTCGAAGCAGCGCGCTCGCCGAAAACGATTTGCGTGGGAATCTACCTATTATTAGACTACGTCTCGGGCAACGCCAGAACCTGAACAGGACAGAATCGTTGTGCGTGCCGTTTCTAGATAATCGGTGTTCAAACGTTCACGTTCAACCCTCGCAGTGACTTCCAAGCGGCATCCTTTGATTCAGTCATTCAAATCTCTATGTTAGTTGACCGGCGCCTCAAGCCTGCACTCGTGACATGTTGCTGGGAAGATCCACCAGACGGTATAAGTTCGCTTGTGGGGTGCAGCAGGCTGAGTAGAACACCCCTTGGCAACATGACCTCCCTCGAGCAGCACACAGAATACGACCCTCATTGGACTGTTATTGGAGGTGTTAAAACAACACGGGTGCCTCTTTACAAACAGTGGTAAGTGATTCTTTTTTCGAGGCGCGTGGACTGACACTGACACTTGATGAAATAGCCCGTCAATGAAGATCGGTCGAGATAAGCCGCCCATTCCGATAGCTATTCAGTGTTCTTCGATCGCCGAGGCCAACTCAGTATACATGTCTCTTTCTGCTGTGATTGATCCTCTCAGGAGAACGCCGTCTTCGCAGAACCTCATAGCTGCTGTCTATCAGGCGCAGTCTGTGCTGATATTGCTCGGCAATCGTGTTCGATTCTACCCTGTCGTAGTCGGATCGCGAGTCGGTATATTCATTTCCGAGTAAGCCAGACCTTCTCTCGTACTTTCCAACGTGCCACTAACTCGTTTTTATTAGATCCGATGCAGTCCATTCGATGAGGGGTATGAAATACCCAATAGGAGCATCGACGTGCACGCTTCGTCAAGCGTTGGCGTACATGTTCGCGAAGGGCATTGAGGCCTTCATTCCCTCTGACGAGAACATTCTGGGAAACATTATTCCGTGTTCGTGTGTATTAGCTGTCCTTTGAGTCAGGTAGCTAACCTTTCGCGTCAGTGGACATTGGAGACACGGCGCAACAGCTCAACGCCCTTAGTATCGGCTCCGGCCCTCCATCCCGGAGTGACGTAGAGAATTCGCAGGACGGAGCGAGCTCCAGCGTGGAGCATCCTATGTCGCAACCGAGTAAGTACATTTGTTATTCAGTTGAGATAAGACCTGCTGAATTGGGAATAGGCTCGACTCAATCTTATGGAAGCTCAGACGGCGGTGACCTCGACGTTGAACGATTCTCGCCCTCTCCCAGAGAGAGCCTCGAATTACCCGATGACGATACCACTCCCCTCGTGTACACTCACATTCGTAACCTCCGTGGCATCACCGGGACGGCTAACCAACCACTACCGGACAGCAGGGTCGCTCGCGAGCTGCGTTCATCCCTTGGAAAGTATGCCAATTATTTCCTTCATTCGCAAGGGTTTGAGCTTCGCGCGATCAAGATCATCTGCCGCGAGTTCAGAGAGATGGTGGAGGCTAGCGCTGCGTCTGATGCACGTACCAGAGCACACGTCCCAGGCGAGGCGTCGGGGAGAAACAACGTAGATAAAGCCAACGTGTTTTCCATGCGCATGGCTAGGTATGGAATGCCTATTGCTGAAGGCCGATTCCTACACTACATGATCTCTCTCGGTGTCCCGGCTGCTAATTAAGGAAGCACATACTAGCCAATCCGTTTGATATATTAGCTTTTATACGTTCTTGAAGTCATGTAAAGTACAAGTTGATGAATGAACATGGCCATGTCTTGAGTGAACTTAAGTGAAATACTGTGCAAGCGTGCCAGCGGTACAAGCCTTCGTCTGCCATTCTCAAGACCCTATATATAATTTCAGGACTGGAACACGTCGCGTGCTCGTGAGCGTTAAGACAATGCATATTTATGGCAAGACTACATCATGGACTACATTGAGATAGAACTAGATATTATACGCGCAAGACTTGGCAGTGATACTCTGTGAATGGAAACGGTAGACATCGACAGTGCTCCACAAACTTTACAAAGGGGCCCTTCAACGAATCAGCCCAAAGCGACCGTGAATCAAGGCGTCCTCGAGCAGGTCATGGGCTTCGTCCACTGTATCGCAGGCGTGGGATTCAGCGCCGTTAACAGCGGCCCAGAGGGTGAAATTCTGCTTTCTCTAGCAAGAATCAGTCACAATTGATTGCAACGAGTAGAAAAAAAAAAAAAAAAAAAAAAAAAAAAAAATCACCCTGAGAACACGCCAATGGCGTGTCCATACGGCACCCAATAGAATGGTGCCGTGGACTTCGACGGCGGCGTGAAGTACGTCACCGAGGCGCGATTTGGCAATACTACCTCGCGCTTCGGGAGACGGGAGATCAGCCTACGCATTGTCGGGTTGACATTACGGTTGATGATCCCGTCACCGGGGATGACGCCCATAGGGCGACGGGCGGGGTTCATCGTGCCCAAGCGCGTCAGTTCGATGCCTTCGAGAGGACCCGCTGACGAGACGTCTCCAAGAGGCGTCTCCTCTAAAGGTACTGATAACCCACGGTGGGCTCGGCGAAACGAGGAGCCCGTGCGCCTCTGCTACAGAGAATATAAGTCAATGGAACCCAAGTGAGAGTCCATAAACTCACCGCTGCCTGGTACGTCTGCCTGACCTTAGCAGCTTCGAGCGCCCTGGCCACTTCCTCGGCCGCACAGCTGTGAAAGAACCTAAGGAAAACATGAAGTTAGCACAGTCGTAAAAGCAGCGGTAGTAAAGTCACGTACGTGGCGAAGGTATCGTCCTTGTAGATATCATTCACTTCATTGCTGACAGCGAGAGCGACGAGAGCCTGGAACTCCTTCCTCCATGCGGGAGTGAACAGGCCCTCGATGACCTTGTCGGAAAGAATATCGACTGGACCAAAATGTGAGCGAGATTGATACGATGAGTAATGGATATGACTCACCGCAGCACTCGGAAAGACACCCGACCCTGGCCTCGGTCACATCGCCGTTACCAACGATGTTCATGCCGAGATGCCCGCAATTGAAGTTGACGGTGAAGTCTTTCTCGAGCGTAGCGTTGATTACGGTGGTCTGGGACGACATGAAAGCGTGATTGGGTGTGGAGGACGGAGGAGGACTCTCCGAGCCATCTGACAGCGAAAGCGCCTCGGACTGGGCACGAGAACGAGGGAGATTGTTAACGTGAGCGAAAGACATGGTGGGCTGAGGGCGGTGCGCTGAAACACTTCATATTTTATGGGCTTGGACTTAGACGGACCTCGTCGGCTGAGTACGGAGAGGCTGTTCCCATTCAAGGTGGATGTTCCAGAAGTGTAGCCGCTGCGCTACAACTGGGTGCTCCGTGACAGGCGCCCGAGTTCCACGCGGTTGAATTGAACCATGCTTAAATCGAAGCATGGGAATGTAAGATCTCTGCAACCAAGGAGCAGCTAACATAGAAGTCTTACATGACGAAATACTCAACTTGCCCCGATCAATCGGATGGAAACAAACCGAACGGTTGAAAACGCGAAGGCGTTACGATTGCCATTTTGTGCCTATAGCTAACCAACGTGGAAGGTAAATTGCCTGAGGACTGGTAGAGCAAGACAAGTCAGTGTGCACTGTGCCAAACCACCGAGGGCAAGTAGAATTGTCGCTGCTCACCGTCATAGGGCGTGTTCCTCCATCTCGGACGCCCTCGCTCTTTCGTGATGCTCACCCCCCGAGGAAAGAAACGAGCACATCCGTCCGCCTATAATCATCTGTCAGACGACGATGGCAACGATGATGACCCCGACCTTTTGAACAGCTACTCACAGACAATTGACGTACCATCATCTCGTACAAGCCGATGGCTGAAAGCGTCTCAAACCGAGCGGCATGAGCCCACTAGCCAGCAGTTGGCGTCGGTCCATTATGAGGATCTGTTGGGAGACTGGCAAACCCCGTTAGAGAACCAATCGTCTCAGCTCGCCGAAGAAGATGATGAAGATGACGATGACGAGTCCTACAATGTACTTGAGCCGGCAGCGCGCGAGCATGTGGTTACAGAACCTAGCTCAAACAGACAGGGCTCATCTATTGGGGTATGCCTGTGTTCATCATTATTTGCACGGTGGTTTAATGTTTATAAATATACAGGACGCACCTCTCAGAGCCTGGGCAGGAGACGGGCAGCTGGAAGGTTACCGCCAAGAGTATCTGAATGAAGACATTAGGCTTGAAGGCCGCGGTCGCGCAGCAGACACCTGCTGTGACTGTAAGCGCGGACGTCCCCGAGTCTACCGCTGCGAGACTTGTTCCGGGCGTCATATGACCTGTAGAGAGTGCTGCTTATCAGCGCATTCAAACTTGCCTCTGCACTATATATCTGTAAGTTTCTCATCTTTAGTCAAATCGCGTACGAGCATCCTCACTGTATTTGATTAGGAATGGAATGGATCATTCTTCCAGAGGGTTTCTCTAACTTTCCTTGGGCTAAGAGTTCAGCTGGGTCACGAGGACGGCTCACGATGCGTGCTCCCTCACCCAGGTCATCCGGATTTCGTAGTGATACATGCCAACGGTCTCCATCGAATACAGATCGACTATTGTAGCTGCGACAGGAAGGTATCCTATCGACTGCAGCTTCTACGCTTTGGTTGGTACCCGTCTACTATCGACATCATTCGTACGGCGTCAACAGAGGAGGCCCTTGGACAGTTTTCAGCTCTCACCTCCAAGACTAAGGTATCCGCGTATGGATACTACGAAGCTCTGGAGGTTTTGACTGACTCAACAGGCTTGAATGTTCCCAAGGTGAATAAAAGTTGCGAATATTCTAAGTCTGCATTCTAATTTATATTGTAGCGTCGATACAAGGCTTTCCTTCGCACGGTCCGTCAGCGAGACCACATCAAGCTGATGAAAGAAGCGGGCCGTGGTAACGTGTTGGCTGGCGTTGATACCACTAAGCCAGGAGAGCTCGCGGTTGCGTGCCCGGCCTGTCCTCATCCCGGTATCAATCTTCCTTCCGGTTGGGAGGAAACCGACGCGTCTCGCAAGTATGTACTTCGTTATACGACACTTCAACGCAGTGGCTGATATTTTTCAGGTTTTTATATTGTCTTTTCCTTGCGATGGACGCCAATTTTCGACTGAAGAATCGCGACCGCGGGGAGTCTGCCACTGACGTTGAGCTCCACAACGGTCTAGCGTACTTCGTCAAAACGGGTCCATATATGGATTACATTCATCGTACCGAGGCCCAAAGAGACGTAGGTGCTGCTCTCTCACTTCATGTATTCAGAGCTCACTACTCTACTAATAGATTTCGACATGTTCGGGATTTCGCTCGCTCTCCAGCGCCGAGACAAAATTCTCCCACGGACTTCGAGCAACGGGCGTAGGGATGGTCATATGCGCTCGCCACGAGTTAATCCGTGCGTTAGGGGTCGGTGATTTACAGGCTGGCGAGCGGTTAGTCACGATGACAATACGCTTGCGCGCTCTGTTGACTCAGCATCCTAGATACCCTAATATGGACTACATCTTTTTCTCGACAATGGCAATTGTCTTCCTCCTCCTTGTCGTAATATCATACGACATCGCCTGTCAATGGAGGATCAATCTATTCAAGCGAATGGACTCACTACCTCTCGATATGCAGATGTCCGTAATGACGCTTGCCGACATCCTTATGTTTGGTATACCCAAGTTCCATGGGCCGGGTCACAACGAAAAGTGCGCTACGCAATATTCTCTTAACCTTATGTGGGGTGCAGGGCGCACAGATGGAGAGGGAATCGAACGACGGTGGGGGGACCTGGGCAGAGCGAGCACGATGACAAAGGAGATGTCACCAGGCGCTCGACATGATACGCTCGACATGCTTTTTTCTTTGCATAATCTATCGAAGTACTACATGCTGGGTGTATCTCTCCGAGCACGCCTGATCGTGGCGCTTGATCATCGGGCATTCCAGCGGAAAGCGCTCGCCGCCTTCAGCGCCTCTATCACTTCAGAAAATCGACAAGTCTGGACTGATATGGCATCGGCTTGGGAAAAGAACAAGGAGCAGCCAAACCCATACTTATACGCTCACAAGGGTAAGCCTGACGTCTACATTCACGTTTGCGTTGCACTCATACATTACCAGGTATTTCCGAGTCTGAAGTTCGTGCGAGGCTCGCTCAGAAAGAGAAAAACATACAAGTACACCCTCACGATATGCCGCCCAGCGTGGTTATAAAGCAGGCTTTAATTCTTGAAGATAAGCAGTATGTGATATCTAAACACGCGGGTTTCTATGCTAACGCCCGAAGCCAGGCGCCGCCTACGCGAAGACCTGTCGCGGCTCAAAGACCTGACGGCGGATGAGAGGTCACATGTCGATGCACGTCGCAGGGGTATCGGCCGCGACATCTCGAAGCTTCGAGATGTCCAAAAAGTTTATATGCCTGGCCTAGACGTCCTCGTCAGGTCCAAAGGCGGCGCCGATCTTGAGCGCGAGCCCGAAAGAACCAGCCTGTTCTTACCCTCAGCGTTAGACAATGAAGAACGAAAGATTTGTACTCACGATTTTGCGGAGACAGAGACCGACCTTCGCATTGTTCAATGCCACGCGACCCTCGACAGACTGCGCGCCTTGCTGCAGACAAGATATCATTTCACTTCTCATCGGAATATTAACACTCGAGGGCAACGGCCATCAACTCGAGTACGTACCTTGATCCAAGAATACACGCGCAAAATCGAGGCGTCAAAGTCGAAATACAATGAGGGGTTCGACGCCTTGTTGGTGCTCGATAAAGGGGGGAGTTGGCAAGACAGGCTCCGAAAACTCACCCAGGGCGATCTGCGAGCACTACAAGAGCCATTGATCGAGCCGACGACGCCTAGGCGAAGGGCAAACGACCTGCAAAGAGGATTAGGGGAGGGCTATCGGACGGTGTCGTGGATATGGACAGGCCGAACAAATACCGGTGATGATGATGAAGGTATGAAGAACTCACGTTGTTCATGCCTAGCTAACCTCTGTCCTCTTCAGATCTTCGCGTCGAGTGGTTGAAAGCGCGCGCGCGCACGAGCCGATGGGAAGAGGAGGTCGACTTATTGAAGGAAGAGATGCGTCGTGTACGCGCGTTCCTGGAGCACAAGGCGAGATGGTGGGAGAGCCGCGCGGTTATGATCTATCCAGGAGAGGAGTTGCACACGTCGGCGCCGGGTGGAGCGAGGATCGTCGCCATGGATGGCCCTGTGCCTGCGTGGATAATTTTGGAGCGCCAAACGATGGCGGAGGGCGTACGAGCTCACGCTCTCCGTCAAGCCCATCTGCAGCGCAGCTTGAGGGCGCACTTTACAGATCTGTGGGAGAAGAAGTGGTCAGTGGAGGAAGCCGTACCTTCGCTAGCCCTCGGTGGGCACCCAGATCTTGATTCGGGCGCTGAAGACGACGATGAAGGCGAGGAGGCAAGGGACGACGACGCTGGGGGCGACGTTTGGGACGGGGAGCCGATAGCTGAAGGGCCGGAAGCAGCCGGTAACACATAACTTGATTTGCTTACTAATAATGATAATGTGTTTAACCTGGAAAAGGTCGGAATAAGTCATGGAAAGAAAACCGCGGACCGGCGCCGCGTGGTTTCCGTATTGGGAATGAGGTTCCGACAGCCGACAGCAGTGGTAAGAACCTGTGATTTGGGTCAACATTTTCTTTTGGTGGGTGGGGCAAGATCCACACATTTTGGCAACCCGGATATGGAGCCTGCCGGAATATTACATGTAATCACACAGCCAGTGGTGTGGGATGGAGGCGGCGGAGGAGGTGGAGGGAGTGGAGTCATGTCCGTGCCCGACGCTGAGATATCTGGAGCTCGAGGCAAACCCTCGCCGGAGAGGCGAGAGCGCTGGCGGTCGGTGAGGTGCTCCGCTCGATGTTTTGCAAAGCTGCACCCCCCAGAGAGGATACAGTGATATTTACACATACGACGCTGGCAGCATCCCTTCGACGAGGTGACCCTGCCGCACTCGCTGCTGAACGCGCACTTGAAGGCGCCTGGTGCTGGCTGCGACTGAGGGAGAGGCTGTGTTGACGGTAGGGGCAGGGGAAGGGCTGGAGGCGGCTGCGACTGAGGCACAAGGAGAATAGGATTGTTGGCGGATGAGGACGACGGTGGAGGGAAAGAGGGGTGCTGTATGATAGGCTGAATCGGATAGGAATGAGTGGGGAGCACCCAGTCATGATGCAGGGGAGGTTCTGGCGCCTGAGCAGAGATTGAAGGCGGAAGGTCATCAAGATGAAGAGAGCTGGACGAGGAGAACGATGTTGACAAGGTAGGGTTCTGAAGCGGCGAGGATGAGGGTGTGCTCGGAACGGACTCGACTGGCCCGTCCCCAACCACTCCCAGCGGTTTGACCCCTTCAGGCCAGAAATACCAACTGGAGGCCCTCTTGCCGGGCTTGCCAGGCTTGGGAGGGTGACATCTATGAAAGCACTGAGTCGAGCATACGTTCGTGAGCAATCGAGCAGTATATACAAAGAATAAGGGCAAGGTCTACTCACGTTGACATACCACTGACCCTTATGCAGCCCCTTCTTTGCCTTCTTGGGTTTGAGCAGTGTACGCTGGCCCTGCGCCAAGCACACCAGACAGAATGTCTTACCGCCCTCCATCGTAGGGCCATGTGTGTGATGACCTGCCGCCGGCGGCATGGTGGTCTGGCTACAGGTGCTCTGAGGGTTCTGGCACATCTGGGTACTGTTGCACATGGTAGCACTGGATGCTGAGGTTTCGCGTTGAGAGTAGAAGAAAGGAGAGGGTGTCACGCAGAGATGGGAGAGGTAGGACGAGGATTTATTTAGGTTAAGATGTACTGTACAGTTACTGACTAGTATAGCATTGGAATTCTGGCATAGTGCGAGCAGGCGCGGCCAGGCGCGACGCGTCACGGGCTTTGATTTTCATGTTGGACCCCGGGTCCGCGCGCGACCCAGGCACCGGACGCCGGACCAACTCGGTCGCCGGACTTCTCGTTTCTCCATAGTCCTCGCCATAATAGGCTGATTATTGGAACTCCGATATCTTGTAGGTCGGGCTTCGCGGTTCTTTACTTACTTAAGCTTTACCTTCACGTCGCACATACCCATGATGGCTAGTCCTGACGAACACAGTCAGGCGAGCATTGGCTCAATTTGAAAATGTACCTATGCCTATCCATGTGAATTCTATAAGTCTCCATGTCCATGCGGACATTAGCACACCAGACTTGTATACTATGCCTGCTGAATGTGTGCAAGATGGTGATGGCCTGTTTCGGTGGGATCAAACAGTTTATACTCGTATTATTCCCCAAATTGACAGCACTACCTTGTAGTGATATATTGAATGATTATAGAGATCTTTTAGTTATGCAGCATAGCGTGCTTTTGGTTGATATGTCTGCAGCGAGAATTTTATTGGGCTTGCCTTTGGTTTTGACGGCATACTGAAATGACGGATGTCCATGTCATGGCTAGTCATCTGTTATCTGGACCTGCACAGACAAGTTCTGACGTGTGCCACTGGCAAATCGGACAGTTTCTCAAGGCATCTGTATTTTACAGCTAGCAAGAGGCCCAAGAACACCACCGGCTCGTTAAAGTAGAGTACTTGTCAATGTTACTTTAATAACACCAGCATGTAGCTGTATTAAATTCCGTTGCAACGGCGACTTTATTTGCACGGTAGCGGGCCATGCTGCGCACTGCGCGGCGCTACTCACTAATTGGAGCTGATTGGGAGCTATTCGAGGAAGAGTGCGACTCCAACGAGATAGGGGCATTTCATGGACGCGGTGCACGTGTGACTATGCAGTCACGTGCATATCGCGACGCGGTGGTTGGGTGGCGCTGCTTTGTTTGTCACTTTCCGCCTCATCGAACTCACCGTGGAGATGCCGCGCTCACCACCACCGCCCTCGTCGTCATCGTCAGTGACAATCAGCACACTCCTCAACACTCTTCACACCCACCTCAATGCACAGACTCAACATCTCCCCACCCTCCACGCGCAACTTGGCCTCCCACTCACCGCCCTCGAAGACGAGCTGAACGCCCTCCAAATATCTCTTACTCGCACTGTGGAGGCGCAGATCGAGGTCCGTAGACAAGAGGTACGCGACTGGGTAGCCAAATGCGAGGACGTCGAGCGCGGATGCGTTCGCTACGTACGTGCGCTCGGCACCGGCGTCAAGATCAAGTCGGACGAAGGCGAGCAGGTCCTGCCACGGCGACATGAGCGCGCCGTGGCACGTCTGGAGAAGCTTAGACAGACGTATCACTCGAAATTGGAACAGCTTACGGCACTCTCAAATCGGTTGAACGGACTCGCTCAGATTCTCGGTCCCAACTTTTTCCCTCCAGAGGCGGGCTCGCTGGCGTGTGCAGATGAGACCGAGGGTGATGAGCGGGATGTGTCGCAGGAGCAGTTTTCAAGACTTGAGAAGGAACTTGTGAAGGGGAAGGCGGAAGTGGTGAGCACCTTTCTCGTCTTTTCCATGGCTTTTTCGCTTGGCTAGACCAAGGGTCGCTAATTCTGCGTCGTCATAGACGAAGCGCGTGAATCAACTTGCCGAGCTCTTTGTCCACCTTGACTGGCTCTACAGCGAACTCGGGATGGACCCACCTCATCCCAATCATCCCGACCCGCATCGTCATCCTTCATCGTCCACCCTTGCCGTCCCCTCTTGTTCCCTCCCGCGCGCATCTTTCTCATCCACCAACTCCGACCCATTCTTGTCGTCCAGCATGGCCCGATCGCCCACCTCCGCCTATACCAAGAACGAACACGCACCAATGCTCGTCCCATCATCCCCCGCCTCGCGCGCATCCTCGACAACACCACCTGACTCCGCCCCCGAGCACGCGCATCCACACGAAAGCGAATATTTAGCTCTCCTCGGCAAGTTTATCACTTTGCTCGACTCGTCAGCGACGGGCGAGGGCGGCGAGGAGCAGCAGCCCAATCCGACGGCGCTGCTCCACAGCATGCGTGTGCAGCCAATACCCGCGCTTGTTGAGTGGGCAGCGAATCTGTGCGATAGGCTCAGCGGTCTTAAGAAGGGGCGCGAGGCGCAGATACAGGCGATGTACGATCAGCTTGAGGGGCTGTGGCGGCGCATGGGTGTGCCAGAGGAGGCGATGGATGGGTTCGTCGAGGTGCGTGTTCTTACGATGCCCTCTGAACGGCTTGGACGACACTATCTAACATCGACCGCTCTCTTGATATAGGCGAACTGCGGCACAACGGAGGCATCAATAGCAGCATACGAAGAGGAACTTGAACGAATGGTCGAACTTAAACGCGAACGCATGGGCGAATTTGTCGACAATGCACGAAAGGAGATCCAGAAGCTTTGGGACGAACTTATGATCGGCGAGCAGGAGCGTGAGGCCTGTGTGCTCTTCTGGGACGGTACGCCCACGTTACCTCTCCTCGATCTATGGATATCTTATGAAGGAAACAAATCCACGCAGATGAACCAACAACGGAGCTTCTCACGCAGCATGAACAGCTCATCGGCTCGCTCAAGGCTGAGCTAAAGCTTAAGCTACCGCTACTCACGAGCGTGCGCAAGTATTTCGACATATGTGAAGAGGAGAAGGAGTTGGCGCGCGTTGCATCGGATCAAACGCGCTTGCTTGCGCGTGGGCCGTCAGGCAAGGAGAAGCGCGACCCGGGACGGTTGCTCAGAGAGGAAAAGATGCGAAAGCGTGTGCAGAAGGAGAAGCCCAAGGTTCGCCATTTTTTCGCGTCCATGTTGAGGGGAACCAGCCTGACGCAAATCATTAACTACACACAGCTGGAGCAACACCTCGTCTCGGCCCTCCCCGCGTGGGAAGCCCAGCACGAGCGGCACTTCCTAGTGCACGGCGAGCGGCTGCTCGACTTGCTCCAGGAACAGGTTGCCGTGTCTGAGCAAGAAAAGGAGAACAAGAAACGCAGCTCGCAGAGCGCATACGCATACCGTGATACGACCGTCCCGCTCAAGAACGGCAGCGGCGATCCTCCAGTAAACTCTGCAGTTCCACTGACCACCACTAGGAAATCGAGCACGAGGGGCAAGGGGAGCTACGTCCCCGATAAGTCGACCTCAACGTCGTCGTCAAGGTCGTCTGCGGCATCAGCTAGACCCGAATCGTCGATGTCGGCGTATACGACACCTCGGCCGCCGTCGAGCGCCGGTGGGAGGGTCACGCCCGCTGTGCGTTCGGCGTCGGCGATGTCTACAGGTGGAGGAGGTAGTAACAAGCGGCAAAAGATGAGCGATGGGTCGAGTTTACCCCGCCCTGGGACGGCGATGGGCACAGGAACCATCACAAGATCAAGGACGAGGTCGGGGTCGTCCGCCACTTCGACGGGGACAGCTTCAGCTTCGAGGTCACAGCAGAAGGGGATGGGATGGGGCCGCGGACCCGGGGCGTCCACGGTGCTGCGACCACAGCCGGTGACATCGACGTCGAAGACGGGTGTGCGGTCTGCGTCGGCGCGTACACCGGGAGCGAGCGCAGGCGGACGGGGTATGTTCAACAAGGGCGCTGGCGCTCCCGCCTTTTCGAGGGCACCGGGAACAGCAGCGGGTGCTGGCGAGGCGCGGCGAAATCGCATGAAGCGCGAGAGCTTCCGCCCAAGGGCGAGTATCGGCGAGTCGGGCGTTAATCTTGTGGACGCGTGGCGCGGGACGGCTGGCTTTGCGGGGGCTGGCGCCGAGGAGGGAGACAGCGACTGAGACTTCTTGTGGTTATGCACATGTTTTATTTCCTCTTCTGATTTCGTTGGATTCGGATGATGACCAATTATGATCTTCGCTTGCGTTCTGGTTGCAATGACCGGAGGGCATTCTCACTCTTGTCGTATCTTTATCATTATTGATCTCTGGTTTTCCTAATTCTTGCTTCCCTCGCTGCGCCTAAAGCCTCGTCATTCCTTACCCTCTCTTATTCTCACCTCTCGCCGTTATGTGTACTCTATGGCCTCGTTCCTCCACTCGCTCATTACGATACATGGTGTACTCATGCCTCTCGTCTTCTATTGTTGTAGCCTATTGGGCCTGCTGAATATCGCGTGGTTTGCATATAAATTCTAGATATCATATGAGATTCCTTATACATTATCTTACAGTGGAGGCTTATTGCTCCGCTCACCGGGTTTGCTTGCGAGACGGTGCATAGAGGGTTCGTCGTTAGTGAAACCTTGACGGGGCGGTGACGGGCATTTCACCTGTTTAGAGTTGCGGGATAATTACAGCAGGATAAATAGAGCTTATTCCTGTGTCAAATTGTCATCGGATGACCCGAGGACAAAATATGGATGTCCGAGGTGCAACGGCTCTCGGAGTGAATGTGACGCGGATAGACTTGGACCAACCGACGCGTCCGGATAGACAAGACACGCCGAGCTACGCTCCGGCACTTTCTATCGAAGTTGGCAATATCAATGAGCTCGAGCTCACACCGCTACAGCATATCAAAAGTTTCCCAAGGGCTTAGCTGAGGAAAAAAAACGCACCATAGATAACTGCACGTATCACCAGCAAAGTGTCATTCAACCATGTTCGGGATTTATTCGGGGTAAGCATGGCAGGCCAAGATCAAAGAGGAAACCCTCATATCAAAATGACAAACAAAGGGCAACAAAAGCCTACCATAATTTTGAAGATACGAGTTATCTTGTTTAGACCGTCGTCGTGTTCGGCCGTGCAATGCACTTGATTTCCAGACGACCCATTAATATTCTGCCGTCGCCTCATTTTCTCTCTCTCAACAATACCACCAACAGCCTCTTCGATCGCGTTGCCCCGCTTTCGCTCGTCCTCATCCTATAAACGGAATATCAATATACTGACATGATACTCAGCGACGACACTGAAGATCTGGGATTCCAGTATCCTCGCTGTAAGTCTCGTATATTGAACGCGTCAGTTACGCCGACCTTACACTGATATCTCTTGGGATTCACACTTAGAAAGGGTGTGTGATACGCTGATAGCTCTCAGGTATGATTTCTCGCTTCTCTTATACTAGTAAATACATTAGGAGTACTTCTGTAACTCCTGTACTCGTATTTAGCTTCTGATTCTCTAATAAATAGCTTCTGCTTCCCCAAGCCTTGGCCCGGGGCTTGTGACTCGTCTGGTGGTCTATCCGCCCATCTCGTGCCTTACTATCTTATCTCGGCGTCGGCCAATTACGTGAACACGATGACAGGCTCACGAATTCAACAATATCATCACTCGCTCATAGACTGGCAGTCCGGAGAGGGCGTGAATCACGGTGAATGGCGTTGCGCGGTTTGAAATACGTCTCAGTGGTGGCCTCCGTACAAGGCTCGCCGGCACGAAAAGTCTAACACCCATGTCGCACGCGTCGAGTACCTCGAAGAGCAAAATGAGCGCACTCCCTCGCCGCCCCCTCCCCGAGTGCTAGGTCCGCTTGCTGAGACGCTGATACAAGCCCAGTTATGGCCGCCTGCTCCAGCTGCTCCTTCTCCCCCTTCTCCCTAGTCTCCTAGCAGACCTTGACATGTGCTCAGCCAGAGGCTTCGCTCTACCCTTCTCCCCTTCCTACTACCATTTCGCCTGCTTCTTTTTCGGCTCTATCAATGCCTACGCCGCCTCCGTATTTCAACGCCGACGGGGAAGACTGCAATCCTGCACCATCCATCGACGTGGGTCCACCGGAGTACGATGGGTTGGAAGAAACTTTTCTTCGGATGGCTGAAGACACCGTCAAGAGCTACGCGGTGATGAGGACAAAGGACAAAGGACCAAGTTTTGACACAGGGGGAGCAAAGTGACGGTAAGCCGCATGGCTCGTGCTGCAGTGTCTCCATTCATACCTACTCTAGGCTGCAGGGACTGTGGAGTACGAGAACACGATCCTTAGCCCCTTCAAATCCTTCTACAATCTTCGAGCATGAAATAGCAGAGGCTGGCTCCTGAGTGATGAGGGTTATCAGATGGATTGCGATAGAGAGTGCATAAAGTCTAGTCCTAAATGTTTTTACATCACGCGAAGAAACCATAGCAAAGGTGTAACGCAAGTCCAAAGCACGATATAACAAAAAGCATAGCAAACAGAGCAGATGAAAGACATTTTATGACGGATGGATCACCAGTTTTCTAATACCGTTTGCGCGCATTCCTGAAAGATATACACGATGAGCTCGCATCTGAGATAGACGTCGAGGACCAGAAAAACGTACCTTCAACCTCGGCAAGCCATGTACCAGTGCGACATTGACGATCGTCCTCAGCCTTCGTCGCATCTCGGCTTTGCCAATAGTGAGTTGATACGCGCCAGAGCACTGACACCACCGCGACACATTGTCGGAGCGGAGCTGCTTGCACTTGACGCAGACCATGTCCTGCTGGGTGTACGCGCGCTCGAGATTGGCCACCATCTTCATCAAGTCGAGCTCGATCGCCATCCGGTCGAACTCGCCTCCGCACGTGCCACACGTCCAGCGCACCGTCACCGACCCTCCCGGCGCAGGCGCGAGCTCCTCGTCACGGCAGAAGTCAAAGTCGCGGAGCTGGTCGCAGTGGCGGCACGGTACGTTGGAGAGCTTGAGCGGCTCGCATGGGTTGCGGAACACCGCTTCGGCCGCAAATTCGCGGACGCCCGCGAGGTCGAGCAGGCTCCGCTTGAGCAGGCCGACTTCGACGCTGTAGTCGCGCGCGAGGCCGAACACGGCACACGCGAACTTGACAAACTCCAGCACAGGGTTGCTGAGCGCCAGGTAAGAGCCTGGTCTGACAGGGAAGCGGAACTGCTCGTGCAGCTCCTCGTCCGTGGCTGCATCGCGGATGCGGTCCTGGATCTTACCGACTGTCGACAGGAGCTTACGCTGCAGCTGGCGGGCAATGAAGTCCCGCGTGAGCTCAATCTCGTTCTCCTTCGCGGTGTCGCGCTGGGTTGCGTCCGGCGTTTGATTGTCGAGAACGCGAAGGGGTTTGCGCTGGGTTTGATTCGTCTTTTGGCGGATCTTGAACAGCTTGACGATGCAGTACTGCATGATATTGGCGAAGTCCTGCTGGATGGCTGCGGGTAGGAAGGTCTGGATATTCCACCGGAGCTCGATCGAGATATCCTCAGGTGGCTCCAGTGCCAGTGGGTCTTCGCACACGACACCACCCAAGTTGGCCTGGTCCATGAAGAGGAGGTAGTCGTAGAAACGCTCGGTGCGCAGGAAGATGTGCTGGAACAGCTCGTTCGAGTTCACGGCGGTGGTGATGTAGGTGGCATAGGCATGAGCAGTCCCGGGTGGTTTCGAAGTAGCCAGCAGGATGCGACTGAAATCCGCGTACACGACGTGCGAGCCAAGGCGCTTGAACTCGGCCATCATTTGGATGAACGTCTTCCGCATAAGGCCGTGGATGAAACGGTGTATGTTGGGGTCGTACATGTGCGAAGCACTGCTGCTCACCCACCGCCAGAAGTGGTCGATGGTGAGCGTGGCGGGGCTCTGGAAGTCGTTCTCGATCTTGTCGATGAGCCAGCCCTTGATCAATGACTTCAAGATGCCGAAGGTGATGGACGAAACCTGCGACTCGCCCAAGGTGAGGTCCCGCTGTTGTTCACCCGCCGAGTACTCGTTCAACGTGCGGGAGACGGAGTCGAACGACGTCGCCCCTCCGGCGCCCTCGAGCTCGTTCACGACGAGGGAATGAAGCACAGAGTTGACAGCCAGGTTACGGACAGTGATCTCTAAGCAGACGTTGGAGTAGCATCCCGGCGAATTGAACTCTGTGGTCTGCAGTTCCTCTGTTGGTCGGTTATCCTGCTCGACACCTCCGAGATCAGGCCGATCAGACGGAGACCACCACAGGACAATGTCCTGCTCAGCCAACCGCCGTGCGAAGCTGATGTCCGACAGCAAGATAGGCTGATCGCCGTCAACATGGCCGATCGGCACGTCGTAATAATCGGCGAGTGCTATCGAGCGATCTAGCCAGGAGCCGACGTTGAGGTAGCGCGACAGCATGTTCTTCGCCACGTGAGTTTGCCACGGGAAGACGTCGAGCGAGTGCGGCTTCCGAGTTTTGGGCATGGAGAGAACAGGGAATTTGGCCAGCTTCGGCGTCCACATGTCGAAGTACGACTGGTCCTTCATAGACGAGAGCACGACGATGTACGACCGGTCCTCCAGAGTCCCGAGCTCACGAGAGATGGCCTTGAGGGCAGTCGTATCCTTGTTATGATACGTCGTCGAGAACTCGCACGCAGGAGGATAATCGATGGACGCATCCTCGGGCTGCTCTTTGCGCTGCTTGCGTAAAAGATCGGCGTAAAGCTCCTGCAGCTTCGCGATGGGCTGGCGCCTCGTAGCCGGATCAACGATATGGAGTTTGACGGTTCCGGCCGGCAGGAACAGGGCGAAGACATGGATAGGAGCGCTGACGGAACATGCGTGATAGAGGAAGACGTATTTGCCAGAGCGACCGCCGCTCAAGTACGCCTGCTTTGCGTGAGAAGGTCCTGGTCGATCGAGCTGGGTAAGATCTACGCCCACGCTTTGTGCGCGGTTCAACGTCAGGCCGGGCTCGTCCGACATGCACGACTTGCCGAGCCGGATGATGGCTCGCAATTCAAGGGGAACCTAGATTGTAGTTGAGTACGGTAAGAAAAGGGAGACGAAGAGTACAGCTCACCTGCATCTCGAAGACACCATCAACGTTAGGGTCGTTCGTCAGGTCCGTGAAGTGCTCCTCGATCTCTTGGTACGTATCTTCCTTGACGGACACCTTGTACAAGTTGTTGCACTGGAAATTCCGAGGCAGGTGGCGCACGACCTTGGCACACGAGTAGTATTCAGCATGGAACAAGTTGTCCCTTGGAGGCGTCTTGAAGTGTAGGTAGAACTCGCGGGGAATACGCAATGGGATGGAGACAACACTGTTGTCGACCGACAGCCAAAGGTTGAAGCGTCCGAGGATTTTGCTGGGACGAATTTGGATGATATCCCACCGCCGGGCGGTGCGCACCTTGACGCCCTTGAACATGGACGGGACGGCCGACGCTGTAGCGTCTCCCCAGCGCGCCTCGCGCCTTCGCTTCCATCGCGGTTTGATGGCCTTGATCCAGGCGGAGTAGTTACGCTCGGGATTCGGAAGAGGAACGTCAACAGGAGCCTCTTCTTCCTCTGGCGTCTCTTGACGGGCCACCGGTTTTCGCTTCACCACGGCGATGCGCGCCTGGCTTGGTTGAGCGCTCGATTGGCCAAAGTCCTCCATGTCTGGATCGTCTTGCGTCTCAAACTGTGACTCCGTGGCGGGCGCCCGAGTGAAGAAGTCCGTCATCTTGTTTTGTTTGAACTTGTCGACCTGGCCCGCGACGCGGCGATGCAGCCAGTCGGGGTGCCGAATGCGCGGGACCGGATTCGCGACCTTCTGCATGGCCGCAGGGATAGTGATAAGCTTCTGGATGACAGACCCGAGCCGCTCGATGTAGTAGTCCCAGTCGAGGATCGCACGGAGCTCGAAGCTGGTGAGCCCGTTGTTCTTGAGCCACTTGCGGAGGTACGTCCGCTTGACGCTTTCCTCAGCCGAGAAGATCGCGACAGGAACCGCACGCTCCGTGACGGGCGCACCGTGCGGCTGTGCCGAGATGATGAACTTGCACGCGAGGCCCTTGTCCTTGACCATCTGGTCGCCCAGGAACTCCGCAAGACGCTTCGCTGTACTGATCGACGTCGACTTCTGCCCCGCGTACTCGGCGAGCGTCTTGGACATGCTGCGGTTCTCGGCAATAAGGTCGACGAGCTCCTCGTCGCTCAGCGTCTCTGCCTTGCTGAAGAGGATGTCGAGCCACTGGTCCGCGGCGTGTGCGACGGCGCGGTAGCATTCCTCCGTCGTTGTGCCGAGTAGGAAGCGCTCGAAGAGCTGGGACTGGAAGATCTTGATGAGCTGCAGTTCACCGCGGCGTTTTACTTCAAAGCCCTTCAGCTCTGCCATCGATCCGTCGTCGTTAAACACGGCGTATCGCTTCTTGAGCAGCTTGTCCTCTTCTTTAGATGACGGGAGGATCATAGCCCTATACGGTCCATCGAGCTCGAAGAAGATGGAGTTCTCGCTGTGGATATCGTAGTCACCAGTCTCGGGGTTGAGATCATGATAAGCGTGGTTGGTGAACTGGGCGTGAACGAGGTGGTTAAGCATGGTACACGGGTAAGAGAACGCGAGGGCTTTGCCGTTGTTGAGCTTGAACTTGAAGTTCTCCGGGAACACGCCCGGAAGCATGCACCAAATACCGTCCGTGTCCAGCTCCAGCGGGCGCCCAAGCTGCTCGACAAGCGCCCGCGCCATCTGGATGATGGTCGCACCAGTGAGACAAGTGATACCCGCCATCTCCATCGAGTGCCACCGCGCGCCCTTGCGCATGACATACCCGTAGAACGAATTAAGAATGCACTTATGCGCGAGCTGCAGCGAATCATACAGCACGATCATCTTCTTCGCCTCATCCACCTCCGCGATCGACTTGCCCTCGCTCACGACCGCATCCAGATTCTTCTTCCACGTCTTATGCAGGCCCTTGTACTCGTACCGCCGGTCGCGGAAGCGCCGCACCGTGTCGACGTAGAACGGGTTCTCCCGCTGGCACACGATCGACGTCCGCATCTCCACCTTGGTGTCCTTGATCTTCTTGTACACCTTGCGCGAGTAGTCCCCCAGCCGCTTGTGCAGCAGCGCCGTCTGCTCCGCGTCCGTGAGGTCCGCGAAGCGCCGCTGCGGCCCGCCGGGGCGCTTCGAGGGAAACGTCTCCTGCGCGAGCGCGTGCCGGATCATGTTGTATTCATCCCGGTGCGCGGGGAAGAACTCGCCGCGCCACGCCCACTCCAGCCGCCGGTCGCACGTTTTCCCAGGCCGGTTGTAGTCGCACACGGCGCAGACGGATTCGTCGACGATGGAGTCGGGCTGCAAACGGTTGGACAACATGATGTTTGGGTACATGGCGGCGACATCGAGATGGTAGATCAGCGGTTTATCGAGCCGCTTCGGGTTGTCGCGCATTTCCTCAAGGGCGGCCTGGATCTCGCTCTTGACCTCGTCGTAATTCGTGACGCTGGCAAGGGATGCTTTCGACTCGTCGACTATACAGAACTTGAGAGCGTCGTCAAGCTGATCGATGAGCTAGCACGAGCATGGGGTGAGCACACACGCGAGAGAGCAAGAAGGAGGCAAGATACGCACCTGCTGAGCCGCTTCTGGCACGATCTTAAAGTCCGTCGGAATGTCGCTCCGGAATACACCAGCCTCGAGAGCCTCGACATGTCCTCCAACATACGTCTCCGACGCCAAAAGATGTCCCTCGTGCATGTTGAAATGCGCGTCCTCATGCCGATTAGGCATGATGATGTGATTCTCGTAGGCCTCCACCTGCACATACGCATATTAAGCACGGCCGAAGTATAAAATAAATGCGCGGGACGCACCATGAGCAGCGTCTCGCACAGCGTCCCCGAGCCTTTGCGCAGCACTTCGTCCGGACAGAGAGGAATAATGTTACAGAGCGAGAAAATGAACGGGTGCACGTATTTCATGTAGAGGTAGTACGTCGCGACGGCATCGGAAACGGAGTACTGCGCAAGCACCTGCGGCTGCTCCATCGCGTAGCTGTATGTTCAATTTTCAGCTCCCTTGCCGGCCACAAAAACATAAGGTAAAAACGCACGGCGTCATCAGCTCCGGATCCAACTCAATCGGATTATACCCCAGCTTCGCCGTCGTAACCGCCTTGAGACCCTGACTGCCCTGCGGGAGATACGAGTCGCGCTTCACCCAGCGGAAGCAGTCCATGTGCACGCAGCACCGGCTCTTGAACTCGTCCTCCTGGTCGATCGCGAACCCGGTCTCGAGGAACATGTCGATCCCGTTCGCCTTCGAGCGTGCGCAGAGGAACGGGAAATCGAAAAAGTCGCCGTTGAACGTCGCCATCACGGTCGGCTTCGCGGACTGGATGTGGTGGAAGAAGCGCATGATCGTCGCAGCCTACCACATAATTCATCAGCGCGCCGTGCCAGAGCAGATGGTGAGCCGAAGCTGCTTACCTCGTCGGGCTCGTTGAACACCGTAAACGGGCCCTCGTACCCCTCCTTGGGCGTATACTCAAAATCCTCAATGTCCTCACCCACAATCTCCCGATTCGTAATAAGATACCCCTCCCCGTCGATCATATACGAGATCATCATCACCTGGTCCAGCGCATGGTCCGGGAACTTCAGCGGCGCCTTCGTCGTCTCGATATCATACGCCATCACCACCGGATCCGCGCGCTTCACGCGCTCCGCAATCGGCGCAAACCCAGGCTGCCCCGCCGTGAACGTCACCGCGTACCACAGCCCGACGCGCATCGCGTTGTCCATCGCCACGCGCAGATAGTACGGCACGTCGTACTCGCGCACGTCGATGATGCACTCGCCCGGGTCGCGGTCCCGGTAGCTCGCGCCCCCGCCGCGCCCCGCGCCCGAGCTCCCGCCGATCTCCGCGTACGCGTTGTACTCCCCGTCCATCTCGATGTCCATCGCCGCCCCGCCGCCGCCGCCGGTTCCGCCGGAGGCGTAGGACCCCGCGCCGGCGGTGGCGCTGACGACCTCCGCGTACGCGTCGACGGCGTCGCGCTTGGCGCCGTTGGCGAGCGCGAGGGGCGCGACGTCGCGGCGCACGGCGAGCAGGTCGGACACGTTGCGGAAGCAGAGCTGGAGGTAGAGCCGGCGGTGGCCCATGAGGTGGTTCGGCAGCTTGAGGTCCTCTTTCCTGTCTCGTGTGATGCGGACGATGAGTCCTTCGAACCGCTTCATCAGCCATTCTTCGACGGACGATTCTGAGCCGGGCTGGATAAATGTAGGCGTGAGTTCATCTTCGGTGGTATATCATGAGGTAGAGAAGCAAACGCACCTTGCACGCGATATAGAAATACGGCTCATACTGCATCGTACACTTGAACATCCCCCCATCATCCTGTATAAAATAAAAATCCACAGCCGCCTTCCCGCCCGGATAATCCGGATCCTTGACCAGCGTCTACAAAGCACAAACACCACACCGTCAACACAAAAACACGCTTACGCCCCAAGCAACGCAACGCACCGGATGCATATTAATCAACCACCCCTCCCTCCGCCCGCCCTCGCTCACCCTCGCAAACCCCAGCTTCTCATCCACCTCATCCGCCACGCGCACCTGCTCGAACCGCTCCGCGAGCTGCGTCCCGTCGTCCTCCCGCTGCGGCGCCGGCCCGTCTCCCCCTCCCCCACCGCCGCCTGCACCGTTAGCGCCTCCCCGCCCGCGCCCGCGCCCGCGTCCGCCACGAAACGAGGAGCCGCGAAATGAGGATCCGCGAAAGGATCCGCGATAGCCGCCGCCGCGTGCGCGTCCGCCAGAGGAAGAGGAGGAGGAGAGGCCGAATGCGCCGCGTCCTGAGCCTCGTGCCATCGTTCGTTGCCGCTGTCGTCGTATGTAAGCCTCTCGAGTCGCTCGTTGATGTCAGGTCACTCCCAAAAGCGTAAGCGTGGAAAACGGTGGGCCACGAGCGTCGTGGAGTCGTAAAGACACGAGGATGACGATGAGCGTCAAGTCGAGTCTGCAGTGCAGCGCGTGTTGAGCCTGACACATCCGACGCGTTGCATCACACCGTGTGACGCGTCGCGTTTTTCGTTACAGGCGCGTTACATGCGTGTCACTCTCACACCCTATCCTCGTACGTCGAGATCCGCGACTTGTCGCAGCTACAACATTAATATCCTATTTCTAGCTGCAGAAATGCTACGATACCCCGATGCTCTATATACAAATGATGCTGACTACCACATCCTCCAAGCAAACCAAAATCAAAACAACTTTACACCAGCATGTTAATTTCCGACTCGCAGGATCAGCGCTCGCGCGCACCGAGCCGACATGCGCGCCACTAGCGTGTCCGCGTATGCATCGCATCAGATGCCCGACGCCTTGGCCTCCTTCCAAATGCCCAGGTGAAATAGGATGAGAAGCAAGGGTTCTCGAAGTATACGATAGCTCCGGGGAGAGTTGCGCGCCGCGCGCTTAGTGTACTAAGGATCTATTCACACAAAAAAGTCATGATGAGCGCCATCGAACGGGAGACTAGGCAAAGGTAGAGCGGGAAGGGCTTACACAATCGTGATAAGCTTCTTCATGAGTGTCCATCGTCCGCATAAAGCAAAATCAAAGCAAAGCAAAGCGAGAAGGGAAAGGAAAGGGAGAAAACGAGACGCTAAAACGCATAAGGAAGAAGATAAACTCGAGGAGCGGAACGTCAATAAAACGATGCTAGTATAAAAGGAGGAAATCATGCCCGTCTTAGGAAGGAAGACCGCGCCGCAACAAGGCCCCTCGGCCCGCTTTCGACGCCCCCGCCCCACGCTAGAAGCCTCACTTCCAAAACCTCCGCAGAATCTGATCATCCAACATACTCCCCGTGCCCATCTTCCTCCTATACAACGTCAACTTCTTCCCCTCCCTTACCAAACTCATCGGCACGCGCTCGTCGTGCATCCTTACCACAGCCAACACAGCCGCAATCACAAGCTTCAGCTTACACAGACTCGTCTCCGCCTTCTCCGCGTGCGCCGCGAGCTTCTCGGAGCTGAGCTCGACCTTCTCGGGCTCGTTGAACACGCCCGTGCTGTGGTTCGCGACGAACAGCCACGGCGTGCGCGAGAGCGAGAGCGCGGGGAACGTCTCCGCCCAGTCGAGCGGCCTGCGCGAGGTCGTAAAGCGCAGCTCGACGAGCTGCGACTGCGCGACGAGCTTCGGCGGGGAGTTGAGCCGCACGGTGAGCCCGTGCACGTGCCCCGAGAGGAGCGGCGAGTCCGGCGTGAGCGACGAGGGCGCGCTGAGGCACGCTGCGACGGGGAAGCGGAGCAGTATTCGAAGGCCGCCCAGCGTCTATTCGTTCGTTCAGAGAGTTTACGGGCGCCACCAATCAGCCACCAGGTACATGATAGCCACCATCAGCACATGCGCGCACAGCAAAGATAAGACCCCGCACCAGCACATTCAGCCTGTAGTGCCCTCCCGCCGCCTCGCACCCGGGCGCAGGACTCGCCGCCGCCTTCTGATACGACCTTCCGTACCCCTGAAATCCGACAATGCGATCGCTCACCCTTGGCTCGCAGCCCGTGAACAGCACCGCCTGCCCGCCGCGCTCGACGTCGATGCGGAACGCCTCGGTGTCCGCGCCCATGATGAAGCGCAGCAGCTTCTCGAGGTTGGCCCGGTCCGTGACGAGGTCGAGGTCCGCGTACCGGAACAGGTTCTCGTCCGCGCCGTAGAGCGCGTCGAGCGCGGCGAAGATAGGCGTGAGCGGGGAGGCGTGCCGCCCCATGTGGTGCGCGTTCTCGTCGTGCACGACGACGCCTGTATCGGGCATGACGCGCCGCACGCGCGAGTTGGTCCATATGCTCGGGGAGCCTGTGCGCCGTATGCGTGACGGCGAGGACGTGTGGTGTGGCGTGGCGTGGGGCATGTGCGAGGGGTGGCGCGTTATCGGGTGAGTTCTCAGGGAGGTGACGACGAGTGGGAATGAACGGACCTGGAACGACTATCGTCGGTGTGCTGCCTGTGACCCATGAATACGATCCAACGGGCCTGACGTGTTTGGTGACGCCCGTGATACTGTCCGGTATACCGAACTGCATGAGAGCTGCCTCGAGACCTTCCTTGACGTACACCGGGGTGGATGTGGACCCGGTCAAGCTGGGCATGGCGGGTACAGGAAGGCAGGGAGGTCACTAGCAGGAGACGGGCAGAGGCCACTGAGGCGGAAATTGCGGGGGAAAGTCGAGGGGGCGTGTTGCGGGAGATATAGATGGAATTCGAGGAGAGTATATATACCGTCCCGCAATTTTCGGCTGCGAGGTTCTATCAGGATCGTATGTGGTAATGACATTGCCGCGTGTCTTCCGAACAAGCCATCGGCGGTGTGTATACGGAGATGTTTCGTGCTGCGGCTAACATTTTCGAGGGTGGCATGTTCGTCATAGAGGCGGATCGGAGAGCGGGTCGAGACCAACGAGCTCGACGAAATGCAAAGTCCGTCCCTTGTCACCGCCACCCGACCTCCTCTTTCTGGCAATCCCAACACAAACTCACCATTCTGTCGTAGGTTTTCAAATTCAGCCCACCGCCGGTCTCTCAACTCGACGCCCACGACAACATATGCGCAGTGCCGCCCAGGCGACGCCCATTTCTCCTGGTTACAATCCGCTACAACCCCTATCTTAGCATCATCTCTGACAGCTGCTGTCCGGTCGGTCTATTTTCCCCCCACCGTCGCCCTGCAACTTGTGCTTTCGCTTTTCCTATCGCGTGATCCCACCTCATATTCGAATCCCAAGAACAACCCCAGTCTCCCAGCGCGCATCTTCTGGTCCCACCAACAAAAGAATTTTCAGCCGCATTTCTGCTAGAAGGAAGTTTGTTTACGAAGCTAACGCTGGGAAAGGAAGGACGAACGGGAGATAGCGTGGACGGGCGCCAAGATCGGGCCACATTCACGCCCCGACGACCCGGACGCAGGGCCGGGCTTCTCGCGTTTTACGATCGATCGCGTGGAAACTCTGAAAGCTTAAATTTCTCGTGAGCTCGAGCTCTGTGCATGTCCACATTGCGGAAACCTCCGCCTTTTCTCTGTCTGCTGGGCACTGGCTTGAGATTTCCTTCGTTTTATCTTGAACGCGCTGTGCTTCAACTCTGATTCTGACCTTTGGCACGTACACCAGGCGTCAGCACAGACATATAGAACGCGAACGGGTCATCATCTGGTGACTGCATCGCTCCTACAAATCTGGAAAGGACTGCCTCTTTTCTCCATATCTCATCAAGTGTCTCGCCGAGGACGCTCTTTGCTCATCTTTTACGATACACACACCCATGCCCAGCTCAAATCTCCATGCCTCTTTCACTCCTTTATCGTTCCCCTGGGAGTCCACCCCGGATGAGTTCGACAGACGGCTAACTATAAAGGGTGCAGAGGAGACAATAGACAAGGCCACCGAACAAAACCAGAAACTTACGAATAAAATCATCCACTACATATCCGTCATAAGTCGTCCTCGGATGCATCGCTCCTGGTGGGGAGCGGTAAGCGGCGTACAGGAACCGGCTAGGTCAGATATGTTTAAGTAGGGAGGCGGTTAGTGGAGGAGAAGGGAGGGGGAAGCGAGCGGAGCTACGCGACATGGTGGTACTGGGCATATTGAAGATGGGGGCAGCCGGGGACCTGGCCGATAACAACGAGCACATCACTCACGTATAAATTTTCGCAGACAACGTTTCAGCTACTCGCGCAGCGTTCACAGCTGAACCAGGGCCCGCCCAGCAAATAGCCCTTCGATTTCGTGCGTAGGCCCTCAAACTTCAAGCATCTGCCAACCGACAACCCCACGCGTCAACTTACCCACGAACGAACACCTGATCATAATGGTATTCCGGGCAACAAGCGCACCCGGGATGAAGTCGCCAAGCTCACCAGAACACTCGAACAGTGACGTACCGACTCTCACGACTCTCCGACACGCTACTAAAGAAGCAGCGTTCAATGCCTGGACGAAAACTGGAAGGAGCGGATCAGCCACGACGAAGGCCGATCCAAGCTCACGACTCGATTCCCGCCCTCCTTCACACAGAGGGATCACTTCACCAATGCGGAGCGAGAAGCGTACGGCCGCATGGTCATCAAATTTTATTGCAGGACAGGCCACTGCTTCTCCGGTGACTACTATACTTCGTTCATACGTTCGAAATCAAGGGCTTGCGCGTGCGGAAAACGGTCCCAAACTCGACGTCAATTTACAGTCGAATATCCCCTCCATGCTACCGTACGCCGGAGCATCTGCAAGCCGGGCGCTGACATTCCACTCGCGGACGTTCTAGGCACGCAGAAGGTATTCCGAGCCCTAGCCCAACTCTTTCGAGACTCGAAAGCCTTCAGAAAGGTAAATTGATCTGACTCAGACGAGCAGCACGACGCAGATATCTCATAATGTATGTTTCCATTATCTCTCTCTTTTTTTCTACCATAGTAATACTCTTACATTGGGTTTCTATGTTCCTTCACATGCTCCGCGCACTAATAAACCCATACTATGCGAGTTTATCAATTAACCTACTCCACCTGCATATAGTACCCCACATCAACGCTCTACTTCGTACTACCTATCATGTCATAGTAGAGCACAACTCTAGAGCAAAACCCCAGTATTACATAGCCGCCTTTTTCCGGCTTATCTATTGTGGCTTGTGGCAGATATGGGTCGGAAAGCTTGGTTCGGTTCGTGATTCCCTCCTCTCTCTTGTTGATGTGTCTCATTCCTCTATGAACCACCCCACAATCTGTTCTAGATCCACCATCTGCTCTCTGAGTGTTCCATCATCGGCGAGTCTTTGATGTGTTATTAAACGTTTCTCATACAGTATCACCGTTGGCAAAGCGTAATGTTGTTATGTTGGACGCATGCGGAATGTGACATGGACCATCGATGTCTTCTTCGTATTGCTTTCGAAGGCTAAGTACCATCCATGGCCCTACCATTGTCAACAGAACAAAATCCACCATTGTGCTAATCGTCGAGGATACCGCAGACTGTCCGATCAATAGTTTAGGTCAAGATAATATGCTGCTAACAAAGACCGCGTAAGACCCACCAAACGAAGGCTAGGCGCTTGGCTCACAGCGGTGACCAGCACACTGACAAACGCACTGCTCGATGTTATTAGCTGTTTATGAACAGTAATGACGGAGAAACACTCACAGAATGAAATAAATCAGGCTTTGTCGAACGATGAGTGACGCTATGGAACCAGCATAGCACATGATAGATGTGCATAGTGGCCGTTTGAGATTCGTAATAGCGTGATACAAGCAGAGCACGATCAATGTCAGCTCAAATACCAGCAGCGCTGAGCAGCATAGTGGGAAGACCCATGGAGATTCAGATAACGGTTTATAGCAGGTATCCACGCCAAACACGGAAATGTTTGCTTTGGAATAGAGCATGTTCATGAGCGATTTGGAACAAGCGGAAACGAACATATATCCAGAAGTCACCTTTGAGACTTCCACCACGCGCAAGCACCGATACCACGACGGAAAGGTTGATGACTTGGGTCGTAAAGAAACCAATAAAGAGGGCTGCGCGGACCCGCTTCGACTTCCCGAGAAGAACATATACTCGTATAGCCATCATTCCTGATCCGGTCAGCCCAATAATCAACAATGATGGCCGCTCGAACAGAAGCTCACCTTGGAGCAGAAGCATCATTATGACCTCAATTACCATATAGGCATCAGTTAAAATAGTGCCTGATCCGTATGTCATATAACTGATAAACGCGAATGCAGCTTGATATGAACTCACATCTGCATTGAACAAGGACCGAGGGTTAAGCCACAACACTCTAGACGCCATACCAGTACATACGTCTATTAATAAAGGATCAGTATGTTTCATGTAGGAGTGAGGCTAGAGCGTCAAACCCGCTTACTTGGATTGACGGCGACCTGTACACGAGAGCAACTAGTGGATAGTCAGTACAGACCCTGCATTAGATTACATATTTATATGTGTGTAAGCGAACCTTGCGACCTGCAGAGACAAAACCCGTTGAGTCCGGGCTCAGTGTATACATGTCGCACATTGGCTCACAGTGCCCATAACATGCCAACATAGCGGAACTAAGGATGTCAATGTGGCCTCCCATCGCCTGCAAGGCGACACACATACCAATCCATATACCAATGTCATTGCGGTAAACTTTTTCATCTCAGAACGACCGCAATAAGCTAACTACAATGCTTGATGGAACAAACAACCTACCCAGATAAACTCAATCTGATGGGTAGGATGGCATGATAACGTCTCTATCTTGCCAAGGGGAAAGTATCAAAAGGGACACATACCTCGATATCCAGAGTTAGCACTACGGTATCAACGTATTTAGCCCCATTGACAATGTCAGCCCACTCAAGGGCACTCACGATAATTATACATCAGCCATGTGAGGGAGGCAGCTGCTTACTAGTTAGCTCTCACGTTGGACAGTATAATCCAATCCGTGACTCACCAAAGGCATATCTAGTGGGCAGAGGTTCCAATTCGAGGCCCAAATTTTGTTCAAAGGTGATTGAAGACATGGCAACACCGTCACCGAGTGTGTAAAGTGCGTGATCGTTTGGAGTCAAGTAGTCAGCCTTGCTACTTATATCGCTCAGATGAAGCAGTGCGTGAGACTGGGGTCCAAGATTAGAAACTTGAACGGTGACGATAAGGCTGCGACATAAGCCTTCGCGCCGTGTTGTAGCTGCCGCTGTTTTAGACCTGTTCATTTTAAGCTACGAATTAACAACTGCGCGAGGATGACTCCGGCGTAGCCTACCTATTTTACGGTGCTCAGAGGGCTATTCTATGCGTACGGAGGTCTCCACACGCCAAAAGCTGCGTCATATTTCCATGTTTCAGTTTTATGATGGCAGAAACGCTGAAATCAATATGGCAGAGCCAAGGCAGAGCGCTGCTCCGAAGTGACCCGGAGCGAGAAGATAACTGATACAAGAATAAAGACTGAGCTAGAATAAAATCATGATAGCATAGGGCTCGTTTATTGCTCGTTCCCGTCGGACTCTGCCTCACGCGCCAGCGTGCAATATTAACTCGCCGTCTGGGCCAACTGCGATAATACTGTGTGACACAGCAATGTTAAATGATACAACGAGAAATGAAGTCGTCTAGCTGGACTGCTCGTCAAATATAGAACCATTGTGTGCTGGAGCAAAGACGATGTCTGTGTCGAAGCTATACACGCCTCGTTCCCTCAGCCAAATATGTTTTCTAAGGGTAAGCACCATACGGGGTCCCAAGAGGTTGCCTAGCAGCGCGGCTAACGCCATGCCTACGTACGATTCCTGACGAATACAACCCCACTAATAGTAAGTAGCCGTCACCAATCGTAGTACATGTGCCCACCTTGAGGTATACAGTGAAAATAACGAGCAGTACGTTTGACATCACAAACCTGCGCGTGTTAGCAACGTTGTCAGATGGAGCCTCTGACGCATTACCTCTTTTCCTATACTAGCCGACGTACCCTAAGAAGAAGAGACCGCTATCTCGCACGATGATCTTCAAGAGGGGGTTCCACCTCACCCGTGTGGCGCCCCACGTATCCTTTCTATGCTCCAAAGACTCCTTCAATATAAGCGTCAAAAGCAATATCTCGAACCCGGCCCAGGGGAGTATGGCAATAAGAAAGTTATCTGCGTGAAATTTAGCGAAAGAACAGATAAAGTATGAAAGCGCGGGTGTTACAATCGCTTCCGTGGCTACTGTAGATGCCCCACTGCAAGGCGAATATAACGCAGGCCATTTCGAGGACGAAGCATACAGTTAGTATGCACATAAGACGTCGCGATGCCTTGTAGAGAGTGTATACTCTCAGCAGCATGATAACTGGCGGTTTCAGATTAGGGACTGTCTTCGTGAGAGAGAATACGAATGTAGCACAGAATCTTGGGGACAGCGTACCTTGTAAAGCAGCCAAGTAGACCAACGCTACCCAGCCTATAGCAACATCAGCTAGAGCGTTATTGCAATGATCAGTTGGTATCCTCTCTTTTAATTCCAAGGGAAGATCTTTTACCTCTAAGAGGAAGAAAAGCAGATCCGTTAGTGATTAAATATTTACGACCCAAGTAATACGTCTGAGTGACCTTAGACGTTCCTGGGGTCAGAACATTAGGTTCGTGAGCAGTATTTATACGAGATCTGTTGTCTCATCACCTGCACGTCCATGATAGATAAGCATCTGCTGTTCGCACGGTCGCCACCACTCAACGAAGGCAGCTGCTGCATGATCTCGGGGAACCTATAGACAACTTAATGATACCCCAACCACAGTATATGCAAGGGGGAAGCGCACCTTTGTAGCTCAATGATGGGAGCAAGCTGACGCACGCAGCATGGCAGCACATCCCCAGTACATACGTGTTTTGCACAAACGACAAGTTTATACCTCCGGCGATGGTGGAGCCCGTGATTAAAGACGCGCAGGAGAAATTCCCCGCTCGCGACGAGGATGACTTTCCCGGAGCGTTTGATCGTATCGAGGTGTGCGATTCTGGACATTACCCGTTCCTGAGCCATGTCGAGTGGACAACGACGGTGCTAAGGAGAGCGGCGGGGGAAAGGGTATAGATAATCAATTCTACCCTTTTGTTGAACTCTTCAATGCATTGTATGTGTTCCGCTCTGGCGTTGAGCTTGAGAGAAGAACACCAAGTCAGTAGCGAGCAGAGACAGCAGAAACACACCTCGTGTCATCCCCATTTGTCACAAGTTTGACTATCTTTAGCGTCTATTGTAAGCGCTGGCGGCCCCGCCTGCAGACTTGTCGCTGAACGGGAGATGAAATGCTGCGTTCTTCAAGTCCTTGACAAAATCATCGGTAAGCAACAGCACGTGAGGGCTATGTCGTGGACAGAAATGGTCAGCACTGACATATCGTCAGGGGTTGAGTTGATGGGATGGCAGCACAGGTTGAGCGATCGGAAATCGCCGAACGACGCCCTGGAGCACAGACCCACACCATCCCATGTCAACCATCTTCCTTCGCTGTCTTTATGTCTGGTGTCCTGACAAAACGGTAGTTCTCGATCGTAAAAAGCCTCTCGAGGTACACTGTCTCGCTGATCCGCGACGTCGGATGGCGCTGGCGTGTCCTACGGATCCCCTGGTAAGCAGTTGGTAAGCAGATGTACAGTTCCTGTCTTCGTCGAGTCAGGTTCGTATCGCTTTCGACTGCGCTCAGAGATGGCAAGAACAAGGATGCACGTATGTCTAGAATATGCGTGTTGACGAGGGCAGGACAAGCGTATAAAAGCGAGGGCGTATCTTTGTGGTCAACAGCCAAGCCGCCTCATCCATCTCCAACCCCGCCATTTCAATACCAATACCGCCCTTATCACTGTTACCGCCAATCATCATCAACCATGACATCTATGACCAAGTTTATCTGGAAGAAAGACGCATCGGCAGGCGACATCCCCGCCTACGTGCACTACGCCCCCGCCGTTGAGGACGACTCGAAGCCGCGTCCCATCGGTACGCCTGCCCCCCTATCACTATCTTCTACGCCTCCGTTATACTAACGCGACTGTCTTCACTAGTCCTTAACTTCCACGCAGGCGGATTCATGGCCGGAACTACTCACATGACCTCACCCGTCGTCGTCGCCGCCCTCGTTGAGCTCGGCTTCATCGTCGTGCTCCCGGAGTACCGACTCTGCCCCCAAGTCAGCCTCCGCGACGGCCCCGTACAGGATGCTGCCGACTCGCTCGATTGGGCACGCAACGAGCTGCCCCGTCTCCTCAAGGAGACCGCTGGTGTTGAGGCGGATTCGACGAAGGTATGCGCGATGGGTCATTCGGCGGGCGGAGGACTGGCGCTCTCGCTGGTGAGTCTATTCGTCTCCTCGCTTCCCTCCCTACCTCTAATCATTCCCTTCTCGTCGAAAGGGCTCCCTCCCCAACCCACCCGTTGCCATCGCCGACTTCTACGGCTCCAAGTACCTGCGCGACCCCTTCTGGTCCAAGCCCCTCCCCATGTTCGCCGCCGTGCCCCCTCTCGACACCGCGTTCCTCAACAAGATCTACGACGGCCCGCAGGCAATATCGTCCCCGCCCATGTTCACGCCCGAAGGCAAGCCCGTGCTCGATAACCCGCGCACGGCAACGTTGATCAGCGCGCTGCGCGACGGGACGACGTACAACATCATCCAGCCGGATGGTGATCTCGAGTCCGCTGATCCTGCCACGGGATTCAAGGCGAAAGGCAAGGCGTTCCCGCCGACGGTGTTCTTGCACGGTACGGCGGACATCTTCGCGCCTTTCTATCTAGCGGAGAGGGCTGTTGAAGAGCTCAGCGCTCAAGGTGTGGAGGCTGTGCTGATCAAGGCCGATGGGCACGGGCACATCCTTGAACGTGGGATGCAGCGGCACGACGAAGGGTTTGAGAAGTATGTGATGCCGGCTTTGAAGTTTTTGAAAGAGAGGGTTTGATAGTCTGTCTGACAAACCTATGTAGTATTGAACCTGTTATGTTCCAATAGTGTACACTCGATCCATACGATGCCTAAATGTCATTAGAGCTAAACTAAAATCTGCGCAAAATTCGCAATTAGGACCCTTCAGTCGACGGCTGTAGATAATATTAGGAGCAGGCGCAAAGAACGTATGGAGATTATCGAGGGAGATAACTGACGTTCGACGTTTGACTCCTTCAGGAAAACTATGGGCTGTGTCGACCACAGCAAAATCTATACCGATACCGCCCTCGCACCTCCAATGCAACACGGCACCCTCAATGCAACACACACTGAATGCGCTCTCCCTGGCCCTTTTCTTAGAAAACTGCATCATATAATGACCTGTAGGCTTGTTTCACCAACCCACAAAAAACTGTAGTGAACAAAAGAGCAAACACACCCCGTTGCATTGAGGGTGCTGTGTTGCATTGTGGGCGCAAGGGCGGTATAAGTATGCAAAACAAAAGTCTCTCTGGCGGGGAGTCGAACCCCGCTCTCCCGCGTGACAAGCGGGTGTACTATCCGATATACTACCAAAGACCTATGAATTCGGACCCTTAAAGGCCATGTTATTATGTTACTCGCGTTCCCTATCCCATTTCGGCACACCATCTTTATTCTTCCGTCCTTGCTATCGCAGAGGAATATAGGAATGCTTCGACAACTTGATTCAATCCGTCCTTCAGCTGGTTCCTTCAATCCGGCGCAACAGGAGCAACGTTGAGGCGGTGTTCAAGGATACCAATCTCCGGTTACCTGGTGTGGCTCACTTCTCCGCTTCCAGGTACACGCTAAATCGGGCCGTGAATCCTTTGTCTTTTACTGACAGCCCATGTGTAACTGTTTCAAGCCTTCTCTTTGTTCCCACCCGAAGACTTCATGCGTCACATGCCTTCACAACTCACTGCCGATGATGAAGGACAATCCCGAACTTGGCTCCAACCAATCACCTTAGGTCCCGCTCAGCAATGCTCACAGCCCTGCTCATTTTCCCGACGATCCTTCTGAACTTCTACCCAAGGAGCGTCGAATCGGTTTCGGAGAACGAGGCAGGTTTAGAGTGTATAAAATCACCCAACCAACTCATCTCTTAACCCCCCCTCACCCCATCATCCTTCACTTCACTGCCGACTGCCAGAGACAGGTATTTCCCTCACAGAGGAAATGTCTTCTAAGCCTCGAAATTCATATACACGTGCATTTAATATCAATACCCGCCTCAAGGCGTCGGCGTCTTTTCTGGAACGGTTGGAAGAAGAACACCTTTGGCGTAAGGACCGAATGCCTTCAGGGGTGGTCGACGAGTTCCAGAGGAGATTCAACGAGTCCGCCTTTCTCGAAACTTATACTCCAACCCACATTCTGATATCGTCGCAGTTGCCTTCAGACTCAACAGGCACTTGAACGCCGGTTTGGTGAACTGTCCAAGTTCTGGGCGTTCTGGCACAGGAATCACCCCGAGGTCGAAGAGCACAGGCAGAGGTATTACGAATTACGAGAGTTTATCAACGTGAGTACGATGATCAACTCCTCATGAGCCAGATGTAAACATGGCCGCATTACCATTACAGCCGCACTGGATACGGCACGATGAGATCATGCATGCGAACACGCGCCAATTAGCGCCCCGATCAGTATCCCAGCTAGCGCCCCAGTCAGACCACCATGGGCAGTCGAATGGCCGATTGCAGCCAGAGGCGGCAGACAATCCGTACATCCACCGCCAACCTGAGGGACAAGGTTTCACGGACTATCATTGGTCCCGTCGTGAGCGCATCTACCCCAGTGACCGGGCCGGCATTAGCGCCCGCGCTGATGGTGTCACCGCTCAAATCCAGGAGAGAAGCTACGCGGGGTCAACCACTGACAGACTTTTCATCCTCAACGCGCACCAAGCCCAGATTACCTTCCAGACGGGGGCCAACGCGAGTGAGCATGTCTCCTGGGATGATTAGGTGATTGGCGCTCACTGGCATGATAGCAAGCCAGACCGTTCGTCGAGCAAAGCCTGTCATAGCCACCTGAACGGCGAGCTCGAGTGCGAGGAGGACGTGAGACGGGAAGAGGGCCGTTGTTTACCACGAGAGCAAGCATGAATATATGACCTTGTACATCTCCATCAGGAACCAGCGGGTAGCTTACAAATATCTGACATGTTGATCAAGGAAATGTTAGAGCAGAATGAATGAACCTTACATCTTCATGAATACCCTCGCGGGGCCCAGGCTGCTCCGCGGCGCGTTCCCCCTTGCTCCCCGCATGTGCTTGTGTTCCTCCTTCCCTCTTTTCCTGATCAAATAACGGCAACCCCCGTACAGAGTTTCGAGAAAAATAGCCCTCCTCTTGCACAGTATTTCACAGGTCGTCACCGACGCTGTCACCCTCGAGGCGGAATGTCATTGCGCGTGGCACGGCACTGCTTTATCTACGTGTTGCACCCCGTATGGGAGGGTTGCCCACTTACGAGGTCATGTGGCACGCGTACGAACCATATCCCTGACAGAGCAGAGGTCACTCCCTTGTTGTGTTCTTAGAGTCAGATACAGAGTGTTAGGTTAGGTTGGGAAGTACGCACCTCAGACCACTACAGTATACTAACGCGCATTGCATCCATGAACACAAATCCCCTGGCAACTCCACTCCGGCCCGCGCAAGGACTACTCCTGAAGTACAATGAAACAGTGCGAAGGGCGTTATGCACATACAGGCCGGTTTTTAGTGAAAGGCGATGTAGAGAGTGGGTTCACGCATATGTCCAACCTCTTGCGGACGTTTGCTCGGAGGCAAAGGCGTGAGACGTTATGACTAAGCAGCTGCGTCGCTTGTGGTCCGGTCCGACTTAGCCTTCCGATGCTCGCGTTTTCTCCCTCCTACAAGCCACAGACAACGGTTGGTATTTAAAGTTCTCCAAAAGCGCAGAGATTACCAAACAGTCATTATCAGCGCATGTGTCAATGAAACTGATGCGAGGATGCGTGCTATGAGCACTGGATAAGAGCCTTTCTTTGACTTTAACCTTGCTGTGAACGACAGGGAGGTGGAACAGCACACTTCCGAGGGTCTTAGAAGGTGTGCCCCGGTATGCTGCGCTCAGATGAACAGACCATTTTTGATACACAAATCAGATGTTACACATTGCCAAGGATCAAGTTCTCAAGATCGCTTCAAGCTACTAACTTACACATACCCGAACTATCGGTGCTTCAAACCCGTTTCATGACACGGATCATCTCGTCCGAAAGCCTCTTACCCGTCCACTCCTTCCTCTTGTACAGCGAGAGCGTTTGCCCCTCACCCACCAGGCTCAGATGGACGCTCTCATCGTCTATCTTCCTCACTTCGTCCAAAATCTCTTCCAGCAGCGCCCTCAGCTTCTTCAGCCCCTCCCTGGCTCTGCGCACCTCGGGTGCCGCCATGGCATCCGACTCCATACTCTCCAGCTTGTACTTCACGACATTGGAACTGAACGCGCCGCGCTGGTGTTGCGCGAGATACAGGTGAGACGTCTGGGAGAGGTAGAGCTGCGGATAGGTCTCCTCCCAGTCAAGCGAGCGGTGCGAGGCGCGAGTCTTGAGTTCGATAAGCGAGGAGTGGGGTACGATCTCTCGTTTTCCGACCTGCCCGTTACTGAGGAGAGCTGACGATGGCTGTAGGCGAACCGATAAGCCGAAGATGCTGCTGCGTGTAGGAACTTTGGCTTTCGCGGCGCTTCTGACAGTCAGCCCTGAGAAAGCAGTGAGGAGATCCCCTTCTCCCTGTTTCGTCGCGAGGGCGCTGTCAACACAAGCGTCTACCTCGAACCTGAGAAGAACGCTCAGACCACCGAAGCTCTGCGGGCCCTCCGCGTCAGACCGAGTACTCAAGCAACACGACGAGCGTATACGGCAGCACATACCATGCGAACAACTCTATGATGACCCGTCGCATCCTCACACCCCTCTGCGAGCTTTGTCGACGCCTTCTCATACTCATGCCCATACCCACGGAACCCGGTGATATATTCACGCACCTGGGCATCGCGTCGCGTGAACACGCATGTCTTGCCAACGCGTTGTACGTCGATGCGGAATGCCTCGGCTGCACGCCCGTTCGCCGCAGTACCAGGGCCAGATACCCAGCGGAGCAACTTCCGCAGGTTGTTCCTGTCGGTAATGACGTCCAGCGATGCATAGTCGAACCCTCCACGGTGGCTCGTGTCGACGCCACTGTTGCTGCCGTACATCGTCTCAATCGAGGCGAACAGAGGAGACAGAGGGGATGCATTGGAACCCATGCGTGCGGCATTCTGGTCCTGGAACACCATACCAGAGTCCTGAACGACATAGCGAGGATTCTTGCTCGTCCAGATGTTGGGTGATCCTTCGAAAGATCCATACAGTCCGTCAAAGCATTCTCAAGTCAAGTTACGGGAGCATACAGACCTGGTACGATGATCACGGGCGTCTCTGATTCCACCCACGAATACGAGCTAACAGCCTGGACGTCAGTGATGGCAATGTTCGGCTCCGAGACTGCGCTACCCCCGAGGTTCGTCAAGTTTGGAGCCAAGGTCGACGTTGTAGAAGTCACGATGCCAGCACGAATGTATGGCGTCGTGAACTCCTTCAACGGGTGACCATCTAGGTGGGCCTTGACGAACGAGGGGGTAGCTGTGTCCACAGAACCAGTGTTACGGTTGAAGTTGGTTCTAGGTGCTGTTGTACGACGATAAGCCGAGGAATCATACATACTGAGCTACGCGGATGACAGTGACGGGCTGTGAAAAGGTGCTGGCGGGCAGAGAAACACCGCTGGTAGGGAGAGCGGCAGAGGGTTTGACGCCATCTTATAGGGATTCATCATCCCAAAATCACAGTCACACCTAGTCCCTTTTTTGCGGCTGTTTTCCACGTGTCGCTGCGGCGGCTGCGCTCTTTTGACGCTGTGTAAACGGTCACACCCTATGACCGCTTTTCATCAGTTATTCTTAGGTTGGTAAATCGGTTTGCTAGACGGAGGACAAACCAAGGACCGGGATCATGGGGATAGGGTCCTATATTTCCACAAGCAAGCGACTAGCTTGATTGAGCGAACCCCATGACTATGATTGCTCACATGCGTCTACATTAATCATGGCGGTGAGCATACCCAAGCCGACAAGCCGTTACACCAGGAAGCCTTCTAAGATTTCGAACTCAAGTTGCGTTTCCATAGAATGGAATCGTTGTGGCCCGAGGCCCAAAAATACTTGTCTAAAGAAGGGGTCGCTGTCAGGTACGGAAGGTGAAGTCTCTTAAATCACCTATTGCAATGACCCTACAGCCCAAGATACAAGCCAAGAACATGCAATCGATCTCTATTTGGTTCACTCGAGATCTTCCAGAAAAGAAGCGCTGGATGAGTCGCATGGGCGCTAATTTGTACACGCGTTACGCCCTATCCGGGTGCCGGGCTGCGTCCAAACGCCGTCCGATATTCTTATTCTTTCGTTTATACGGCTTACACCAAGACGTAAATTTCGCTTTCTCGATTCTGCGTTACTGACCACTACGCTGGGATCGCACATTTAGAGAACTCTAGTGATACATCTGGCCGAGAACGAGTAGAACGTGGATGTCTCAGGCCTCGCTTTTCATCACGCGAACGACCTCCTCCGAAAGCCTCTTCCCCGTTCCCTCCACCCTCTTATACAACGCAAGGGCCTTTCCTTCCCTGACCAAGCACAGCTGAGCGCTCTCGTCCTCCACCTTCCTCACCTCGTCCAAAATCTCGCGCAATAGACCCCGCAGCTTCTTCAACCCCTCTCTGGCTTTGCGTACCTCGGGACCTACTAGGAGGTCAGACTCCAGACCTTCTAGTGTGTACTTTTCGATAGAAGAGCTGAAGAGCCCACGCTGGTGCCGGGCCAGGTAGAAATGGGGTGTCTGGGAGAGGTAAAGCTGCGGATAGGCTTCGTCCCAGTCGAGCGGCCGGTGCGAGGCACGGGTTTTGATCTTGATCAGGGATGACTGGGCGACGGGCTCCCTCGTTGTAGAAGCTGAATCGCCAGAGCGTTGCAAGAGAATCGATAGTCCGAAAATGGTGCTGCTCTCGGTGCTGACAGCGGCGTTCCCTACGCTCGTAGCCGCAGATTTGGTGGCAGAGCTTCCTACAGTCATACTCCTCAAAGCAGCTACAAGATCATTGTCGTCATCGCTGTCATCATCGTCACCTTCGGTACCAACCCATGCATCGACTTCGGAGCGAAGAAGAATGCTTATCCCACCAAAGTTCTATTCGTCGTGGCGTCAACTCGAATACTACCACAGACGCCTCAAGCAAGCTAAGGCACGTACCATCTTAATAATCCTATGATGCCCCGTCGCATCCTCACATCCATCCGTAGGCGTCGTAGCCGCCTTCTCATACTCTTGCCCGAACCCACGGAACTCGCTGATATACTGGAATACCTGCGCATCGCACCGCGTGAACACGCACGTCTTTCCGACGCGCTGCACGTCAATGCGAAATGGCTCCGCCCCGTGCCCGTCCATGGTGGTCGCTTCGGCATCTGTCGCCCAGCGTAAAAGCTTGCGCAGGTTGTTACGGTCGGTGATAAGGTCGAGGGAGGTGTAGTCGAACTTTTCCTTAGTTTCACTCTTGATAACCTCGCCGCTACGCAGAGCCTCGATAGAAGCAAACAGGGGAGTCATGGACGATGCATCAGAGCCCATGCGGGCACCATTCTGGTCGGAGAACACGACACCCGAGTCCTGAGGGACAGATTGTGGGTTTGTGTTGTTCCAAATGTTAGGCGATCCTGTAAGCGATCAAAGAAACAAAGGTAAGTCATCACGTCAGGACAGCTGTGAACATGGATGATGTTCGGACCTGGCACGATAATCTCCGGATGCTCGGTATCGACCCACGAATACGAACTGACGGCCTCTACATCGGTGATTGCGATTTCCGTATCAGAGTTACCACGGCGCCCCGCCAAAGCTGGGGTCGACGACGTTGTAGGAGCTGCGACACCAATCGGAGAGTATGGCGCCGTATACTCCTTCAACGGTCGACCGTCCAGATGAGCCTTGACGAACGCTGGCGTGACGATGTCCACAGGGGCCGGGCGAGCGAAGGAGGCCCTAACAGGAGGCTTGCGACGGTAGCCTGGGGAATGATACATGTTGTATTATTTAGCTTTAGAGAGTGGAAAGCAAAGGATGGGGAGAAATGGCTGCGACCTGGGACGATATGTGCCCCCTGGTGGATAATGGCATCTTATAGATAACAGGGGGCCCTAGAATCGCAATCAGCCTAAGTGGGAATTCGTGCGAACTGCCGCAGGCTTGCGCAACAGCTTACCGAATGAAGCGAAGCGAAGTGCGGTAACTATGAGGATAGGGTCCAATTGTGACTCCCTCTAAGTTTACACCCTTCAAGATCGTCGAAGTGGTCATTTTGGAAGAACACTAATTTAATTGGTAAGCGCCTGCATGTCACATGGACATATACCAACGATGAGAGCAAGGCTCTGAACACTCCTAGTTGAGAAGCTGTAATGCCAGCCATGTTTGGGTGACTGGAGGAGAGTGGCTTAATGGAGAATAACACGAGAATATCGAACGATGCAGGTCTCGTCTAGCAGCGATACGCCCAGAAATTGCGTGATACGGTGCTTATGTAGCTTTACAACGCCTTGATTTCTAAGAGCGTTTGACTTCTTGACTTGTTCCGGATTTGGTTTGAGATATTGACTTGTTAATGCAGAAACCGTAAACGAAACCAGAGCATGAAGACTTACATCATTATCACTCTCAAAAACCAGCCTGCTTCGCAGCCCTCTCCGCCAAACTCCCCCTCGGCTCCCACCCATGCCTATATCCTTCCTCCTTCTCCATCCTCTCTTTATCGGCACTAGGCACACCCCACCCGCCCCCACCGGGCGTCTCAATCAACAGCCGATCCCCACGACCCATCATGAGCGTCGCCTTCCCACCTACATTAATATGTCTCGGCCCCGTGTCGTCCTGAGCCGCCAGATCCGCAATCGCCTTCTCCTCGATGTTCTTGCTGGTGTCATTGGCGACGCTCTCGGCTTCAGAGCGAGACGTAGGCAGATCGCCGTCTGCGGCGCGACGCTGCTTTATCCACGTGTTGCGCCCCATCTGGGCGGGGTGCCCGCCGGCGAGGCCGTATGGCGCGCGTGTGCGTCTCTGTGCAGTCCAGCGCCACAATTTTTTGTTTTGTTTTATTTTATCAACTCGAATGGATACGAAGATGATGAGAACGCACCTCGGAGAGAATGCTAACCCGCATGTCCTCCATAAATTCGAATTCCCTGATCACACCGTCGCCTCCCTTGAACTCGCCGTCGCCGCCAGAGCCGGGGCGCAGTGCGAAGCGGTGCAGTAGGACAGGGTAGCGTCGCTCGAGGATCTCGGCGTCGCCGATACGTGTGTTCGTGATATGTGTGTGCACGCCCGAGGTGCCATGCCAGCCCGGGCCGGCGCCGGAGCCTCCTGCAATTGTCTGCGGTGTGTGAGCTTAAGAAAGGTGTGACAGTGGAGGATAAAGTAACAGGCACACCTCGTAATATCCCCAGCCCTGCTCGGCTTTGCCGTCTGCGTTCTTACCGCCTTGGCCGAATGTCAGATTGCTATAAAGCACGAGAATTCAGACCAGATGCACAATGTCGAGAAACTCAAGCGTACTTGGTGCATCCCTGACTTGCCGCACACGAATCGAATGCGTGCAGAACGACATCTACGATGCGCTGGCTCGTAAGAACATTTCCTCCGCACACAGCAGCGGTACGTGAGGGCGCAAGAACGGTCTTCTTTGGTATCTTGACTAATCATTTCCCATCCCGTCAGCCCCACGTCCCATTAGCAGCAAAGCTACAAAGGAGCGGGACGAACTTTCCAGCGGCACGAGACACCCAGCATTAAGCGGAATATCCTCGCCGAGCATTGCACGCATGCAGTATATGACCGCCGCGTGCACAACGCTCGCGGGCGCATTGAGGTTCCCGCGCACTTCGGCGCCCGTGCCCTCGAAATCGAGCACAGCGCCGCCGGTTTGGTTGTCAATGTCGATCTTCAGCGCTATCTATACAACGCGTCGGTATCACCGCGTGAGCAGACCCTCAAGGGAGCACGGAGCGGAGGGCACGCACTGGTGTTCCATCATCGAGGTAATCGACGGCGTGTAGGACGCGTCTGCCGTCTGGAGCGTCGGCGGAGACGCGCTTGAGGAGACTGCGCACGCATTGCTCAGCGTTGGAGCGGATATGGGCCATGTAGGATTGTACGGTCTCGAGTCCGTAGTCGTCAACGACTAACCGAAAGCGGTAGGAGGTTAGAGGGTACATGGTGAGTCATAGGTGGCGTCTTATACGTACTGGCTTGGATAAGTTGCACGCCTTTGTGGTTCGCTGCGACTTGCTGTTGAAATTTTCAGCCTAAATTCCCCTCGCTCACGCATATATGCGCAAGGATAAGCAAGACCAGAAATCAGCGGATACGCACCGCATGCAGATCGCTCTCCACATCTCTTATGTTCCTACATCCTGACGCGCCGGGGTACTGTGCCGGTATGTCGATCATCCGCTTATGCAAGCCTTCTTGGTCGAAGTTCCCTCCATCGACGATCTTGAATGAGACGATCTCAGCTCCCTCTTCTGCGAGGCACGTAGATGTTGGGGGCATGCTGCCGGGGAGGATACCGCCAATGTCGGCATGGTGGCCTCGCGAGGCGGTGAAGAAGATGATGGAACGGCCTGAAGGGTCTTCTGAGTCTTGTCCTTCGGCGGGTGGGGAGAATACAGGAGTGATGATAGTTATGTCTGGAAGGTGGCTGTATGCGCTCATTATTGAGCATGGAGATATGGGAGAGAAGAGCAGGAAAGGAGAACGCACGATCCACCAGCATGAGGGGAGTTTGTCATAAGCACATCGCCTGGTTTGAGAGTCTTTCCGTGGAGCTTCATCTGGTACTTGACTGCGCTACGAAGTTGAGCCAGCCGGGGCGTGAGCCGAACACAGTGAGATAACGAGGCTGATAGAGCATGGGCGGAAAAGCGTACAAGCTCATAGCACCTAGATGAATAGGTATGAAAGGCGCATTTGCGACGAGATCGCCATCAGGTGCAAAAAGAGCACAAGAGAAGTCGAGGCGCTCCTTGATATTCGTCGAGATAGAGGTCTGTTGTAGTACACGGCCCATTGCCTCTGCGACGCTCATGAAGCGATTGGCGAAGAGAGTGAGAAGGATGGGGTCGGGCGCATCGTTGCTAGTCTTCGATATAGCCATATTGTGGGGAAGAGGAGAGCGATAGGGAGGACGAGTCCGGCGGTGGTGGCGGTCGAGAGCAAGGCGCGCGTCGGATGTTCGGCCGGGGATGAGATCATTCGATTGGTTGTGAGCGATCTCCCTTTATCTTATCTTATCTCCTCCCCCGCAAGCGGATCGCGCCGTCGTTCCGTCGGTCGCTAGCCGACGCGTCTTCCTCACTGCCCACGATGACCACCTTGAGACTGCAAATAGCGACTCAGTCACTTAACACCTTTCTGAAGACCTGCTCTTCGACGCTCATGGTAACGTCGGCCGTTCTACGTCGATTCGTTAGAATTTCGCATGGACGGTCCGGGGATATCTCTCCACATGACTGACTGTCTTCCATCCCCAGGGGAAGATAACAGGCCACTGGCTCTCCCCGTCCCACTTATAGCATTCAGCCGAAACGTCAAGTCTAGAAATCCGTCTTCCTACATATCCCTTTCCCTGCCTTCTCGCTCATCCATAGCCAAGATGCCTCTCGACCTCGCCATCGTCCGCGCGTCCTTCCCTGCCCTCACAGGCTCTGCTACCTCCAAAGACTTCATCTATGCCGACAACGCTGGCGGCTCACAGACCCTCGCTCCAGTCATCTCACGCATCACCGATTACCTCTCCAATACGAACTGTCAGCTCGGTGCAGATTACTCGGTCAGTCAAACGAGCACCCGCCGGGTTGATGCCGCTGCGGAGGCCGCCGCAGTTCTCTTCGGCGCTGAAGGCGGTAGGGATGAGATCGCGTTTGGGTCAAGCACGACAATGATGGTAGAGAACCTCGCAAGGGCGCTGGAGGCGGATGTGAAGGAGGGAGACGAGATCGTGATCACTGGCGAGCACGAGGGTGCGTTCCTTACTATCTTTATTGGTACATGTGTGGGCAAATGTTGACTTGTCAATATTTGGACACTATGCAGCCAACGTTGGCCCATGGAAGCGCGTTGCAGCTCGCCGAGGCGCCATCCTCAAGGTGTGGAAGCCCTCTCAACTCCCCAACTTCGCCTCGGGCACAAACGCCAACCCCTACGCAATCACCTACTCCCTCGACACTCTCCTCGCCCTCATCACTCCACGTACACGCCTCCTCGCGCTCTCCGCTTGCTCGAACCTTCTCGGATCCGCAATCCCCCTTTCCGCCATCATCCCCACCGTGCGCACCCGTGCCCAACAGCTCGGTGCACCAAAGGTCGAGATATGCATCGACTGCGTCGCGTACGCGCCACACCGGCTCATGGACGTAAAAGCATGGGACGTCGACTACGCCGTCTTCTCGTTCTACAAAGTCTACGCGGTACACAACGCAGCTCTGTACATCCGCAAAAAGGCGCTCAGGGACTCTCTCTCGTCGCTCGCGCACGGGTTCCTCACCGTGAATGTCGCCGAGAAGCCGTACAAGCTGCAGCCTGGCGGCCCGGGGTACGAGTCCGTCTGGGCGGCGGGTGCGGTTGTGCCGTACCTGCGCTCGCTGGCACGCGCAGGTCATGCGGTGGCAGCAGCAGATGCTGCGGAGCATTCAGACGAGCCGGAGGTGGTGCGCTCGACAGCTGCAGTGGCGAGAGAGGAGCTCAGGATCGCGTTCGAGAATATCGCGGAGCACGAGCAGGCTCTCCTCGACGTTCTTCTTGGGTTCCTTACGGCGGATGAGCAGTACAGGCGCGGCGTGCGTATCGTCGGCGATCCTCGCGCCGACACGAGCCCAAGTGTCGGTCGCGTGCCGACTGTGAGCTTTGTTGTGGTGGCCGAGGGCGGGGCAAAGGCGATAAAGAGCAAAGACGTCGTTGCGGTGTTTGATAAGACGAACGAGGTGCGTTTCGTGTCTCCCTTTTATCTTACTTCTTTTCCCGAAGATGAATTCTCGTGAACAGATCGGGATCCGATACGGCCACTTTTACGCGCACGACCTCGTTGCGGGCCTTCAGCCGCCTATCGACACAGACGATGCGGTCGTGCGCATCTCGCTCGTACACTACAACACCGTCGAAGAGGTCCAGAAGATAGTCGAGGTGCTCAAGACGGCGTTGTATGGTTAAAGCCCAGTGTGCGATGATCGAGAAAAGAAGTACATGAAGTTGTCCAATATAAGTGACTTATGATTGTATATTAGAAGAATGTACGAGAGTGACCTAGACCGCAAGCCACACATGCGACGGGGATTGAGGCAAACATCAGTGATTCGTAGTCTAGAGAGATGCGTTGGCGGAACGAATATTCGTCGTTCCTACGACCGTTTGCCTCTGCATACTTGCTGCATCCTTCTGTGGCGTGTGTCATGTCATCGGAACAATGACAGGTTCGTTCCGAGCTACTACGGGACCATCCTTATCACGCTTAGTACAGCTACATGTTCGTGGACACAAACTACTTCTTGACTACTTCTGTCGATTTGATGAAAATCTACGCAGAGAAATCTCTAACAGCGTCTCCTTCAAACATCCAAGTACCAGTAAACGTGTTCATCACAGCTGCGTAACCGTCGGATATAGAAAAATTGGGAGTATAAACCTGAAGGTCTTCAAAAGTGCTCGTGTCACATCGACCACTAGCACTTTCGGTTGTCGCGAACTCCGAGTCTGTCAGCACGTGGAGGAGCTTTGTCCTGAATCGTGAGAGATAGCTCGAGAGGCCCGGTTAGAGCCGATCCCGGGTACTTGATAAGGCGATGGCCGAGTCTCCTTCGAGCGTCCCGTTGACCTGCGTCGACCCTCTCCTACGCGATGAGCTTCAAAGGTGGTCGAAGGCGCTCTGCCAGAGTTTGACACCGACGGCGGCTCGAAGGTGGTGTTGGCTACCGAAAGGTTGCCTTGTGACAAGCTCTGATATCGGGCTTCGTCATCTTGAAGCCCTGCGTCGTCTCTCCCAAGTCGCTGGGATGCGACATCGTTGATCATCCGTAAGTTCACACAAGACACGCCGAGCTACGCTCCGGCACTTTCTATCGAATTGAGCATATATATTATTGGGCTCGAGCTCACACCGCTACAAAATATCATAATTTATCCGAGGGCTTAGCTGAGGACAAAAACGCACCAAAGATAGTTGCACGTATCACCAGCAAGTGTCATTCTACCACGTTCGGGATTTATTCGGGATAAACATCGCAGGCCAAGATAAAAAAGGAAACCCCCATATCAAAACGTCAAACAAAGGTCAACAAAAGCCTACCATAATTTTGAAGATACGAGTTATTATCCAGCCCCCAGCAGTCGCCTGTGTAGCATACAATAGCATACAACCCACGGGTATGTCTCCAGAGTGGTGCATACAGTTGACTGATCACGGCGATCAGCACTGCAGCCTCAGCTCCACCTGAACGAGACTCACCTTCCAGTCATCCAAAGTCTCTTTGAAATACGGCATACACGTCTCCAGCATGTAAAAGATGAACTCGATTGTTTCGCTGTTCTTCTGTTACATTCTGGTAGATCGTGAGCGCGACTGGATATCGCACACGGCCCTGTGCGGGCGCGTCTCGAAACTCATCCAGGTATGTCAGAGATGACAATCGGGCCTTTTGTTTCTCCGGGAATAGCGACAAGGCGCGTATGCACTGTCTGTCTGACATGGTTTCTAGCCTTCCTCTGCGTCCTCTATCCTTCACCGACAGCGTCGACGTCACTCTCACCACCGGCTTCGGGCTGCGTTGTATGGACGACAACGCGTCTGGGTAAAGAGGGCCATAGCATGAACGACTGGCAGGACGCCATTTAGGTATGTCATGCCACGCTGAGTTGTTGGAGTGACGACTCGCCGGAATAACACCCTGCTGAAACACTGTCTCCCATCTGGCACGGCGGTACCCGTCAAACTGAATACTAGGAACTCAGCCACGCTGACAGAAAAAGGTTTACGGAGAACATCACTTCTTCGTCGGCATCCTTGATCATATGGACCACCCGGATCCAGACGCCATCGAGGTAGATCCAGTTATCCTCGTTCGGTACTTGCGGTCTACTTCACGTCGGCGGGGAAAGTGAGGAAAGAAAAGTCAAGGGAGGGGTCCGAAGAGGTTGAACGCGTGTTCAACTTTTAAGGTCATCTCCGCCAATATCAATAGACGCCAAACAACGCGTCAATAACGCGTTTATGTGAATGAATGTATCCTTTGACTATCCGATTTGACACTGGGCGTGGCTTCACAACAAAAGGGGGGTAATAATGTGGCGTTGTGGATGCATCGGTGACTACAAGGTATCGACACCTCTTTCAAAAAGTACTCTCGGTTTCATCAGAGCGCGAAGGAGCTCAATGCACACATCTCGAGCTAGGTAACGTGCTGATGGGCGCATGGATGAATTGTACATACGTTTCGCCTTGCCACAGCAAGACAGAAGCAATCTAGCTGGTTAAACTGGACACACACCTTGACAAAACTTGCGATGAAGAGCGAGCGCCTTTTCTCGACCACTGTCATCTCTGCCCTCCCAACCAAAGCACGCAGAAGTCAGAACCCCTTGTTCACCCCCGTCCATTCCGGGTTATCCCTCCTCGACTGCAAGAGCCTCCACGGCCACGAAAAATTTGGCGCTTTCCTCTCTGGTTGATCATATCTCTCCGCCTGCTCGGCCACCGCGTCGCCCAGCACCTTCTCAATCTCGCCGCGCGGGAACGCCTTTTCCGCGCTCTCGATATCCTTCACATCCACATGGCCGTCTGGATGCGGCTTCTTGAAGTCGGCGAGTACCGCGAAGCGTACGAGCCGCGCAAGAACAGCGATGCGCTCGGCGATGCCGGGCGAGGTGTGCGCCGCGATCGCCATCCAGACTTCGTGCACGTCGTTCCGGGAGGTGTTAGGGGAGTGCGAGGTTATGAATGCGGAGGCGGCATCCGCACCCTCGACCTCGAAGCGCTGGGGGCCGTTGCAGGCTTCGCAGGTTCCCATGTCGTGGAAGAGGCAGGCTGTGAATAGAAGAGGAATGTGCGTGGGCGTATGCCATGTGGTATTTTCGCGTATAGATAGGGTTTTAGCGTGCAGGAAGGTTCGTAGGCTGTGTGCAAGGATGAGGGGGTGGAGATGTGTACGGACGTTGGACTAGGGAGGATCGGACCGAGCCTTGAGGAAGGCACGATGCGTAGTTTAGGGCCGGCATGGCCAGCGTAGTCGGTACATAGCGTGTTCGTGCGTGTCAGTAGACACTCATCCCTGCTATACGAGGTCACTCGTCGTCGTCTTCTCCAGGACTGACTGTCCCAACGTGAGCGTAGGCTGCAAGGGAGAGGGCGTCGGTTGGGACGCAGGCTGGGATTTTGGTGGTGCCCTGTGCTGGTGAGTGGCCAGAACTGAGTTCTTCGAGGGCGGATGGCGGACACATTGTCAACGATGTGTTATACTGGTAGAAAATAGATCCGAAGAGCACAACGTTATGGGCCTTTCCTCTCAGACGAGTCATGCTGGGTCATACCGATTCAAGCATGTCACGGTTGGGGTAAATGATGATCGAGTTGCTCACCTCATGTCCTCCGAGCAAACACGGAGACTCCATCGCCGCGGCGATAAACAATGCTTGCGAACCACGCCCATTGCCCCATCCCAATGGCAAATAGTATTGTCGTGAGGTGAGTTCGCATCTGGCTAGGACGAGTTTGAGTCGAGCTTTGACTTCAGAGCGGGTATTTAGCGGACATACAGACTCGTTGAGGAGCACCGAGGTGAGGTTGAGGAACACTCGAGCTGCCACCGAAGTTCGCCGTTCGCAGACGTCGGATACTACAGTGATTGCATGACACGGTTTTTCCGGCGAAGAAGACGCGTCGCGCGTTGCGCGCCCTCTTCTGTATCGAGTCACTTTGATGTATTCTTCCGTGACCGACCTGGATGCACACCCGAAATTGGACTTTGCCGCGGGGTAAAACTTGCTTGGTGCTTGGCGGCTTGATACCCCTCATGAAGCCCAAGCATCCCGTAAGGTGGCTCGATGGTTGAGACGGTATCGGACCCGTCTAGCGACTATTGCGGGGAGCAGGCGTCATGGAAGACGCCAGTGATGATTTGAGGTCAAGTCAGGGTTAATGTGAAGAACAACGCCATAACTGAATTATCGCATCTTGTGATCAAGAACCCACCTTTACAGCGAACCACGGTTCTCTTTGTCGTTCGTGTGACGGGCCTCGTGGGTTGCAAGCTTGGGAGGAACATCAAGCCGGGTAGCTATGTTAGACCGAGTCATGGCCATATGGTGGTTTCTTCGGCTATTGAGTCGATTGGCAGTAACATTCAGCGGTTCCTGTTCAGTGAAACTTGAGATGAGGACAAGAAAATCCATCGCTGCGCTCCGGTCCATGAGTAAGAGAATATGACGTGGGAAGAAGTAGAGAATTCAACAACAACATGAGAGCATTAGTCAAAATTGTACGGTACATACAATCTACAGCACTCTCTACACTCGCGTCGTGTACGTCCGAAACGCCAAAGAACGCCCCAAGCAGACATGTGAAATCGAAAAGGGGGACAGGCCAGGTCTAGGCGCGGATGAACGACATGTGAGTAGTCGTTGACAGTGCAAGAAATGCCTAGCAACGACGGAACGGGCAACGAAGGAGCCCATAAAACTGGTTGTAGCAGAGCATAAAAAGTTTGAGTGCTCCTACCATTCGAAACCGCCCAGCGCACACAATGGCCGAGCAAAGATCGAGCGGAAACTGGGAGCCGAAACTCGAGGACGCCTCTGAAGAGTCGCTACTGAACCAAGGTACGATAATCCCAATTTCCGGTAATCCGACCTAATGAGACTGTAGCTTTTCGAATTGAGCGAATCATGCTCAGGCCGCGACCATCCATCACTAAGCTTGAAGTGAGCGATCGCTTTGTCGCCTCCCTTGACTTTAAGGTCAAGTCGGACGTTTCGTGGGCAACGTACGCCGGGATCTGTATGCTCATGTTCGAGACGGTGAGTGTTACGTATAGATCGAAGTTGCAGTGCTGTAACACTACATAGATGTTTCCGAGACCGTTGATTATCCCAATCGACGCGTGCGATCTGCGAGCATTTGTCGTCTGGTGCGAAACACCAAACGACCACCCACTCGCCAATGCAGCACCATACTGTGCACACTTCCGCGTCACCGGTGCAGGAGCGCACGAGTTCGGCCTTCGTGCTGCGTCCCTAGGCTGTGTCGTCACCGAACCTCGTACTCGGTTCGACTGGGACACAGGGGTGTCGACTCCGCAAGGTCCGGACACGGTGATACCAAGTACCGCGATAGCGAAGATATGGTGGTCCGACATAGAAAACCCTATTACATCGGGTACTATTTTCTTTCTCGGCATTTTTGAGAGTATATACGAACAGATATGCGGCGAGTGCGACAACCGCACGCACCCAAAGTCACTTAACGTGGACGGTTATCGGGTTACTCACAGCTGGTCAGACATGGAGCCAGTCTTGGACGACCATGCTCGCAATCTCATAAGTGATACTTTATGGCGTGTTAGGGAAAACCACCTTGTATAATGAAACTCGTATAGAATTAATGTAAGATGATACAGCGCTTGCAGAGCTAAACTACAGGCCGGACACAGAGGTTGAGGTAACAGGGCTGTAAGCCAGGAAGAATGGAAAAGTAGAGATGCAGAGGGTGAAAATACACGGAACAGGGAACACATGGATTATGCATAACCTTTCGCCCTGCGGAAGTACACCGAAAAACGTAAGTACTATAATGAAAAGGAACAGACAGGAGATACATTACCGTGCTGCGCGTAGAGTGTCCTGAACGCGATCATGAAGGATGTCTAGGTCGGGCAAGTCGACGCCATCGTCGCATGTGACACGGAAATCACCAAGAGTCAGGCGTTCGCCCGAAGGATGTTCGTCACAAAGGGCACGCGTGGCGTTAAAAGCGGTCGAGAGCATTTCAGTGCCAAGTATAACCCCGACTGTTGAGTCGTGCTGATGTCCGGTCACAACGATGCGATCGATACACTTGGTAGCCAAGCAGTCCGTGGTGCTGTAGTAGGGTTTTAGTCGATTCTTGACGAAGTAGAAGGCAACCGCCGCCAGGTGGAGATCCAAGGCATCGTACAGTGTTGCCGCGACGTGAAAATACACGCAGTATGGTGTACGACTGTACAGAAGGGGGATTCGACGCGGCGACTCCGCCCATACCATAGTGACGCGCATTGGGATGGGCCTTTCGGGGACAGTAAAAGGAAGCGTCTATAAAGTCAATTTAGCGCGAAAAACTGGGGAGAGTGGAAGAAGTACCGGATGCAAGTTAACCATTACCGACAAAGCAAAATCCATCCAACGTTTAGTGACGCCAACGCAGGCGTTCATCTCCCACAGAATGAGTTGCGAGCGGTGTTCGTCTGATGGAAACCCTCGATGGGTAGACGACCAACCGTATGGTGACACGGTGATACCTGCACATGGAGTGTCAGCGATGTATGGTAGGTGAAATGAAGACCTTACTCTCGCTATGAGGGGTGTCAAGGAAAGGAGGGAAGTCAATCTCCTCGTCGTCCTCGTCATCCTCGTCATAGGCAGCGTCATCATCCTCGTTGTCATTGTCCTCGAGAGGAGGCATGGGTCGGAAGGGAGACGACAGCAGATTTGCAGTGTAGGTGATTGCGCGCAAACCTGGCATGTCAGGAGAGGGCGAACGGGGAATTAAAGATGGCATCCAATGAATAGAACGCCAGGGAAATACCCAGCAGCCGAAATACATCGTGAGTAGAACTGCATCATTTTATATCAGTCAGAGACAAAGTCTTGCGAGGAAAGTCATAAGCTCATTGTTGAGGACGAGTCGTACCAAGCGCGTGTACAGGTCAGTGGACAGGCAAGGCAAGCGAAATGTCATAATTGTTCAGACACATTGCCCGTGACTCAGCGGGGATAGGAACGCACGATAACTGACGGCACAGGGCGGCGCTGTCGTCCGGATTGATTGACGTGATAGGATCACTGAAGCCTGGGGCATGGGACGGGTTGTCGATCTGTCCAAGGCATCGGTGCCAATATTAGCCGACGGATGTTATTGCAAAGACAGTCGAGCCGGATCCATGGAAGTGGTAACGCTGATCACTCCAACTAAACGTCAAAGTTAGGCACTGTCGATCGATGTTGAAACGGTAGCACTAAAGTTGACGTCAGGCAGAGTAGGAACGATCCCCCCTTCGAAGACGACCAACCAAAATGTCATTTTCTGTTAGGGCGTATATTGATCATGTACCATGAACACCGGGGGACACCATGACTATCTGGCCATGAGTAATCGGGCAGTGGAGGACTGAGACCCTGCAATATGAAAGTGCCGAATGGACCCGAAGCAATTTCCAACCGTTTGAATATCAGAGGTCAGCAGCAACGAAGTTAGGGACTGCATTTGTCTAAATCAGGATGGGGCGGTTCGGTGTATTAGTATTCCGCAGCCGATGGTGAGCGACAGCACATGCTGTCAGAAACGATTCATGTGCGAAGAGAGAAATGGTGTATGAACGCGGAACAACGGAACACCGATTTTACGGGAGAATCACAGGCCATCCAACATGAAAGGAAATCGTCGAAGCACGAGGTAGTCCAATCAGAAGGTGTTAGCCTAAATCGACATCGCTTTCCCCCTTGCCAGTCGCATCGAGACACCAACATCAGGGACACTAAACGATCGAACATGGCGTTGTAGGGCACAGACACCATATGCGCGCACAAACATTTATTGCAGTGACTCACATCAGGGAAGGATGGTTACATGCGATGACATCGGATGATGGGTTCAAAAATAATTAGGGAGGGGTTGTATGATACCGCTAGCGTAGTTCTAGACAGAACTGTAAGTCGGGTGTCTGGCCCGCCATTTCGAGGTCCATCACTGAGATAGATATCGGGCATGCACAATTGAGGAACATCGGAATTAAGTGAGGAGCACGGGCAGTGGACCTCACGTCGCGAGCGTGCGCCAGATGAAACCCTCATATTAAACACAGCATGATTCAAACGAAAACAACGGGTATCATTATCATAGAGATCATAGCCTCACTCGACACAGAGTACTCAATAACAATGTAGAGGAACAAACGAAGACAGAGGTGTAATGACATATGCAGGCGGCAAAATAAAGACAGTGAAAAGTAGGAAGATGACATGGCGAACAATGATGAAGAAGAATGGTAGAGAAAGTGGTGTGTAGGTAGGAACCCGCAAAACAGTGAAAGTTAGAATCTATTCAAGCTGGAACCACGATGAGCGCGATGCACTATAACGATCAGGCGCGAACTCACTGGAGCAACTTCACAATATTGTCGAGCTGGGGGTACGCGTCGGTTCCGTGCAAATCAAGGAAGTGAGGGTTAATGGTCACGACGCTTCCCGCCGCGATACGTCTTGTACGAGTATAGCCGGTAATAGTCAACTGAAGGGTTTCCTCGTAGAGGCGACGGAATGGAGGTTTACAGAAGATAGTGCCGATAGAGTTAGTGCCTTCGTGGAACGCGATACGAACGCCGAGGATGCAAGAGCTAGGGGCAGCGTCCGACGTCGACCGTACAAACGGCAACAGATGCTGCGATACGAAGTAATGGCCCATAGCCGCTACGTGCAACAACACGTCAGTTTCACCGGGCATACGAACGTGAAACAGGATCGAAATCGGAGCGTGATGACGAAGGGGGGCCCATCTTGTGTTCTCCCACACAAACGCCAGGCTGGCCGGAGAGGAAGGGACGAGATGACCACCGGTACGAAGTTGCTGTACCAAATCAATCAGAGAAGATATGCACCAACAGACGCATTGGAACGTACCTTCCCAGCCAGTAACAGGACAAAGTCACTGTATTCTTCCTCCGACATAGAATGCTTCTGTAACATGTCGAAGGTAGACGGCAGAAGGGAAAGTACTCCGTTGGGGTTAAGTCTCTTCGCTTCAGCCAATCGCTTGCGATAGAGTTGGTGAATTCCGTGAGCCCTAATCGCCCCTTCCAATACCATAATCAGTTAGTGCGAGATACAAATAATGAGGCGACACAACGAACTTTGAAGGGAAGTACGACCGGGCGAAGGAGGGACAACATTTCGACTGGGCGAAGGGGACGGAGTGCGCGTGCTCATAGTGAGGTGAAATGATAGCAAGCAGGCGTGTGTAGACGTGGAACGATGGAGACTTATACAGGAATGGTACTCCCCTCCCCCCTCGATGACTGGCATTGCGGCCATGTTGACAGCGATGTTGACATCACTGCTAGGAGAATGATGGAAGTGCATGAACTCAGTACAACATGCGAGCAAAAAACAATTGCCATCAGTGTATCATTAAACGTAGTATCGTATACAGCCACAAAATACCATGGAGTAAGCAACCCATACTAAGCGCCAAAGTTCAGGATCGATTCTGTCACGAGTGAGTAAATACATGAAAGCGATGTCGATAACACTCACCATTCCAAGAGCTTGTTGTAAGTGACATTCAGCGTGGTGGTGGCACCGGGGGGGAGGCGAACCATCGCGCAAGCACGATGTCTAATACGCGAAAGGGCGGTATAAAGTTGCCCATGCGAGAAGACTTCGCGTGTCAGATCCACGCCAACGGCATCGAGCGTCAGGCCCTGGCAGCTATTGAACGTGGTAGCGTATGCAGGAGCCAACGGAAATTGTTTGCGGCGCAGGGTGAAACCGGAAGATAACGATGTGTCGAAGACGATGCGGGGAATCAGAATGTCCTCGGCCTCAATGATGTTCACGCCACCAATACCCCTGAGTATACGAACAGTAATGATGCGGTTTCCGAGCCCGACGACCACAACTCGTACGTTCTTCACCAGGCCCCAATCAATGGACATGTTGCGAAGGAGACGGCAGACCATGTTGAGTTTCAAGTGAAGAGAATGATGGGGAAGGCCGGGAGGACAATGGGTTGCAACATAATCGAGCATGCCGTACGGAGGAATGATGCCTGTCTCGTCTGCCTCTTTGAGGGAGTCGGCACCTAAGTATGTTCTTCCATCGCCATCGAGCTGGTCAGAAATAATGTTATTGTATGCATCGACTTGCATGTTGGTAGGTGCGAGAATTGCGCGCTGCAGGCAAAGCGTAGGGTCGCGAAGGACGTCGGGTGGGTAGGTGAAAGAAATGAGCTCATCTGCCGAAGTAACAGAGTGGAGCATACTGAGATCGACAGACGGGCCAGCACCATCGCCGATGCTATCGACAAAGTCCGCAAATTGAGGGTCCTGCGAGTTTCTGATCGGGATAGTGAGCGAGTACTGGCGAAAGAACTTCCATAATGAAGACGACTTGATGGACGCCTCGATGACTTCTTCTCGAGACCCACCCCTAATCACGGGACAGGTCTGGCGAAAATCGCCGAGCAGGAGCATAGACTTGCCGCCAAACACAGCGTTCGTGTTCGTAATGCGAGAGATAACGTCATGAACGCACGCGAGAACAGCCTTGTTGGCCATAGGGGCTTCATCCCAGATGTTCAAAGATGACGTATTGATGAGTGCTCCTCTCGCGGACGTGGGCATAATAGGGGACTCTAGCATCTCGCTGCGTTCATTAACGGGTACCTGCAAAGGCCCAGTAGTTAGTGACTAGCATACTTCAAACCACGGAAACTTACTTTGAAAGTGGAGTGCGTGGTACGGCCGCCCGGATAGAGCTGTGCAGCAAATGCAGCTGTCGCAGTCGGAAGCACTATGAGTCCTAGCGAACGGAGCTTGTCCAATATTGCGTTAACGAGGAACGTCTTACCACGTCCAGCCTTGCCGTCTACGAAAGCACAGACGGGCTGGTTCTGAAGTACAGCGCCAACAATATCGTCATAAATGGCGCGCTGTTCATGCGTCATTGATACGTACGCTCGATCTGCGCGTGCAGAGAGATCGGAAGGGTTGGACCCCCATCGCACTAGTTCGTGCTCGACCTCACCACTTATGAATGATGGCTGAGGAAGGTCGTAGTCTTGCAGAGTTTTGCCGTGCTCCTCCAACATCTTGCCCATATCGTCGAGAGCGTGACTGATAGCCAGGTGCCGGTGATGAGGTAGGCGAAGAATGAAGTCTTTTGCAAGATCAGAACTGAACTTCTCCCATAGATCAAGCGGAGTCAATGCACAGTCGTTAACGAGGAGATGAACGAAAAATACACGCAGTTGCTTCGGTGTCCTGTGTGCTTCCGTTGCCTCCCGAAGCGCAAGCTCAGCTTCTTTCTCATCCGCAAAGAGGCCCATGGCCGATGCGGCTTCTTGATATGTAGCATAAGTGTGAGCTTCTACAGTGCGAGCATCGTCGAAGGACAGGACCGCGCGTGTGGTGAGGATACAACGAAGGTAGAAAAGTTCCCCTCTGGAAGGAGGTACTGTCTGTATACGAGAGAGATGTAGACGGGAGGAATCGCGCTGGATGACTCGAGACGAGGGGCACCCAGGAATGACGATAGATTCTATAAAACACGGAGCGGTAGGAAGACGACCAGCAAGGGGACCAAGGCGAAACAGAGAGAAGTATTGCGCGTAAGTTAGAGATGCAAAGGAACGGGGAACTCCCGTTGCGTCCTCAAACACACCGATAGGACGGGCGAAGTATCGTTCCAGTGATGACATAGAAGCGTCGGGACCCGCAGCCTGATATTTACGACGCCGAACATTACCAGGTAAGTGAATGCAAAGAGTAGTAACTCCAGGGGTCTTCTGAGTCAGATGGAAGCCGAGAGTACGCCACGCTGCCTCGGTTGAAGACAGGTACCGACCATTCCAAAACTCGTCTATCTCGTCAATACGCTCTACATGCCCGCCCACGGAGTATGTAGCACGATCGGGACCTGAGCTATCATGAGCGCTGCGGAGAATAACTAACAACCAACACGAACCTTTGTTAATATACTTGAAAAGGTACTGGAATAAATGCGAGGCGTTGGCTACTTCGAAGTTAATGTGGCACTGGAATGCGCGAATAAAAGGAAGGCAGTGGGGAACAATCATTTGATCGCACGGTCTCCGCCGACGATAATGGACCCGTCCTTCGTTGTCAATCGTTGTCGTAGTCTGGACAGGATGAGGGTATCGGAATCTGCATGACCGACTGCCGTCGGGTTGATCACGCTGGCAATACTTGGCGGGAGGGTCCGTGGCAGCGGGGTGGTTATGATGCATGAACTTTCGAATGAGTTCAGCATCTGAAGGATCGTCAGGAAGCTCGGCGGTTACGATAGCGTCGATGTCGGTGGGTGTTACACAATCGATGGGATATTTGATGAGAATATGAGCGTGAGGCAGTCCGCGCTTCTGAAATTCAACAGAGTAAATGGTATACACTGGACGGCCTGCAGCAGGGAAAGCGGTTTTGAGGGCTGTTAAGAAGCAAGCGAGCCTACGTTTGAATGCGCGTACAACAACCAAAGGGGCATCTGCATAAGTCTGTCCGAGGCGTAGCTGATCCTTGATCTCTGGCCACGCGGAATTGCAAGTCATAGTAATAAAGAACGTAGGGTTTCCCAACGCGGACGCTATAGCCAATGAATCTGCGATCTGATTGGACGCCCACGACCTAGAGCCTAGAAAAGAGGAAGGAAGATAGATGTTTTCGGATGGTTCGACCGTGTCATCGCCCATCAACGCGGCGTCTGCCTCCAAGGCCTTCTGTTGGTGGTGACGGATGTAGGTCAGACGGCATTCAAGGTTCCTACTGTGCATGTCGACGAGGTACTCGTTGGTAAGGCGGCCAAATATAGCAAATCGAGGTTCTCGAAGAAGACGAGCGCGATAATGCCACATCTGAGTGGTAGGTTTATCGACGCCGCGATCCTCAGAGTTGTCCATGGCATCGTCAAAACCGTCCAAATGCGTGTTCCTATCGACAATACCCCATCCTAGGGTGCCATGAGGGAATAACAAAGGATAAGCCAGAGGCTCCCATAGCCGACTGACAGTCGGAACCGATCGCGTGGACGAGTCGGCAGAGTAGGACACAGTGAGATTACGGGCCTGGATCTGAGTAGAAGACGTGTTACTGTAGGACATGATAGCCGCAATCTCCGTTGCACCACCAGTGTCGGCGAGAGTAAGATATGCATGCGGGTACCCGACAGAGTTTGCATAAACCAAAGACCGAAGAGAAGCGACGAAGGGATTAATATTGAGAAGCGCTCTGCGCATGGCATCAAGCCACGACTCAGGCAAGTGGCGAGACCATTGAGGGTGGGGAATATTCCGCATGAAACCGTCATAAAGAAGCCACCGCACGGCAGAGTTCTCGTGAGTGGGTCGGATGCGATGGTATACACGACCCTGAATAGCGACAAAAGCAGGAGGACCAGAACCGAAATGAGGAAAAGTGTGTGTGCTTTCTAACGCAGCAAAAGAGAATATCAAATTCAATATACGGGAGTTGCGCGAGATATTGGGATCGTTGATAAACACATCGTATTCCGGGGGGAGAGGAGGAAGGGGTGCAACGTCATTAACGCGACAACCTAGCTTGCCACAGCAAAAGCCAGGAGACTCCCCAGTCAAAAGAGGGATGCTGCAATGCGGGCAAGCGTGAGCATGGCCGGCGCGCACTTCACCCCATTTCAGCCTCGGAGAGGAGACGCGAGCAACCATCCAACGGGATTGTTGCAACTGTGTATCGTGCATCGCTAGCTTTCTGTGTGACATTGTAAATGAAACTTTGAGAAAAGAGTATAACAAACCTTGAGGATAACGTGCTCTTAGACTGCCTTGAGGCTTCTGGCGAGGACACCGATGGTCAAACGGTCCCCGACCTGTGAGCACTCAAACGTATAGATTCGGAAGCGATACGCAAAGCCCGGCCAACGCATAGCCGAAACATAGCGGACTGCACCCGTAATCATCACCAGAGAGGTACTCGACGTCAGACACGGAAAGGCGCAAGCAGGCGCTGAATAGCAGAAGCACATGACACAACCATTGGTGGACAAAAGTAGAACAGCAGATGAGATCAAAACGCGTTACTGCCCGAACAGCCCAGAGCACAGATCCAAGAGCAGGGGACAAAGATCTGAACAATCACAGACTGACAGAGCGCAAAGCGACTCTTGATTGTGATGCGGTGTTCGAAGACGTCGTACAATAAAACGATCCATAGATTCGGAGAAGATCATGCACCACGTAGCAAGGGACAAAGATCAGAGATTGACCGTCGACGAAGCAAGACAGCATAGGGACGACGTCAAGGTATGTTGATGCAGGAACACGAAGAAATTATTGGTTCGAGGGTGCAGCAACAGGCCAAAATGCAGTGATGCTATATCAAAGCTCCAATCGATCGGTCATAAGACCATAGCTAGTTCAAGATCCACGAAGACGATCTTAGAACAGGTCGGCAGCAACCTGGTACCGGATGAACCGGGTTGACATGCATCTTAGATTATCAGTAGAAGAGAATGGGCAGACAAAATTAACGATGAGAATTGTTTCGATGACAATCACACCATAATAGGATCGCAAAGAGACCGTGTATATGTCAACGGCGATGGGTATACATTTACTACAGAATGCGATATGAATGTACGAAGAGGAAAGCAGGTATAGCGTACAAACATAAATAAGTTAAAAGCTATTCAGACAGTAACACGCAGCCACGCGAGAGAGAAGAGAACGGAATAGTATGTACCGCATGATATCACGCAAGAGAGATAAGAAAGACAATCTTACTCTTTAGCCTTTCCTTTACCCTTCGCGCGCGTTTTCGTAGAGCGAGCACGACCTGCACCTGTCGAAACAGAAGCAGACGACGTCGACACTGGAGGCGCAGCGGACGGCGTAGACGCGACGGCCGACGCAGGCACAGCTGCAGTCTCGGGCAGGGCAGGGGCGGCATCGGTAGAAGTGGAAGGGAGGGCATGGGGCGAAGTGACACTCGTTTGAGCAGCGTTAGCTGCTGCCAGTTGAGCAGCCTGAGATGCGACGAACGCTTGAATTGCAGCGGGATCGACGAGGGAGAGAAGAGAAGCAATTGCGGGCGGAATGGAAGGAGCGGCAGGGACAGTGGATGGGCCTGCGACAGAAGGAGAGTCTGGCTGAACGGCAGGAGGAGCAGGGACGACGGGCTCCCGCAGTTCAAAAAGTTGTGGTGTCTGGGGATGGAATGCCCCAGGAGGAAGAATGGGAAGATGCGAGTCCAAGGTGTTCGCGGGAGGAGGCGCGTTGTTCGATGCGTCAGACACATCCCTAACCAAAGAGATTAGACACGATCCGGGAATGAAATCCAAAAAAAACTTACGAATGGATAGTGCTGCTCGACGAAGCTTGCTCCAAGTCGAAAACGGAAGAGCGAGGGTCGGGTGAAGGACTGAGCAAATACAAAAGACATGAGGAAACGTGGAAGGGTAGGGAATGAAATACGAACGTTGTTTCGCGTTCGGGACTAAAGGCGAGCCTCTTCCGCTTAGCAGGGGAAAGAAAGGCAGAGGACGGCGAGGAAGACGAGGGAGGCGCTGGTGCGTTCGGCTGTGGACCCGATCCACCCACAGAGCTAGCCGAGACGCCCGTAGAGATCGAGAGCTGCTCGAACTGGATAAATCCACACTTGGACTTGCCGGTTGCGATACCCATGACACCGACCGAGCTGTTGATACCAGGAGGGCGGATGTTCTGCCAACGCGGTTGGGAGCTGTCGTACCAAAATCTGGATCGCATTAGTATAGAATGGTACTAAACCAGGAGAGACGTACTGAATGGTGGAGTTGGCGGTGGCGTGACGGACGTAGTCGGATACGGCGAGGTCATACACCTTGATAGGAGAAGACGAAGGAAGGAGATCCCCATGAGAGGGAGCAGACACGCGACCGACGCCGATGAAGAACGGAGAGCGATAGAGCTCAGGCATGAAGGCAAGGTAAGCATCGTCGTTGGGATCACCGGGGAATGGATAGAAAGCGATGGCATCGAGAAGAATGTCGGGAGATTGCGCGAAGTTGGCCTTGGCGATGACGAAGACAATGGTGTGGTACGGAAGGAGGCCCTGCTGTTCCTCGCTAGAGGGATAGTGACGAATAACGGCGGAGGCGTGGCCATTCTCGTAAGGCAGGAAGCAATGGTAGTAGTTATAGACAGTGGAGCGGGCGCTCTCGGTAGCAGCACGGCGTTCACCGTTGCGAAGACGGATGAGGCCGATAACGTGGGCGGACGACATTGGGGGAAAACGAAGAGGGGAAGGATAATTTTACGACGCAGATCCTCAGTTGAATTATAAGCGTTCACGCACCAACCGTCGTTCAGGAGTATAGACAAAACGGGCGATAGCGCACAAATGGGGACACCGATACATCGCAGATGAGATCTTGCAGATCTGTTCGAGATCTAGAGAGAGGGAGCAGCATTGGGCCCGAAATGCCGCGAAAGACGGGAGCATGGCACCCTAGCACACCCCGAAAGACGGGAGCACAGCCCGAATAGCCAAACATGAACAATCAAAAGCCGGGCAAAAGTATGAAGATACGAGAAATAACAACGAACTTAACGTGGTGGTAACTGGTGTCCCAATCAGTGACAAGACTCGTTCTCACGGGTCCCGAAACGGCCTTAGCCCCTCATTCCGTCGCGGCGTGCTTTTGCTTTTTTATCAACTTCGGTGACGATTCGTTCATCCCCTGGTACAAGTCATCATCGATATCTTGGACGAGGCCATGGTCGTGATTCCAGGTACAGATAGAGTATTAAACCTATCCACAAGCAATCGAGGAGCATCAACGTCATCAAGGCGCTCGTCTTCAAACTCTTTGTTTACGGCCGCGACAAGGGCCGCTGACCCCGCTCGCCGTACTCGAGGCCACCTCACCGCAGCTCAGTGTGAGGTCAGTGGCCCGCATGTTGCCAAGAATGAGGGTTTGCGTGCTTCGAGGAAGGTATCCGTGTTTGTGCTCCGGATCCTTGAACGGTCGAAACCTGCTGGTTCGTGTAGCTTTCTTGTTATCCTGGATACGGTTGTGACTTGAACATGCACAGGGTACCGTAATGCGGCATGTATAAACAGATTTACCGCCCCAGAAAACCCGAGTAACCATACTAAACACCTGTCGTTCACTCTCTTCCAAACGACAACGGGCCCGCCTGCGTGGCATACGCTCAAGTCCGAGGTATAGGCGCTTTCCGATCGTTGGGACCCAATGAATTAGGCAAGACATCTACCACGTGGCACGAGGTCCTTGACGGGCAGACATGTCGCCTCTCCTGAGTCCTCAACTCGACATCCTCTGATCGTCTCATGGCTTTCACATGGACCGCTATAGAACGCTCTGCCCACTCGCAAGAGCGACACAAGAAGCCACTGAGCTCTGTTTCCGCCTCATTCAAAGCTCCTGGTTCATGTGCTTCAACAACGTGCCTGGATAACGCATTATTCCGAGCTTTAGTTTTCATTTCGAGTTTTCAGTGCTCTCGGGTTCGTTCCAAGACTGATTTGAACGTTGCGAGGCCTAGCGGCAAATACTCGCTGAAAACTCGTTTATTAACCTCCCCACACATCGCGACACATGGATGGCGTACGCTCATTTTGTAGCTTAAATACCCCAGAGTGGTTTTGATGGGTCTCCACCGGTGCCGTTCCTCTTGACATCGTCAGTACCCCCTCGTGCGGAAATCATGAAGCTCTCCTCCACCTTCATCGCTCTTGCGCTTGCAGCTGTCTCGGTCAGTTCCCAGCCGTCTTATATCTCTTGAGTGACTCACAGACAACGGTAAAGTTCGCGAGCCCTGCTGCCCGTGCCGGCTCCGGTTATGTCCAGACTTCCGGACAGGCGTTTACTCTCGACGGTGCACCCTACACGGTCTACGGGTACGTAATTCCCACACACAGTGGAGCAGCATGCAGCCTGAGCTGACGCGACGTTCAGTGAAAACTCGTACTGGGTTGGCCTCTCCGGATACTCCACCGACCAGATGAACCAGGCGTTCTCTGACATTGCCGCCACCGGTGGCACGACTGTTCGTACCTGGTACGTCTGTCGCGCTTCTTTTATCCATCCTTTCTTTTCCCGGGCAAAAGGTCATCTCAGATATATGTCTGACTGATACGCTGTTCACGATTCAGGGGCTTCAACGACGTAAACTCGACGACTGCATCAGACCACCCTGTCTACTATCAGTACTTCGACGGTAAGAACATCACCGTCAACACCGGGGCCAATGGTTTGGCAAACTTCGGTACGTCTTACCCTTGACTTGACATGATATCCTACATCTAAGTTACGTCGACGCCAGACAACGTTGTTGCTGCCGCGAAGGCTAACAACATCAAGCTGATTGTCACTCTGTGAGCAAATTCCTCCTAGCAAAGTACCTTCTGCGATAGGAATGAACCATTTGCGGCTCAGGACCAACAACTGGGGCGACTACGGTGGCATGGACGTGTACGTCAATAGCATTCTTGGCTACGGGCAGCCGCACGACTACTTCTACTCCAACCCCGACGTCATCGTATGTGAAACGTCTGCACGCTGTTTGTCGCTGTTCTTAACGAAGTCCGCAACGATAGGCTGCCTACAAGAACTACGTCAAGGCTTTCGTCTCTCGCTACGCCAACGAGCCGACCATCTTCGGCTGGGAGCTCGGTGCGTCTCCCGCTAAATTTTCGGGATATAATCGCTTAACTTACTGTTCTACGACCGCAGCCAACGAACCCCGTTGCGGTGGCTCGACGCCTGCATCCTCGGGCACCTGCACGACGAAGACGATCACCACCTGGATCCAGGACATCTCCTCGTACATCAAGACTGTCGACAGCAACCATCTCGTCGGCCTCGGCGACGAAGGCTGGTTCAACTGGGCGAACAGTACCTCAGACTGGACCTCCAAGTCTGTCCCCCTCTTCATATCTGCTAAGTGTCCGGCATACTGACAAAGACGAATACAGTGGTTCCAATGGAATCGACTTTGACGCAAACTTGGCTATCAGCTCTATTGACTTTGGAACGTTCCATGTCAGTGTTCATTTGCCTTGATATCGAACTAAAAGCTGACAAAATGTCTCGCCTCTAGCTGTACCCTGTAAGAATCCAGACCTCGCCGAAACAATCATTATGCTAACTAGGTGACTAGGGCACTTGGCAAGAGAGCTCGCCGAGGTACGTTTCGTGTCCTGATGGCTTACCCTCGTCTAAGCTAATCAACTCCCAGCTACGACCAATGGGGCCAGACCTGGATCCAGAACCACCGCAATTCTCAGGTTACTGCTAACAAGCCTGTGCTCCTGGAAGAGTTCGGTGTCACCGTCAGCCAGGATCAGACCCAGACATACAACGACTGGTACTCAACCGCGATAAACGGTGGTCTTAGCGGTGTTATTATCTGGTAAGCCGACCTTAGCGCTGTGCGTAAGTGAACCTGTTCTCACATGCATTACGTTTTCTAGGCAAGCTGGATCGAACTACTCGAGTGGTAACTCTCCCGACGACGGCTTCACGGCAAGTACCACTTCGATTAAGCGTTGGCTGGATCGCTGACCAAGTACATGCACTTATGTAGGTTTACCCCGGCACTGATGCTTACAACGTTGTAAAGACATTCTCTGCTGAGATCAAGAAGCGGGACGGTACCTCCTAGATCTCTAGCCGTAGACTATCCGTCGTGACCATGTAGGGTCTATAAGTAATTTAACAGTGCTATTTAGGAAGCAAGCGAACGCTCTATCGTTGTTAACTCCACATCATTGCTTCGAATAGTGCAGTAAACCGACGCCTCCTAGTGAACTACGGACTGGCCCGCGCGAACTCGCAGAAAATTCAACTATATCTGCAATTTCGAACAAGATAAAAAATACGATGAGCGTGAATTATTCCCGGATAGCCTGCATACACGGACTAGAGAGTCTGCCACCTTCGCTTTCGAGCCATTGGTTTTTCAGAGGCCCCTTGGCGCTTTTCAGACGATGTCGTCTGATCTGGAACCGTCTGTGGCTGAGCGGAAGCATATCCCCTTTTCATGTTAGTAGGCGAGGTACTATGTGCTCCCGAGTTGAAGCAACAGAACAACTGAAGTAGACTGATATCTCTGTCGGGTGCCCCCAAATATCGCTGTGGGTATCAGATCAGAAGCAAGGTTGTGTAATGAACACTGTGTCATACCGGATCGGCCTGCGATGCGTATATGATTTCCGACACGCATGGTGGTTCGGGCAAAGTACGCTTGGGAAGCGATCCGTGTCCTCCGCCGTCATCTTGCGGACCAAAGGTATCCTCCCCGTTGACAATGCTTGGACGAATCTACGGGATTATTATTTAATGAACGTCAATGAACCAGGACGCCAGGAACGCATCTGCGAGTAGAAATGCCCCACGAACCCCTAAACGGCGTAGTACGCTTGTCACCCCGTTTGAGTGATCATGAAGAGCGAGGCGGCTGCGGAGACGGCTTGGCAGCAAAGTAACCTTCACAATGTATATGATCATAGTTCAGCATAAGTGATGTACAGTCAGCCCAAAAGAATACATACGATCCCATTTATCTCCTTGATATGTCTCCTCACACGAACCCGGAGCCGCTTGAAAGCCTGCCGATGAGGGCTGGCAACAGTGCTCTCTGGGTCAGTATTCTTCAATTCCGCTGTCGACATCTTTGAACACTGTTAGCAATGATCATACGCTTCTCTGTTAGCAATGATCATACGCTTCTCACGACAATTTACCACGGATTTCAGGTCTGTATCCACCAAGACGCCTTCCCGTCTTTGAGGAACTGCAGGCCACTGCCAACATCGAAATGACAAACTGGGTTAAGGTGAATCAAATATTGTCAATAGCACGTACGTTCATGAAACTTTCTGCGTCCGAATTCATGTCCTAACACTAATTAGCAAGATGACGAAAATATGGTCCTACGATAGATACCGTTGACGCCTGAGCTTGTCCACTCTGAGATTCGTTGTTTTCTTCATGGCCATGGGTTGCCTGTGACGATATAAGTTGACCGCGTCCTTCCTGCGATATGACACCCCTTTCTCCATGCTTTTGAACCTCTGTTATTTGTGTCATGAAGTAAGGGAGACCAGAACTCTCACATTGTGGTCCAGCGATATATTATGGTTGCTTCCGGCACTGTCTTTGATGAGCCGCTGTGCATGGCAAAAAAAATCGGAGTTAATTTTGGCAAGAATGGACTGCATGACACTCCACCTGTGGAAGCAGGAGACTTCCAGAGCTGACGTCCCACAAACGAGCATCGCCTTTCTTGGTACCGCTCATAATAGATATTCCATCTGGTGAGAAAGCTGCGGACCCTACGCTGCTGCCATGATGCATGGTCCGGTGAAGCTCCCTGGTGCTGGCGCTCCATACACAAACACGCCCACCCTCCGAGGCGCTGAGGAACCTAGATCCATCGAGGGAGAATTGCACGCTTTTGGCCGGTTCTTCATGCTTGAAGATAAAGTCCTGCTCTCCGCGGGAGATGTCCCAAAGGCGTACCGCTCCAACATCTGACCCACTTAACACTTTCGAGCCGTCAGGCGAGAGACAGACTGACAATACCGAGTAATCGTGCTGAAGTGGTCCTCCAATCGCTTCATAAGAATTGACGTCCCATACTCGGGTGGTACTGTAGTAAGATCCGTAAGGTCCGGATCCGCTGGCTAGTCGCGAACCGTCAGACGAAATGCTGAGAGCTACAACAGGACGATCATGTGGGTTCCATACTTGCAATGATGCACCGGATTGTACATCCCATACACGGATGGTCTCGTCGTCACCTCCGCTGACAAGGCGCGTACTGTCTGGAGTGAATTTGACGGCACGAACACGCCCGTCATGACCGAAGAGGCGCTTCGTGATAGTATCTTCGCATTGAAGGTCCCATATGCAAATGATGCCGTCTTCCGCGCCGCTCGCAAGAGAGTCAATCCTTGATATATCTATGGCCCAGATCCATTCGTGACCTTGAAAACGAGTACGTGAGGTTTGTTGCCCGTTGCGCACATCCCAGACTTCAATTGCGGGTCCTGCGCTTGCAAAGCGCTGCCCGTCGGAAAGCCATGCCACTGCTGTAATACAGTTGAACGTCTTCATTCTATGTTGGTCAGATGTAAAAAGGCACCAAGATGATGCGAAGACATACCTATATTCGTCCGAACTGTCGCACGCGGGCGTCGGCTACGAAGACCGTTTGTGAGTGACATGCAGCAGACTAGGGAACATTTGGAATGCGTACCTGAGGAAGTATCTGTTTTCCAGTACGTACGTTCCAAACCAGTATCTCGTTGCGACTAGAGGAAGAAAAGTGTGTTTGCTTCGGAGAGCAACGTATTGTATACTGTACCTTTCCGATCTTAAGTTCTGTCCCGTGTCCCATGGGCCCATGAACAGAACTTAGAACATGGGACAGTCCCACTGATTTGGACACTTGCGAACTTAGAAATGGGACATATGGTAGAATATTAAAATGAAGAAACATGTTGAATAACAATATTAACAAGTGGAAAAATAAACCAGTAGCTCGCATGTCTCACGCACATTGATAATCTACCTTCTTTGCAAGTGTCACTGCATGATGGGGAGAATTCTGACCATAAATAATTCAGAGTGAATAGTGGCATACTTAATTCTATAACAAGCTTCAAGTTGCAACTGAAGGCAATTGTTTGATGTCATATTGAATGCTGTTATAAGGACCACTCTCTGTGTGCTGCATTACAAAAGCACCCCGGCTGATGCTCGACTGCATGGCATCCTCATCCTCAGGTTCACTTGCTGGGTCACCCACCCTAAGACGCGAACTTTGTCCCGCCTCTACAGGACTCAGCGAACCTAAATTCGGGACATACGGAATAGGAAGGTGTCAATTTGTAATACTTCCCCACGCCACTGAGAACTTAAGATCGGAAAGGTACAGTAGTTGACTGAGTGTCCATCCCCATACAGCGGTCCCAAGGTGCATTCTCCTGATTTAACATTCCAGATCCGCACGGATTCTATTGAGCAGCTTACTAGAATCTGGCCATCGATCGAGAATGATATGTCGGTTACACCACCATTGTGATGCAGCGGGTCACGGATCCTTTCGCCGGAATGGGAATTCCATAGACTGATGGTATAGTCTTCCGACGCACTAGCTATGACGGATCCGTCGGGAGAGTACTGAATACTAGTGACCGAGGATGTATGTCCTGAAATCTCCCGTGATAGTTCGAGTCCAGACACATTGAGAGTGAAAATACGGATAAATCTGTCTCTACAGGCAGTTGCGACATGTTCGCCGCTTGGGGAGAACGACACAGAATTGATGCGACGTGGGTGCACGTATGTTGCAACGGAATTTCCAGTGTGTGCAGCCCATAGCTTAAGCCCGTCATGATCTCCGCTTGCGATGAATGCGCCGTCCGGCGAGTATTTCACCGAGTGAACCAGGTTGTGGCATTTGAGGGGGCCCATGATCGTCTGGTGAGTATTCGTGTCCCACACGCGAATAGAGTGATCGTGGGAGCCGCTGACTAGATGCTGTCCATCAGGAGAGTAATCGATGGCATGAATATGGCTAGTATGCCCTTTCAGCACCTCCCCATTTTGAAGACCCGTCGATGTCTCCCATATCCGTATCATATTGTCGTCAGATCCGGTGGCGAGGAACGCACCGTCGGGGGAGTATGCAAGACAGAGAATGCCGTCGGTATGGCCCTTGAACGGCCCGAAAGTCGTTTTTTCCATGGTAGGATAGAATATTGAGCTGGTGCTGGGTCGTTGTGGGTGACGAAGGTGCTGAGGTCTGTCCGAAGAGCTGTCTAATATGCGCAGAGATAGTGATGGTTGCTGTACATCTGCATCAAACCTTGGGAAAAGCACGAAAATAGAACATCAGCACACAGCTACAATATGATAAGGGCGGAGTACGTGCATTGTACAAATAGCCACCATGAAAAACTGGTGATGGGAGGTATGGACCGCAATCGCCGCCCAGCCTTCGAGCACTCAGCTTGCGAGGTGGAGGGGCAGTGGCAGGTTATGAAAGCGAAGGCGGCATCCACGTCTTTGACCCCGGACCACTATGGGCCGTCGCAGACTGGGTAGGTACCCATAGAAACGTCGACGCAGTGGCTCGAAGCGTCAGGCCGCGTCGAAGCCATCTCAAAGTGACTTACTGCCTCTTCGCCATCTGAATGGCCCACGAAAGATGTCGCCTTCGGCGGTAAGAGATGTGACTGCAGTCGTGTAGCAAGAGTCGCTGCAAGGAGGAGATGGCGCTGTGTTAAATGTCGCGGATTCTCATGCCGCGGCAAGAGGATTGGAGACGAAAGAGCCGAAGGAAGCGCTAGGGCGAGATTAGGCCTGGTTTCAAAGAAAGGTTTGACTTCACAGAAAAAGGTGATTAGCGGAGCTATGCCAGGATTTTCGCATGAAACGATGAAAGCTAGAAACATGTGCAGTGAAAGCTAAAATATGGCCAGCAACGAGGTTTGAAACATGGTGGCATGTGGTGGTCAGTGGTGTGCAACAAAGACTCGGAAGACCTGGTAGGTCAACTAGTTCGCTCTCACGGGTCTCCAAATGGCATCATAGCCCCTGAGTAGACTGTGGGTCAGTCTCAATATGTTCTCATCCCCTGTGTCATCAAACCACAGTACCAGTGCTCCTCCTCGGAACCATGCATATGATTGTGAGTGGAATGAAGCATGTACAACATAAATATCTATGCATCAACGTCTTAACATGTAGAAGCACCGAGGATCCAGCGGGCTGGAACCCGCGCCAACCCGTTTAGAAGGGGTACTGAAAGCATGATGAACCAGGGCGAAATAGCGGAATAGAACCTATGCATCTTGATGGAGATACCGGATTGCTGGATGGCGAGCTGATCGCTGCGTGTACTCTGCTTGCCAACCTCGCTGATGCGTCGTCGACAGCTCCCCGACTTGAAGTGACACTCTCAGGAGACGAGCATTCTGGGAGAGGCATCAGCTTCAAACAAGCGTTCGGTAAGATGGTAGTGCATGAACTGACCTAATCTTTGGTTGATGTCATCGTCGACGAGCCACAGCTTCAAAATATCGATAAGTCCATTGAATCGGCGGTTGTAGCATTTCCCTCACCTTGACATTCCAGGTAGCATCCATCAGCCGTGAGAGCTCGCCCGTCACACTATCGAGAGCTAAAGCCAGCTTAGATCAGCAAACATAGGGCAAGTACGATATTGTTTTAGTCACCTTGTCTGTCACCCAGCAAAAAAAACTGAGGATGAGCTCATCATAATACCAGAAGAGACACTAAGACCAACCTCGAACGCTCGTGGTGTGCCGGTGCCGCCATCTGCACTATCGTCCCTGCAACCTTTGGCGAATTCACCTCCCGGAAGAATCGAACCGCCTCCCATGTGACATTCGCTACCGCCCAGCTCTCGCCATCCGACACTGCATCGACATTCTCGTCCTCCTCGTCCTCATCCCACCAGGGCTCTCCCTGCGCAGACACACCGTCCCCCGCGTTGTTGAACACGACATCGATTCGTCCGAAAACCTCCTTGGCACATGCGAGCGCGGCGAACACCTGCGTACGGTCGAACGCATCTAGTTTCGTTGGGAGGAGAACATTCGCGCCGTATTTCTCGACAAGGTCGAATATCTCCGACGGCCTATTCAGCGCCGCGACGGCGACGTCGCCGCTGCGCAAAACCTGCTCTGTCATCGAGCGTCCGAGAGCGGATGACGCATCCGTGACTGTTCAACCGGCAGTTAATCGTCAGCGTTGGAACTCTGCGCTGAAGGAAGCATGTCAACTTACTGAACCAGACCCTCCTTCCCATATTGCGAGTTGAGGATATGATACTCTTGGAAGTGTACAAGAGGAAAATGAAGAGCTTTCAAAGGGCAGGGTGCGGCGGCGCTAGCACAGATTCTCGGGGCTCAGTCAAGGCTCAGTAATTCCTCCCATCAGGACCCGAGCAAGTACTTATAAGTAGCCGCATCCGAGGACGTCGACTCCTTGCCACTAGTCTAAACGCCGTAAAACCATAATTACCCAAAAGCAAACAAGCAGCAAACACGTTGTGCGATACTTACCCATGTCATACGACAATGAGGGGCGACGCGCATCTTGCTCGGGCATTCAGCGCGTGATGATCGATACGTGCACCCACTTGAGATGCGGGTAATATTTTGAAGTGTATACAAGCTGGTGCGGGTCCTCGCGCATCAGCTCGCGGCTTCCGCGAGCGTCTGTGCCAGTCACGAGCGACTAGACAGTGGGAACCACCGAGTGTAACCACCGAGCTAGTCAGCGTCGTGTCTTCCCCTTTCCCCTTACCACGTGCTTGCTCCTCCCTGGTCTCTTCCGGCCATGGACAGAATGTCCGTATTGTACATGATCTGCAAGCGAGCAAATAGCACGATAAACTCCGCGTGCCCCTGGTTTGACGAGGAGGTGACATGATCAAATTTGCATTGACGTCAATATGGGCCAGGCAGCGAGCGAATAGCACGATGGACATCGCGCACCCCTTACTCCCAGGCAGATCATAGGCTACCATAGGTAACCTGCCGACTCGTCTACATACATATCATAGATAGGATTGGCTTTAAGAATGTTATCTGACGGACACTGACAACGAACGAAAATACAATACAGCAGCTCCCTGAAATTATATTTCATTGTTCGTTGTTGTGCCTGTCCAAGAATTCCTACGCCACCATCTACCTTGGGCAGTACCTGTCTGTACCTATCTACGTGTCGTATCAACCAACATACGTAGTGCAAAATATGCGACGAGTCCGCCACTCAACCTAACCTAACGATCTAAATAACGTGGCGAGAACGGACGCGAACCAAAGCGAGGAGAAACACGATGAAAATGACGATAACAGGGATGGGTTCGCATGCTAGTGCGAGTAGGAGTAGCGATGGAGTTTACTATATCAAGAAGTAAGGCAGGGATATAGATAGAGTGTGTGCGTGTGTGTGTGCGAGGGTCGAGGGTATCAGCGAGCAGCTTGGCTATGCAATCATGTGTGAGGAAGAGATGGCGACGGTGAGCCGGTGAGGGACGAGATAATAATGGAAGAAAGAATCAAAACCCAAAACTTAAAGTTACGAGCGAAAAGGCGTGCATATACCAAAGCGACGAGAAGATCTCCAACCAGGGTCACTTGTCCGTGGTCTGTATAGTATGATGTTGATGAAGGGAGACGATGACGCGCAGACGGAGGTTATCTCGGTCTCTCGGTTTGCCTGTGATCAGCGACCAGGATGAGCGTTAGCGTCCATGCTCGGTGGGTGGCGGATGGCGAAAAAAATTCACGCGCGTCTACTCCTCCTCCCCCTCGTCCTCCTCTTGAATCGCCGCCGGACCCGACCTCGCTCCAGGCAACTGCCTCCTCGCACCCCGCGTATCGATCGACTCAAACGTCGTCTCCGGCGCAACCGGTGAGGACCGCCCGATAGCTGCGGGCCCGCCCTTCTGTCTCCCACCGTGGCCCCCGGCCCTACCACCACTAGACCCAAAGCCCCCCGAACTGTTCCTCTGCTTGCCCTCCGACGCATTCCGCTTGCTGTACGTCCTTGGCGGGGGCGACACTAGTGGCGTCGACTCCATTACCGTCGGCACACTCCCTCCTCCCAGCCCCACCAGCCCCATACCGGCCCCAGCCCCGCCACTCGCCGACGAAATCGGCATCTGCCCCAACCCGCCCGCAAACTCGGGAACATCATCGTCCTCGTCCACCCAATCGCTCTCGTCGCCCATCGCACCCACACTCAGACTCCTCTGGCGCCCAGGCCCCGTAAACACATCCCGGATACTCGCCGGCCCTTGCACCTCAGGCAGCGGCGAGATCGCGAGCACCTCGATGGGGAGATGCGTCGAGCGCGACTTCCACCCGGGCGGCTCGTGGCCCCACGACTTCTTCCAGCTCGTGCGCCCGAGCGAGCCGTGGCCGCTCGCGAGCGGGCTCATGAACGGCGTCAGCCGCTTCTGCGCGACGAACGTCGTCGTGGTACCGCGCCGCCCGGGCGTGTTGATGCTCCCGCTGTCGTCGAGCGAGCGGCGCGAGTGCGATGCGGAGCGGAAGGGCGAGCCCGTGCGTTCCGTGTCCGACGGCTCGTAGAACGACGTCGGTCTCGACGAAGCGAGCGAGTGCACCGACGACGTCGCCGAGTTCGAGCGGTGGTGGATCGGCCTCTGGTTGGACGACGGGCCGCCCCCGGCAGCAGAGGCAGATGAGGTGGAGTTGGACGTCTGATACTGCCTCACGACGCGCGTAGACGACGACGAGCCGCCGCGCCTATGGTTGTTGTACGCGTTATTCTGTGTAGCCGAATTTGGCGAAGACGCGCGTTGTAGCTGATTTGAGCCACTCGATCCGCCGGACAACGACTTATGGTGGAGACCCACCGGAATGCTATGCACCGACGACGGGCGCGACGGGTAGTCTCCCCGCTCCGACACAGGCGTCTGCGCACCGTATGCCTTGCTCGAGCTGCTTGGCGGATGCTCCAGAACGAGAACCTGCGCCGACGTGCCCGACGATCGCCGCGAGTTGACGCTGCTCGACCGCCGTGACGACGTCGAGTGCCGCTTGACGCGCCGTCCGCGCGTGGTGCCACTCGGGCGGCGGTTCACCGACCCCTTGTTGGGAGTGACCGTGTTCGACGCCGAGGGCGCTCCAAGAGAACGACTGTACGTTAGCCCACCGTGCCGCCCGCCCTGCGGCGACAGCGCCTGCTCCTTCCGCTTGCCCTTCCTGTCCTCGTTGAACCAGAACCGGAACGCCGACAAGATACTCTGCCGGTTCCTCGGTGGACCGCCGTTACCGCTGGCCTTGCCCATGGTGCTCTCCTCCGAGAAGTTCGGCAGCGACGTCAAAGTGTCGCCAGGCGAACCCCCCGGGCTGGGCGCATTCGAGTGCGGCGACGTCCTGCCCGTAACGACCCACGGCGACCCAGCCAACGGCCGCGGATGCTGCAGCTCCAGATGCGTCGGCGTCACCGGCCTTCGTTCCGCGCCTGCCGCGTCCTTTGCGCGCAGCGGCGGCGACTTCGTCAGCTTGGACGACTGGCTCCCATGCGACGTCCTCGCATCGTCGCCCGACGCCTTCTTCTCCGGTATTCCAGGACCAGCCTCCTTGTCCACCTTCTCCTTCTCCTTCTCTTTCTCCTTGCGCTCCTTCTCCCTCTCCTTCTCCCTCTCGCGCTCCCTCTCTCGCTCCTCCCGCACACCCTCGTTCGACTTCTTCCTCACCAGCCCCGCAGCCTCCAGCGCAGTCGTCGCGCGCTGCATAATGCTCACGCTCCCCGAGCGCCCTGCGCGCTTCCCCCTCGAGCCCTGGTTCTCCTTCTCCTTCTCCTTGGTGCTGATAATGCTCCCGCTCGGCGTCGACGACTGATTCGGCGTCAATGCGCGACTGCTCCCGCTTGCATTCGCACTCGACCCGCTCGCGTTCGCCCCGCTGGAGGTCGGGTTCGCGCTGGCGCTGGCGCTTATAGTAGGCGTCGGCGGCACCACCGTGAAATCCGGAGCCGACTTGGACAGCGTGAGCGGCGGTGGGGACGATACCCCCTCCCTATTGTCTTTGTCCTTGTCATTGTCTGTCTGCACCCCGACCCCGCGCTTCATCCGCCTCCTCGAGCTCGTCGGCCGCTCGCTAGAAGCTTCCCCGTCCTTTTCCTTCTCCTTCTCCTTATCTTTCACTTTCTCCTTGTCCTTGTCCTTGTTCTTGCGTCCAGCGTTCCCCACCTCCGCCACCCCCTCCTTCGCAGCAGCACCAGCAGACCCACCATCCAACGCCCTCTTCTCCGCCTTGCGCTTCAACATCCACCACAGCGCCCCCGCACAATCACACGCATCCGTAAGCACCGAATGCACAATCTGCGCCGTATCCAGCCCCAACACACTCATCGAGTTCAACAACTCCCGCTCAAACGGCGTCGTAAAAATAATCGGCGCAGGCGTACTCAGCAGCCCCGCAAAATCCTGCGGCGCCGCCCCCGCACCCTCGCCCGGCGTCACCCCCGCAGCAGCGGCCGCCGACGCCCCCGCGGCGAACGTCTGCTCCTGGTTCGGGCTCGCCGGGTCCGCGTCGCTCAGCATGGACGACACCGAGCGGCGCTTCGTCCGCGCCGGCGTGCGCGTCGGGTGCGGCGGGGCCTTTGACCCACCGCCACCGCCGCCGCCACCGCCGGGTGTGCTCGACGAATTCGACGTCGTGAACTCCATACCGGCCGCGGTCCGGGACGCCGTTCCGTCGGCGCCGACCTCCTCTTCGACGACGGTCTCGTGCTGGTGCCACAGCGCGCTATCTTTAGACTGCCGCTTCGCCGCCTTCTTTGTAATCGTGCTCTGGCTCCCGTTCTGGTGGGTGTGTATCGCTTTGTCTTTGTTGGGAGTCTCGAATGGGTTGTTCGGCGTGTCATCGGGCGTGGTGGGTGCAGAGGGCGAGAGGTTGGAGGTGGCGGAGAGGAAGGTCGTGGCAGAGCCAGAGGAGGTAGCGGATGAGGCGGAAACTTCGGCTGCATCGGGCGGTGGTAGGGTTATAGGGGACGAAATGGGGGAGGTGACGCGGACGGGGGAAGGAGAGGGTGGTTCTGGCACTGTATGTGAGAGTGTTGGGGAAGCGGGCGTGGCATCGCTCGTGCTCGAACGGGAGGTGAACCAGGGGGATGCGAGGATTTGCGGGATAGTCAGTCTCTTGGATGGGTCCTTCTCGAGGACGTTGCGGATAAGCTCGCGGGCGTCTGTGCGGGTCCCATTCAATTAATCATCGAAGGCCTCGTCGTAGATAGTGAATGAATGCAAGAACGGCGCTTACCGTCAGACAGCCACTCTGGGTCCTCGAACTTGCCCTCGATAACCTTATCTCTCATGATAGCTTCGTCGTCGTCATCAAACGGGAGTGTGCCCGTGAGGAGCGTATAGAGAATAACGCCCATCGACCATATGTCGACCTCTGCGAACACGAGTGATAAGCATTGCGTCATACCCAGGCGCCATGAACGTGGGGGGCCCGGACTTACCGGGACCGAGATACTTCTTGCCCTGCAGCATCTCCGGCGCAGCATACCCCGTCGTGCCGCAAAACGTCTCCATAAACGCCCCCCGCTCATACTCGCGCGTGAACCCAAAATCGCCGAGCTTGACTCTACACCGCTCGTCCAGCAGCACGTTCTCGAGCTTGAGGTCGCGATGCACGATGCCCTTGTCGTGCAGGTACGCAACGGCGAGGCACAGCTGGCCAAAGAGGATCTTGCTCTCGTCCTCCGCGAGGCGGCCCTTCTCGGCGAGGTAGTCGAAGAGCTCGCCGCCGAGGCAGAGCTCGGTGACGATCCAGATGGCGTGCTCGGTCGCGATGACCTCGAACATCTGGGTGATGTGCGGGTGGTGCAGCGTGCGGTGGTGGTGGATCTCGCGGGTGAGGGAGGCGGACATGGCCTTGGGGATCTGCTTGATGGCGACGCGGGTGGACGTGAGGCGGTGGGTGCCCATGCGCACCTTGCCGTACGCGCCTGTGTGTATGCGGCCCATCTTATCAGAAGCAAGAGGGGGGAGTGGATGGGCGACGTACCCTCGCCGATGACCTTTCCGAGCGTGTAGTTGCCTACGACCCTAATCTTGTTTGAGGACAGCTCCTTGCCAAGTTCGTTGTATGCGTTGGCGAGCTGTGCCTTTGCATTCTGGGAGATGGAGCCCGAGTGTTTGTGGTGAGTAGACATGGTGGCATATACAGATCGGAATCGTTGGATGAAGAAAGAGAAACAAAAGAGATCAAATGAGGGGCACGGGCACGGGGGCCACTGGGAGGAGATGGGACAGGGAGTAAGAGTAGAGTAAGAGTAAAAGTAATAGAAGTAATAGTAGTAGTCGGAGGGCAAGAAAATCCAGGAGACTGCACCGAAACAGAAACCACATCACCCACCCGATGGCGTGGGAACACCCCATCACCACGACCCTGGCCTCCTGATGAGCTCATTCCTTCTACACATGAGATATAAACATCGTCCATCCGCTCCGACGCCTGGTATTGCTCATGGGCGCCCTGCTTTGGCCGTCCTACAGAATACACATTACGAGCGGAAAAGATATACTATGCTGCATAGATACAACACATTGCAATCGTGGAATCAACGAGAAAAGCGAGAACGAGAGAAACGGGAGCGAGGTAAACAAGTCTGGGCTAGGTTGAGAACGTGGCAATACCAGTAAGGGCAAATAATGATGCTGCGGCTAGTGCTTGGTCGTCTTCACGATGGACACCACAATGATCACGATAATAATGGCAATAGCAACACCAATGATAAGGCGCATCTGCATAGCACCGACGGAAGAAACGAGCGTTAGTCTCGCTTCCACCAGCTCAATTTTGCCTGTTACGCACCTTCATGTCCTTCCACCTTTATCGCGCGGGGCGGGCTTTGAGAATCGCGATACCAACAAACGAGATACGGAGGGTGCTTACCACATGTTCTACAAGGACACGTTAGTTGGAGATTGTCACGGGATACAGTAGTCAACGCACCTTTCTCACTCGGTTGGCCCCGCGACGGAACCCCTGGGCCGAAACGGCAAGGTTATCTAACCCCTCGCTCGTCAGCATCGCCGCCACCAGCATCGCACCCCCGCCGCGTCCAAGCTCAAGGGCGAGCGGTACTCGAGAAAGAAGGGGCACGCACCGGTCTTGTCTTGCAGCGAATCTAGCCGCTCTCCACGCTCTGCGACCTTGGTGATGTTTTCTCTCATAATCCCAACAGTGTCGTCAATCTGCGCCTGGATCGCAGCCGTCTTCTGGTTCCCCTGGCCCTGGCTGGAGCCTTGTGCTCCGCCGGCGCCGTTGCGGGGGACGTAGGGGTCGTAAGGCTCAGACCTGTCCATCCAACATCCAACAGCGACACAGGTGGTTTCGTGGGTTAGAACGTGGGTTCGGGCGGCTGAACTGAGGACGCAGCAACGCACATTATGCAGACGTAAAGGGGTTGATCTGGGAGAGATAAAGGCCTTGAGTATACGGTGCGATCCGGATGAACGGGGAGAGGAACGTACCGCGTCAAGCGAGGAGGGGAGGGAGATTAAATGCTCGAGGGTGGGGGCAGTACCTGGGAGCACTGACGAGGGCTGGGGGAGCACAGGCTCAGACTGCGCGGCCGACGGTTCGCACGGCATGTCACATGTCACCCCCACATGTCACCCCTGGTGTGTCACGGCGGCGGTTTTGCCCCTGACGCTATCTGAGGGCGAGCAACGCGTTCGCTGCCTCGGTCGTGCTTCAGGCAGTATCACGGCGACCTTATCAAACACTTACACCTAAGAAGTTATAAGCTTGTGAGGTTTTCACTCTTCATCTCATCGACGTCGACATCGCAAACATTTATCGGCACAATGTGTCCACTATCCGCCCTCGAACAACTCAGCTCCGGCCAAGCAACATTCAACCCCAGCGAATCAACCACCCCTTCCTGCGTCCCAACCGAACCCATCTCCCTCGGCGCCTACACCCACGTCCGCACGCGCCTACACCCCTCCATCCTCGCACACAGCCTGCGCACCTTCCTGCACGCCAAAACGCTCTCCGCGGCCGAAAACACACCATGGCACACGCCCCTCGGCCTCCCGCTGCTCTTCATCGCGTGCCTCTTCCACGACATGGGCACCTCGCCCTCGTGCGATGGCCCGCAGCGCTTCGAGATCGAGGGCGCAGACGCCGCGTCCGCGTTCCTCAACACCCGCTCGCCCGATATCGCCCCGGACGACGTGCGCGAGGTCTGGACGGCGATCGCGCTGCACACCTCGCCGGGTATCGCTGAGCGTATCACCGTCCTCGCGCGGATAGTGAGGCTCGCGGTGCTCGTCGACTTCAAGGTGCCACACCCGGACGCGCGCGTGGATGCGAAGGATATTGAGCATGCGGAGAGGGCGTTCCCGCGCGGCGAGATCGAGAAGGTGCTGGGCGATGCGGTCGCTGAGCAAGCTGAGAGTGCGCAGGAGCCACAGAGGAAGGCGCCGCCTGCGACTTGGCCGGGCGTGCTGCTGCAAGCTAGGAGGGAGAATCCAGGGTGGACAGGGGTGAATAAAGCGTTCTGAGTTTGGTATGCTACGGTGAGGACATGGATAGCTACGATTCGAGATCTCAGAGAAGGTGAAAGAAAATGTCGAAGGACCTGTTATTTTCTCGCGTGTCTTGTCGCCGATGCGCGCATGCTGCTCATTGTCCTCTTGATGTTGTCATACACAAAGCGTACCGCCGAATGCTCGGAGTTGACTTGAGGAGCGTGCCTGGTGGGGGCACTGCCACAACCCTAAATGAACCCTCCATGCCATGACATCATCGCCCTTGTCGTATCAACTCTACTGCAGATCCTGAGAGCGCACAGACGTCGATAATGAGAGACTCTGGATAAAACAAACGTTCTGCGTTCACGCTCAGCATTGAACAGCAGCTCACTTACACGGAAGAACGTGGCGTCCATCGCTGTTGTGTTCATCCGTTGCGATGAAGCACCGGATCCTAATCCGGATATGTTCTGGACCTTACATAGCTCGGCTCCAAGCCCGGTCCAAGCTGCCGAGGTCCGCCACACGCCAAAGTTATATACCACACCCGCCTTCCCCTGTAAATTCAACCGTCTCCTTACAAAAACCACTCCAACCTCGCTCTACCGCTCCTTTTCGGCTCGTACCCTCCTCGTCCTCCATCCATCATGACATCGACAACAACATCAACATCAACACCAGCACTAACATCGATATACACATCCACACTTACATCCATGTCCGAAGCCGACCTCGACGTCTTCCACGACGCCCGCTCCTCATCGCAGTTCTCACTGGCGACGTCCCTAATCGCCGAGGGCGACACCTACCGCGGTGCATACCGACGCCGCAGACGCACGCGATCGTCCTCGGACGGCTCAGATCTCGCCTCGCCCGTCGTCGAACCGTCGTGCGGGACGTTTGGGCTCTCGGAGGACCTGTCGTTCCGGATGGCTGAAGGTGCGTTCAAGGCAGTGCTTGAGTGTATGCGAAGGGTTTAGACTCACGTATCATCTCCCGGTCCGGTTTCATTCTGTGCTTATGTCTAGGCTACTCTGACTCCAAGCTCACTAAGCTCCGGCACGCCTTTGGGCGGCTTGGCCGCGCGCCTGCACGCCCACTTGAGCCTGTTGGGGAGCCGCTAGACACTGCCTCGGGCCCGCATGCGCTTTTGGAGGCCGTCGTGCATGCCATGCTCGGCCACTACACGCTCTTCCGTGCAGGTGTGCTCCACCGTGATGTCAGCCCCGAGAACATCCACATCCTGAAAAAGAAGACGATGCGGACGCCTGTGACCGAGTGAGTCCCTATCCACGCATACCCTATTCTCCTGCACCCTATCCGCCCACACGCCGTCCATGATGTTCTTGCGCTAACGCGGAGACGTCGTACAGCCTGCTCATCGCACGCGATGTGCTTGAATGCGCAGGAATCTTATCAGATTCAAATAGCAAGTCCATAGACTGGCGACGGACGAAGAAATCCCACAACTTTGTGAGCCCACCTTCCCCTATCCCTAGTACTCGTGCGCTGACCATCCCATTCCCACGCAGCGCCTCGTCCACCCCACATACGCCTCCGACCTCGTCCTCGAATACCACGAAGGCACCTCCCGCACCCCGCACACCGCCCTCGACGACCTCGAATCCTTCGTATGGACCCTCCTCGGCGCCCTTCTGCACATCGTCACCTCCCCAAAATACCGCCGCCCCATCGCCGCGCCCGGCGCACTCGACGCAGAACGAAGATGGCTCGACGACCTCGAGCGCACAACGCCTACATTCCACTCCCCACGCGCGTTCGTCATTTCCGCGATCTACTTCGCGGCAGAGCAGCGCGCCGCGTCGGGCGGGGCCGTGCGCACGTGTGCGGCGGGTGTTGCGGCGCTCGCGCCCGTGCTGAGCAAGTGGGCGGGGATCATGGAGGATGCGCGGGCGTGGCAGCGTGAGTTCTTTGCGGTGCAGAAGAGGGACGTGGTGAAGGATCAGGAGGAGTACGAGGATGTGTGTGGCGGGTTTTATCGGCGGTATCTTGTTGTTGCTGCGGAGCATTTGGCGGGGATGGGGAAGGAGACGTGGGACGAGGTTGAGGGTGTTGCTATGTAGTTCGTGTTTTCTTCTTCTTTTTCTTTGTTTTCTTTTTGGGTACTCGTTTGGTGTTCGGTCCGCATTGCAAAGATTGCAACTCAATGTGAATTACTTCTTTATTAGTTGTCACGGTACTCGCACTCCTGTTGTAGGATAATCCATTCCTAATATCTGCATGCTGATGTCCATTTCCGTGCGTTAACCAAAACCCAAGCACCACTTGGTAACTCGGGGCAAGATTTGATGCCATTATCGCTACGCAGCACCGTAGCGCTGGCGGCTCGCTGCTTTGTGCCACCGCTTCCCTCACGCTCCTTCACCACGTACCACCTTCGCCGCCCCCACTCATAAAGACCTCGCAACAGCTCAGCGCTTCATGGAAGGTGTTTATCTTTGAACCGATCATGGTGCATTTTGGTAAAATTTGCTGCCTTGTATGCTCGCCAGACGGCGCGTTCCTTGTCACCGGATCTGACGACAAAACTGTACGGATATGGGACCCGGAAACGGGCCGGCAAGTCGAGCAGCCGTTAAAATGGGATGCTAGCGCTGTTTCTGTAATCGGCTATTCTCCTGATAGAAAACATCTAGCCAGCGGTTCCCGTGATGGATCTCTTCTCGTATGGAACACAAAAACTCACAAGACGGTCAAAGGTTCAGTTATTGAACATCACAAACGTTGAGTTTCCGATGTGAAGTACTCGCCAGATGGCGCGTTCATTGCAAGCGGAGATTTCAACTGCCATTTCATGCTTTAGACTGCCCGCACTGGCAATTGTCACTCGGAACATTCGAGTACCCTTTCGTCGGTGTCGAGTCGTTTTCGTTTTCCCCTGACAGTGATCATGTCGCGACTGTTTTCTATGATTCCATCTTCCTGATTTTATCCGTCGATCGGCTCGAGCTCCTACGCGAAAAAATTTCCCCCCAGACATATCGCCCACTCGAGAGGCCATACCACAGCCGTTCATTGCTCTCCTGACGGGTTATTATAGTCAACGCGTCGTATGAGCTCACTATCCACCTATGGAGTCCTCAGTACGGCAAACGGATCCGCGACGTTCAACTGCATTACAATCGCATGATCCACGGCAGCATCTCGTCTAGGACAGCTTGGGATTAGCCACTGGCTCCAGCAGCTATTCTAACGGGACTGCCCGCATCTGGGACCTCTCTTCTTATGAAGAAATTGGCAAACCGCCTCAGTTCGAGAACGAAGCAGTGTGGACGGTCTGCTTCGCACTTCCGTCGGCGATGCGAACAATGCGGCCTTTATGGCTAGGCACTAATTTGGATAGTCAAGTTGATCAACTCGTACCTATAATTTGTCCGTGAGCACATCTTCCATGCGAGTCGTATGACTCTGCAACCTTACTCGAACACTTTTCCGTCGGAGAGACGGGACGGAGGAACTGGGCAGTGGTCGAATGGAGTCCTGGAGCATTTGCTCGGCGTGCCTTCATTGTATGAATTCCACGACGACCTATTTTAGGCTTGAAGCTTGACGTCTCTGCAATGTTGTTTCTTCAGGCACCGAAGATGCATTCAGACCAATTGCGCCACTCTTACTCCAATGATATATGGAAAAGGGTGTACTCTGAACATTGTGAGTACCGAATACTGAGTACTGAAGGCCGGGTGCTAACTCAAAGTTCCGAATGACTCCCTGCGAATGCAAGGACTCGTGAGCGACCTGGAATATATGGATCTGAGAGAGCAAGGGAGATGTCTCCGAAATGCCCGAATGATTCTTTGATGGATGCACACTTCTCGGCAAGTCGACAACGCAATTCTCGATCGCGTCCCCGCTTCGAAGTTTGCAACTGATCCAACGGGTGGTCGTTTGCTGGACTTCTCATTCCGGAGCTGGACTCTCGGCTGACTGGCATTCCCAACTATTGTCGGACATTCGATTTCCAAGTCTCGCCTTTGAGTCATGCTCCGCACCAGCTTCAACGCATATAAAAAGCGCCCATTTATTGCCCTGAGCTCACCAGGCCCAGTTTTACTCAGACGCTCTTTCCTTCGTACTCCCACCATTCAGACATGAAGTTCTCCGCCGCTTTCACCTCCCTCTGCCTTGCCGCCGTTGCTGTCGCTCTCCCCGCCGAGAAGCGCGCAGACAGCTCTACCAGCGCTGCTCCCACTGGTTAGTAACCCATCCGCCTGTGCTTCTCCCACAATTCCACTAACGAACTCTTGCAGTGACGGACATTCTGAACTATGCCTTGACCCTCGAGCACCTTGAGAACGCCTTCTACGCTGAGGGTATCAAGAACTTCACTCACCTGTCCTTCATTGAAGCTGGCCTCCCCGGTTTTGCTGCCGGTCGCTTCTCCGAGATTGCCCAGCACGAGGCTACCCACGTTCAGTTCCTCGCTGGAGCTCTCGGTGAAAGCGCCACCCAGGCTTGTAACTACAACTTGTAAGCACCTTCGCGCTCCTCCCTTGCAATATATTTGATTGACTTACCTCTCTTTCCTAGCCCCGTGACCGACGCCAAGTCCTTCGCCCAGGTCTCTTACCTGCTCGAGAACGTCGGCACCTCCGCGTACTCCGGCGCCGCCCAGTACCTCTCGGGGGGAACGCTGACCGCAGCTGCCACCATCCTCGCCGTCGAGGCCCGCCACTCCGCGTGGGTCAACTCTGCCGTCCTCAAGGCCAACCCGTGGAACGGCGCGTTCGACACCCCCCTCGACCTCAACCAGGTCTACACCCTCGCCTCGGGCCTCATCACTTCGTGCCCGTCCTCGAACCCGACGCTGCCCGTCAAGGCCTTCCCCGCCCTTACCTTCGGCTCTGACATGACCGCCGGCAAAGCCACCACTGTCTCGTTCAACGGCTCTGACGCAAGTAGCGCCGACGGCACGTACGTCGGATTCATCAGCGGCATGAACACGACCATTGTCCCCGTCCAGAACGGCCAGGTCACCATCCCCGACGGTCTCATGGGCGTCGTCTACGCCGTCGCGACCTCGAGCGAGTCGATGACCAGCGACAACGTCACCCTCGCCGGCCCGGCGTTCCTCTCCTTCGACTTCGGGCCGAACGGCAAGCCTATTGGTCACTGGTTGTTGTGAGAAGCCGGGTGACCTTCTGGACTATACCTTTACTTTATTTGCATACATTTCGCCAAAACTGCAGTACTAATGTCTGATCGCTTGTACTTACGGACTTTTCGTAGTAATACTTGACATGATCTCGTGTTTCAACTAGTCTCAATACTCGATCAAGAATGTGCCGTGTTATGCTGTTACAACTCCCTCTTACCTTTTAGTCACCGTATACCACACTCTTTTCTGCGAACATTCGTCCAATATTCGATAAAGATATCCAACTGTGAGAAAGGTAAAGTCCATGTCTGGTGTCTACAGCTAGGTCACCATTCCCGAGGTCCTCATGGACGTTACCTACTTGACAGTTCAAAACTACACATTGGGTCAGCGGACGGGGCGATAAACACGCCTGTGGAATATCTAATGCGGAGAGCTGGTCTACGTTGTTGATGATAAAGTAGTCCACTCCCTACATCTCTCACCGGACGGACTCAAGTGCATCAGAGCACAAGGGGCGTATTTTGATAGAGGAGTCTGTATAAGGGACGTTGGCACTGGAGAGATCTTAAATACACTGCATCATAACACCGGCGTAATTTACATAGCCTTCTCACCAGATGGAACACATATTGTGAGCGGCACCTATGATGGTAGCCTCCGCTCGTGGGACGTTGGCTCTATACATTTCCTGCTCCCTAAGGTGGGTTGTCGTAAACCTCGTTACTCAGCAATGTGGTTCCAGATTTTTTCTTCATAAACAGCGCCTCATCAAGGCCGGAGTTGAGAATAACGATAATTCAATTGACCACAGCGTGAACATCCTGGCTTCCCTTACTTGATGACATAGATAACTTGAACACAGGGTCTAATGCATGATATATCTCAGGGACAATACAGACTTACAACAGCACTGAATACCCAAAAACGCGAAGAAAAGAACGAGATTTAGGGTGGAGAAACGCAAACATCAAAGGTGCGTATTGTACGACCACCGATCAGCCATGGACGTCAACATCTCAAATAAAGGCAATCTCCTTGCAACTTGCGCAAGCGATGGTATCATATGCGTCTGGGACCCTGAGCGCGAGGATACCATATATACGGCCTTTCTGGTCACAATGGGGATGTTCACTCCGTTAGATTCACCCCAGATGGCATGCGCCTTTCCAGCAGCGGAGCTGATGGGACTATCCGTATATGGGACGTGCAATTCGACGTATCCCTATGTACCTTCAATAATACACATACCGATGCTGTTCGAAGGGCACTCAGCGCTCAGCATCTCGTTTGATGGCTCTTGACTAGCCAGCGGATCTGACAATGGGGTCATCCGCATATGGGATATTGATTCCTACAAAGTAGTTGGCAGGCCTCTACGTAAAGCACAGGGTGTCTCCTCGGTGCCCTTCTACACATCGTCACCTCCCCAAAATACCACCGCCCCATCGCTGCCCCAGGCGCACTCGACGCAGAACGAAGATGGCTCGACGACCTCGAGCGCACAACGCCTACATTCCACTCCCCACGCGCGTTCGTCATTTCCGCGATCTACTTCGCGGCAGAGCAGCGCGCCGCGTCGGGCGGGACTGTGCGCACGTGTGCGGCGGGTGTCGCGGCGCCCGCGCCCGTGCTGAGCAAGTGGGCGGGGATCATGGAGGATGCGCGGGCGTGGCAGCGCGAGTTCTTTGGGGTGCAGAAGAGGGACGTGGTGAAGGATCAGGAGGAGTACGAGGATGTGTGTGGCGAGTTTTATCGGCGGTATCTTGTTGTTGCTGCGGAGCATTTGGCGGGGATGGGGAAAGAGACGTGGGAGGAGGTTGAGGGTGTTGCTGTGTAGTTCGTTTTTTGTTTGTTTTCTTTTTTGGGTGTTCCTTTGGTATTCGGTTTGCATCGCGACACATCAATTCTATGTTAGCAACCTCTGCAGCTCGATGTTAATCACCTCTGTACTATGTTGCATGATACTTGTTTGTATAATGCGCTTACACCACTCCTGTTGTAGGGAAATCCCTTCCTAATAATATCTGTATGCTGATGTCTATTTTTGTGCGCTGTCCAAAACCCATGGACCACAACAGGATTTGATGCCCTTATCGCTGCGCAGCATGTTGATATTAGCCTGAGAGGGCTTGTTCAACAGCATCTCTCTCACGCTTCTTCATCATAAGCACCTTCGTCACCCACACTCACAAAGACCTCGCAGCTCAACGTAACGTCCGCATCCTAGGGTATCATGGCTGCCTTTCAGCCGTTCAAAGGACACACTGGCGCTATTCATTGTCTCGAATACTCCCCCGACGGCGCGTTCCTTGCCACCGGATCTGCCGACAGGACCATACGTATATGGAACGCGACAACGGGCCATCAAGTCGGGCTGCCGTTAGAAGGGCATACTGGCTTTGTGTCTGCCATCGACTACTCTCCTACCGGAAATCAGCTAGTCAGCGGCTCCTATGATAGATCTCTTCGTGTATGGGACACAAATACCCACAAAACGATCATAGGCTCAGTTAAACGCCACACAGATTCGATTTCTGCTGTAAAGTACTCGCCGGACGGCGCCTTTTTTGCAAGCGGAGGTTCCGACGGCCTTTTCCGGCTTTGGAATGCCGGCACTGTTGATTGCATTAGAACATTCGAGTACCCCAACTACGTCAACTCGATCTCGTTCTCCCCTGACAATAACCATGTTGCGGCAGTCTGTAATGATTCCCTCGTCCGTTTTTTCTCCGTCAATCCACCTCAGCTCTTACGCGAGCTTTCCGGACACAGTGACCGCAAAATAAACCACGCCATAGCCGCTCATTACTCTCCTGACGGGTTACTCATAGCCAGCGCGTCGGATGATTTTACTATTCGCCTATGGAGCGCACTTACTGAAAAGCTGACCCTGCATCCTTTGCGCGGTCACACTGGCTCCATAGCTGCCCTATCGTTCTCGTCCGATGGGCAACGGCTATTCAGCTGTTCAGAAGACAAGTCCATTCGGATCTGGAATGTTAAATCAGGCACATGCGTCTCAGGGCCGCTGTATAGACATGGAGGGCAAGTGGATAGTATTTGTTGTTCTCCAGATCAAAGTCATTTTGCTTCCTGTAACTCGGGTGGTGTACGCGTTTGGATGGTACTGCCGAAAGTAAGCCATCTACGTATGTCTATGTCTCTGCGTATTTTACAAAGACCTTCTGTAGTTAACGTATGAAGGTGACCACAACTGGGAAAAACTACATATGTATGTTTTCCTTTATCAAATTGAGTCCCCCACTCACCTTTGGTCAAAGCGGAGTAAAACGCTATCACGCCGGCGTTAAGGCTTTAATGTGGCTCTCCGACGGACAGCTATTCGCGAGTGCAGGAAGTAATCATGCTATCAGGATTTGGAATCCACACACAGGGAAAGAGTCAGCAAAACCTCGCGTTGGGCATAACCAATCGATCATGGGCATAGATATTTCAAGCAAAGCCAATATGCTTGCAACCTGTGCAGGTGATGGCGTCGTTTGCATATGGGATCTCGAGCACGAGGATACCATACTGAACCGCCTTCTTGGTCACAAGGGGGATGTTCACGCCGTTAGGTTCACCCCAGATGGCACGCGCCTTTGCAGCAGCGGAGCTGATGGGACTGTCAGTATATGGGACGTTCAATCTGGCGTATCGCTGCGTACCATCAAGGCACATACTGGTACCGTTCGGGCGCTTGACATCTCGTCTGATGGCTCTCGACTAGTCAGCGGATCTCAAGATGGGGTTATCCGTATGTGGAGCCTTAGTTCCTACGAGGTAATTGGCAGGCCTCTCCCACACAATCACAGGGTGTCGTCTCTCTGCTTCACGCCTAGACGTTCGCAAATACTGAGCGGATCATCGGATGGAGCGATATACCTGTGGGACACCTTTCAAAGAAAGCGGGTCATGGTCTTTATGCACAGATCTGAGGTCAACTGCGTGAAGTTCTCGCCTGTCAGGTCCGAGTTCCTCAGCGCATCCAATGACGGGCAAATCTTTATCTGGGACACTACGATGAGGCTTCTCAAAGTTCTGCAACACGACAACAAAGTTCTATCTGCAGCTTTCTCCCCAGACGGAACGCGGATCGTGAGTAGCACCTCTGCAGGCAATATTCTCTTATGGGGCGTCAAAGATGGACGCCCTGTAGCTGCTTATGTGGGTGACTATATATGATATCCTTCTCAAAAATCCGGGCTCAAACGTTTGCGCCTGATGTAGGACCTCATCACGGGTGGTTCCGCAAGAATTGATATTTTGCTAGAAGACGGAGTGAGTGTCCCTGTTTATCTTCATGCATTTAACAGAATATTGAAAGTATGGCAAAAGAGTGGCATATCTCAGCCTGAGGACCATCATGTCCCCGGAAAAAAGAATGAACTTCAGGAAAAACAGAAACAGGTGCCTACATATTTAGTTGTACTTCCCTCGTGTTGCTGATGTACGGTAGGAGTTGGATTCCGATGCGGAAAGCTTTATGAATGTACGTTTTGCTTACATTATCCCTTTATGTGCGACGTCTTTTTCATGCTCCAATCTCTAAAGTGGTCGGCAGTTCCACACAGACGTAGAGAAGCTCTGATACTTAGTGATCAGGAAAGCACAGTAAGTCGTCGCGAAATATGGATAAATTGCTGTAGTGACTGCCAGTGTACGTTAAAGGTATCGGCAGCGAGGTTGGAGGAATGTGGTGAAAATGATGCTACCACGAACACTCGCCAGGGTTTCCACCAGCTCTGGGATCATGCGAAGAGACATCTAAATGAAATGAATGCAACCGTACGTGCTCTCTTGAATTGGTAGTAAAAACCGTTGATGGTGAATTATCATCCTATGAAAGACTGATCCGACATCAAACCATGTCCGTGACCGCCGCACCCTTTCTGGCCGCTTGAATAGGGTGACAAGCGTGCTTCGCAAATTACGGGTATGTATATTATATCTCTTGACATATACGTCTCGTTTTCTTAGCTCGCTGATATCCATTGAAATGCACCACTCATAGATTCGTCCAGTCATCGTTAATGGAGAAGACACCACAAGCTTACAAGGTCATGACGTAGAACGCGAATCGTATGATATGCGCAGATTGCACGAGCAACCACGCGTGTCGGATGTCATATACACTTCACAAGCCGAACCGGTATGGAACATGTGCTCAGAACATAAGCTCGCTGCTGAAATGATGCCTACAGCGATATTTGGCCGCGCCTGACAGAGACATCAGCCTGCTTCAGCTGTTTTGTTGTTTTAGACCGCGAGCACACCGTGCTTCGCATACTAAAGTGCAGAGAGGATCCGCTTCCGCTCAGCCACAGACAGTACCAGCTCAGCCTACTTCTGCTACAAAATCCTAGCAGGATAAGCCTCTGAGGTGCCGTCCCCACCAATTGAGCAGAAATTCAGGCCGGGTTTTGCTACATGCACTCTTGTAACGTATACGGGTTGAAATTTGTTGTTGAGCCTGTTCGCAGTCTGTAGCCACACTTGTATAGGTGTTCCGTGATTCATATATTTGTGAACGATGGATTTGAAAGCTCATGTGAGGTAGCATGACATAACGATCTTGTCCGCTACTACACGGTAGTTCCCGATGCTGTTATTTTGAGACAGAATACTGTCGAGATTTCGTTTACTGTTGCTGAGTCATTCTCCAGATTTCACCTTCCTACTCTGTCCTTCCACTCTGGTTTTCCACTTGGTCGATTCTCGGACATGTGTGGAACATAATGTTCGAGTGGATCTGTGCTCTGGTGATACGGATATTTGGTGATAATCGAATCAAGTCTCAGTCAGCTGGATGAAAAAGCTGGGCTCGCGGGGAAAAGCGCCGAGTACAACATGGACTAGTCATCACGACGTCTGTGCTCCGCTTGGGCTTAAAGCTGAAGGTAGTTGACAGACGAAGGTGTTGAAGACAACGCCTAATAAATGACAGCGAAATGTGTAAATAGGATAAGAGTGCGTTAAAAGCGTGCTTTCTCCTATACAAAGGCGACGAAAAGCTTCGAACCTGCGTACGCGCCGCGACGAGTCGTACGTCATTACCATCTCAGAGCTTACATTCCACATAACGGAGAACTATGTGCGCTTCAGGTGCTTTGTACATGCTACGAAAATCTGGTAAATATTATCTTTGATACGATAGTGACAAAGCTCGGAGGGTCATACTTCAGTTAGCCAACTACTTGTATCTTCAACTTGAAAGGATAGTAAAGGTATCATCGCATGAAGAGGACGGTCGGACATCGGCGATATCCGAACTTCAAACCCCGCCAGGCGGACGCGCTCACCGCACACACAGAGACACCCGCCGAACAGCAAGACCCCGCCAAATCCTCAAGGTGAGCATCATTCACGCCGTTTTGCTGTCCCGAGACGCCAGGAAGTGCTTCAAGGACGTATGGTGGTGCATCGACCTCGAAAATCTGGCTGTCAGAAGTTGAAATTTGGGTGGATGGCATGTTTGGCGTTCGGATGATGACATGCACCTGCGTCCCGGGACTGTCGATTTTGGGTGCCGTTTCACTGATCTGTGTTCCTCTCTGGTGGGTTGTTTGAATCACAGATGGTGCGTACTTTCATTAGTCGTTCCATCATTGCGGTTTCTGAACTCATATTTCCCCGAGTGTAGAAGGTTGAAATCGACTCCTTCTCGGGCTACCGTATCTACCCCTCCAAGGGCAAGCTTTTTGTCCGCGGCGACAGCAAAGTCAGTCCCTCCTTTGTCCGTTATGCCCTTACTCAACACATCCGACTTTCCCCCGCGATAGGTCTTCCGCTTCGCCTCCTCGAAGAATGCGTCGCTCTTCCTGCAGCGCAAGAACCCACGTAAGATCGCTTGGACGCAGGTCTACCGCCGGATGCACAAGAAGGGCATCACCGAAGAAGTTGCCAAGAAGCGCTCGCGACGCACCGTGAAGCACCAGCGTGGCATCGTTGGCGCTGACCTCGCAGCCATCGCAGCCAAGCGCAACCAGACCGCCGCCGTGCGGTCACAACAGCGCCTTGCCGCTATCACCAAGGCTAAGTCAGAGAAGAAGGAGAAGGAAGGCACGAAGACCAAGAAGGTACGTCTTTCTCACTCCCTTGTCGTCTGTCCTCGCCACTGCGTTGTTTTTGTTCGCGGACGTCGTATGGGTGTTGCGTATTGATACCATCTTGTATCTCTAGCCCGCCGCCAGCAAGGCTGCCCACGCCGCACCCAAGGTGTCGAAGCAGCAGATGAAGGGCGGCAAGGGCGGCCGATGAGCGTATCGCGAGCTTACGGGTGGGCTTGTCTTTGTATCTCACATGCTGTCGGTATGACTACGCCATGCTATGTCACGTATGCATCCTCCTCAAAATCTCATTCATGAGAGTCGCACACAATAGAGGGAGTTTCGTGTATCATAGAATATCGCTACTGATTACCAGGCGCACTCCCTCGAGGAGCGACTACTTTGTCTCTTGCCTTCGCGCCAATCACTAGGAGCTCCCGGAGTTGCCTCGTATAGATCTCCCTATTTCCAACATTGTTTCCGGCGATTTTTTGGTTGATGGTTCAAAGTTTGCTGCATACTATGGTGGGTGAGAGTCTATGCAGTTGTAGGAGGGATGATGCGACGGATTATTGACGCCACCTGATCTCACCTTCTGGGTTGATCGAGATCATTGGCGATCGCTTCGGCGGACAAACTCAGGCGAACAACTAGCTTGATCAACGAATCCCAATCTATATTACGCCCAAGGGCTTCCCAGATAGATGTGGCCTTTAAATAAGCTTAAATACAGACACGACACATTGTTGAGAGCCAGACTAGCAGCTCATCATCCCAAACAAAAGAGTGTAGACGGTGACTCAGTCACCTCTCAGTTTATCAGTAGTGACCGCGGCGATGGCGCAGAGTGCGCTTCTTCTGCGACGCGCAGGCGCCGTCGTCAGTCCAGTCGCCTTGGGTACCTGCGATTTTGTTAGGTTCTGCATAGTACCTGCACAAAAGCAGGAAACGAAGGGAGAGCTCACCTCCGGGGGTGTCGGCCTGAGTCCACCACTTGGCAGTCCAGAGGTGCCCGTTGTAGGTGGCCTGCTGGCCACCGGTGTACGCGGTGGTGGAGACCCACGCAGCGACGCCGGTGCAGCTACCAGATGAGGTGGAAGTTGGGCTCGGAGCGCTGGAGGTAGCGCTGGAGGTAGCCGACGCGGATGTCGAGACAGCAGAGGAGGTCGATGCAGGCGCGGAGGTCGAAACTGCGGAGGAGGTGGACGCAGGTGCCGAGACTGACGAGGAGGAGGAAGGGAAGGTGCTAGTGCTGCTCGGGGCAACGGAAGAGCTCGAGGGTGAAGAACCGCCACCGAGGGCGGCCTTGATTGCCTTGTCGAAACGGTCGTTGGCTTGATGGGGCGTTAGCATTCACAATACACAAACAACAATGCAAGGGAATACGTACTGTAGGCCTGCGACATGTCCCAAAGCATCGCACCGCCGAACGAGGAGTACTGCGCCTTCGTGTCCTGCAGGATCTTGGTCAGGGTGGCAGGATCAACGTATTCCGCTGGGTCGGTCGTGGCGGTGTTCGAGGCCGGTGCACCGATGTAGATCTTGACGTTCTTGTTGATGGACGTGTTCTTGGCCCAGTCATCCCTGATTGTGATTGGTGTAACAGGTAAGAACAGCTCAGTGAGGGAGAATGGCTTAGACTACCAAGTCGCGAAGTTCCAGGCGTTTGCGTTGTTGTAGTTCTTGACACCGCAGAAGTTGTTGTCTGTCGTTGTAGCAGTGAGCAGAGCTAACTCACGGCGAACAAGGATTATAAACTTACAGAACTGAACGTAGACAGCATCGAAAGCGACTTCGTTCAACGCGGTGCCGAGGTAGGCATCGGGGAACTGGCACTGAGGGGCGGCGGTAATGTAGTAACTGATGTCATTCGTTACAATTACTTTGTCCAGAAGTGAGATGATAGGGATTCACGTACGTCTTGCTGGTGTCTGCGTCCATCAGCTTGCGAATGGCCGTAACAAACGCTGAGTAGCCAGTCGAGGACCCGCCCTCAATGTCAATGTCGACACTGAAACCCCATGAGCACATTCGCTGCGCAAAACATTTCGGAATAGTTGACTCACCCATCAAGCACAACATCGCCGAAGGGACGCGTCTGGCTGGAACCTCCGAGGTACAAGTCCCAAATAGTCTGTGCGAAAGTTTGCGCCTGCGAGTCGCTGGTGAAGCCGATTGAACCGCTAGCACCGCCGACGGAGATCGTCACGGTCTTGCCCTTTGTCTGGCACGTTTTAATACCAGCATTGAGAGTCGAGCAATCGGGCAAGTCGGAGCCGGTAAAGGTCTTGTTGTCTGAAGGGTTGCAAGTCTATACGGTCGAAAGAAATATGATGTTCGGAATGTAGGAGGGATGGAAGGATAATGGACTGACGTTGGCGAGGTTCATCGACGGGAGGTTGTCGGTATCGAAGAAGACATTTACGAATGCGATCGGGATGGTGTCCACAGTGTCATCCTAAGCAACATCAGAGCCAGCACGCATCACCCATCATGGATACACGCCTGGCAATAGAAATCGATGGGCTGCTGCCAGTTGGCAGAGTCATCGAGGTGCTTGGCACCATACGAGTTTTGGCCCCAGTACCTGCTTCTGCGTCAACACCGCCATTCCCGAGAGATTGGCTAATTATCTTACACTGCCAGCTGTACAAAAAGTCAGCGCATATAAGCATAGAAAAAGTGGGCGACAAACGTTGGTATTTGCGGACATGTCAAACGCCATGGAAGGAGCGGCAAAGCTAAGAAGCGAGGCGCCGCCAGCGAGCGCGGTGAAGGCCTGTGCGAACATATCGACCGAGGCAGAAAGGGAGAAGAAGAAGTGGGGTGTACTATCCGCTTGCGTTGGCGTGCCGCTCTTATAGGATGCATACCGAGCATCTTGAGCACAATTTCGTCACCAGCGAGCTGGCCGGTGAGCAAGAGTGTGCCGGGGTAAGAGCCATGTGTGCGTCTGCCAGCTATCAGGCGTTCTTGGGGGACAACCAACGCGTCGCATGGGGATGGATGGCGAGAAATCATCTCCGGCGCTCGCTGCAGGTGTGCGACCCACATGCGAGGGTGTGGAGGAATGGCTTGTGCATACAAAGTCGTTGCTGTCAGCAGCGGGTTGGTTGCGTTCTCTTCAGGAACAGTGTGAAGATGATACTGAGTCGCGAATGGAGCTACACAGCTTCAGCCTCGAGCGCTGTGCTGAAGGCGTCTGGGCAGCATCGAGAGATCAATATCGCAATCGTGGGGTTGAAATCTGAGTACGATTATCTTTCTGCGCCTGTTTTAGAACTGAGGCAGAGAGCAATGTGCTTCCTATTGACGAGACGGTTGCTTGATAATGTACTTTGTCAGATGCCTTATCAACTTGAAGGAAAGCTTTTCAACTTGAAGCATCGGACGTAAGATTGAGATCGTTACGCCGAGAGCTGTGACGTCGACCAGTTGCTAGGTTCGACATCAGAACAAGCACAGCCGGCGACGAAGCACATGCCAGCGAAAGGTCCATGGTGCTTGAGAGCGCCTGAGTCCGACACCCGCATGTTGCATGCCATAAGAACGAAGTCAGCAGCAAAAGTGGGATGGTGGTTTCAAGGCAAGTCAGTTTAAAATCGTCGACGTGGTTGGAGGCAAAGGGGAGACAGGGCTAGACAGGGGCTTTGCTTTGTTGACTTTTCGGCTTACTGTACATACGCGGCCAAACGCAATTGTGTCGCGCGCAACCGCAACACTCACAGCTCACACTTCATCCATGATCAGCCCCCAATATCTGAGGTTTACGACCATCTATAGGCGAAGTTAGATGCTGGATACACTCCCGACAGAGGTGCTGTACAAAGTCCTCAGCCATCTCGAGGTAGTTGACCTTGTTCATCTAGAGCGTGTGCGTGGTGCAGTGCTACTCATGATGCTGCCCATCCGAGCTACTGACTTGCCTGTAGATCAGCAGACATTTTCGCGATGTGATAGCACATAGGGCAGTTTGGGCCGACGCTTATCGATTCACCCTTCTTGCTCGACCACCTGGGCCCTACACCTGGCAGACGACGTCTCACCTGAAGTCCACTCTTATCCGCTCCGCGCACGTTGAGCTCAGCTGGCCGCCAACGTCTCAAACGCAACTATCCCGGAAATCGCTTGGTTTTTGCCAGGTCACCTTGGTGTCTGGCCAGACCCATGCCTGCTTTTTGGCAGATGGATATTGGCGAGGACCGAGACCGGTGTCATCTGTTTCGACGTCGACGCCAGGATTCCGTACGAGTGTTGGCTGCTGGAGGTCTCCCCAGGGTTCACTTTCGAACACTTGCATTGTGCCTCGCACACTTGCGCTGAGGGTCAGTATGCATATGCACTCGTCGAGGAAAAAGAGGATGTTTCGGGCGATACGACAGTGTGAGTTCCCTGACATTGTCGCGTTTCTCCAAGTTGACGACTGTGATATCGTAGGAAAGTCTTCAAGATCGAGCTGAATGATGACTTTCCACCAAAGCTGATACCCCTCATCGACTTGCCAGCACCTCAATCAAAGCAATCGAAGCTTTTCATCGGACCGAAGACCCTGGTCATCAGCCTGGGATATGTCGATGGGGACGAATACTTCCATCCATACGACGGCATCTGGGTGATGGACATCATAGCGGAGAAATTCTACAGATTGCAGTCCCCGGAACGTAAGGGTGGGTACCCAGAGGGCGCATTTACTCGCAGTCAGGTACGTGGTTGACGTTTTGTCCTTCGGTCTACCCCGGCCTCAAGCGACGCATATGTGCAGATTTACGTTGGCCTCACCTATTTCGTCGTCATTCTATACAAACTATTCGGCTCAACGGAGCTCGTGGAGGCATTCGAGCTTCCCATTTTACAGAGTCAAGACACAGCAGATACTTTCGAGCTCCGTATTCTCCAACCGTCTCATAGGTCCCCCGTTCCTCGGGGCTTATACCTCGCTACCTCGATCTTTAAAGCCATTGATCCACTCAGAGGCTCTGTTTGGTCCGATGCATTGACCTTTCCAGCCTGGCTTTGTGACGAATCCCTCATTGTCTCGGCTTGCGACGCCAGCAGTCTCCGTCTGGCAGAGGACGTCGACCTCGTCCGTATTTCCTTCCCTCACTCTCCACCCGGCGGCGAGCCAGCCTCTATTCACTTCCAACGAGGATGCTTCTCGGGCATGCAGAGCATGCTTCCTGGCGCGCGCTCTTCGTATTTCTCCGACGACAACACCGCATTTGACGCCGAAGAGGCCAGGTTCCTTGTGGAGGGAGTATCCTCCAAGGTTGGCGTTGACGAGACTGAGCTCTTTGGCTTGACCATAGCCTTCCCGCGAACGGATGGTAAAGGCTTTCCTCATTTGAGGAAGATTACGTGTCCGTCTCAGCCAGTTATTCTTCATGACCCCGAAAGTGTCGCCTGTTTTGATGGCGCTCGGGGGTTGTTGGTCGTCATTCGGAGGACAAGAGAAGGATCTGTGCTGCAGATTATAGACATAGCGTAAGTAGGTTACGGTTTTTGTCAACCAACAGGTGTACATCAGGTACCGCGAGATTCTCAGGTCTTCGCGAGCCGAAATTAACGTGGCCTTCACATGAGTCAGTCGAAAAGAAGAGTCGCGACACTAAGCTCTCACATTACTCAGGGCTGCTCCAGGACCCCCGAATATCCCGGTATAGGCCTGGTCCAAAGTCCGGATAGCACCTTCCTATTTGGGACACGAGGCCTGGTCCAAAGTCCGGATAGACCTTCCTAATGGGGAAAAATGCCTGGTCCAAAGTCCGGACTCGCCAGCGAGGTCTGAGCAAACAGTAGATAGGGGCTAGTCCTGGGTCCGGATTCGGATCGGACATAGGATATCATGCCTGGTCCCATGTCCGGACTGTGACCAGCCTCGATGCCCTGGTGCGTAGTCCGCACTCATAAAGGCCTGTAACCCCGTCCGGACTTCAGCCACTGTTCTTGTAGAGGAAGTATTTTCAAGTCATATCTTTATAATTAGTGGCATATGGGGCTTTTCCTAGTTACTGAATAACCATACTTGCGGTGGACTTCGAAGTGAGGCGCTCTTCTTCACGTATAACCAAGTATGCATTATTGGCGGGGGGAAGATTCGAACCGGCGGTGACGCAAAACAAGATAGCCGCTTTAACCACTAAGCTACGGTTGTACATTTCGCGCGTTCCCAGCTTAGCTATATCATTAGATATACCACAACAGGGACGAAAGCAGTGCCACCCCCACCACATTACAGACGCTTGCTCTGGCTTAAGCTGATATTTGTTGACAAGTAGGGCGACTCCTTCTCGCTGCCTCACCTCTGGCAACACTCAATTTCTTTTTAGTCCCATCATAATAACACAAGGTTTCATAGGGGACTCTATCATTACTAGTGCTTGCAGACTGCCCCGACTGTTAAGACTTATTACAGACAATTGGTGTATGGCCAACATTAACGACGCTGACGATGCCTGTTTCCATGTCCGGATTGTAATAACCCCTATCCCAAGAGGCCTGTCGCTCTGTCCGGATTTTTTTACCACCTACTCCCAGAGGCCTGTCGCTCTGTCCGGATTGGCGACCCTGAATAGGGGTAAATGTCCGGATCGGCCAGCGAGATTTGGGACCAGGCCTATACCGGGATATTCGGGGGTCCTGCTGCTCCTCGCTCATTTTGTTCGCCGAGTCAGAGCTAGCCAGGCGTTCATGATAGACGCTCGCAGAGGTCTGCTTCTATCCAACAATGGGCGGAGTTGAAGCTGAAGACACTCCGCACATTCCTTTGGAACCTTCATAATCGCTGCTTGTCTTTCCTCAGCTTGATCCCACACCACCCATACCTTTACCTCTGCAACGACCGCTATATATGCGCCATGCTCGACGTGATTCCCATCGAAGTCCTATGCAGGGTCCTCGGCGAGTTGGGGATCGATGACCTTGTTCGCCTCGAACGCGTAAGTCACGTGTGTGGTTTGCATGAGGGTACGCGTGTTGACAGGCCTTTCCAGGTTTGCAGGTATCTCCAGAACGTCACAAGCGACAGAGAAATCTGGAAGAACGCGTATAGGGACTCGTCTCTCCCCCGCCCACCTGGTCCTTTCCCCTGGAAGACCACCACCGACTTGCGCTCTGCGCTAGTACGATCCTTTAGAGTCGAGCGCAATTGGCCCCCGACTTCGGCATCCGCCGTCTCTCAGCACCAGTTGCCGCCGATGCTGAAAACCAAAGGTCAGGGATCGGTTGAGACTGTCAAACGTCTGCTTCTCGGGCGCTGGGCCTTGGCGTATGATGACAAGTACCTGTCGTGTTTTGACCTGGACGCTCCTGACCTCGACCGGTCCAAGTGGAAGAATCTGCATAAAATGGGCCGTGATCAGGAAATCAACGAGGTCATGTGTGCGGACTACGTCTCTGCGGATGGTCCACGGGCTTTTGTGTGTATCACCTTCGTTGACATGGATTGTATATCAACATTCGGGTACGTACACCCGCCACCCTCGACAGCACTATGCTATAGATTAACCAACTTGGTAGGCTCGTGTTCGAGTTTATGATCACCGGGCCGAAACCAAAGCTCTCTCTCGTCTGCGAGCTGGAGAACATTCCCAACGATAACGGTCTCAAGTTTTTCGTTGGCCACAAGTTGGCTGTCGTGGGATTCACCGATAACGCGGATTACGAGGATTTCCCGGGGTTGAGGTATTCGGAACCGGATGAGATTGACGAGCTCCCTGCATTCCTGCACCCTTATCATGGGTTGTGGGTCATTTGTACGGATACGAAGAAGGTGTACACGCTAGCGCCTTCTGAGCCAACTGAGCCGGGGCAGAACAGTTACAATGTGAGGGGCCTGACTACTCTGCTTGTAGCACCTGAGTTGCTGACTTTACCTTTTCCATCTTCTTCTAAGGTGTTTATCGGCCCGACCCACCTTTTCCTCGCTAGAGGCGCGCACGACGGCCGGCCGGAGATCGTAGAGGCATTCGCCGCCCCCTCACACACATTGGGTCCTGGTGAACAATTTGTGACCAGCTCATCCATTGATGTAACCCCGCCGCACTACCCGTACGTCGAACTTCACGCGACCCACAAGACGATGCTACCCGAAGGCGTATATATCGCGACGACCTATCTGAATCCACCGGGGAAGCCAATTAATCCCGTCCTGGCTGTCGACCCCTGGATCGGCGAGAACACCGTCGTTGTTTCAGCCTGCGACCTGCGGGGGCAGCCGGATAACATATCTCCAGAGTTGCTTGTGATGCGACTCACGCTGGGCAGCGTGGACGAAGCCCCGAAGGGGCAACTCGCCCCTATCAATGTCGAGGTTGCGCACGTCGCCGGCGCGGTGCGACCGTTTGCTTCGGAGATGAGCAGTCCCACTCAAAGCTCAAACCTCATCTTTCCGCATTCGATGAAAGTACAGTCGCTTGACGTGGGGGAGGTGAGGGTACTTGTCCAGGGGCGGGGCGGCGAGCCGGGACAAAATGACTCAAAGATGCGCCTGAGCGGCATGACGCTAGGCGTATCGGGCGACGCATTCCCGAATCTGACAAGGAGCTGTATTGACTCGGACCCTTTAGTGATAGAAGCTGGTAGCTACGGAGTATCGTGCTTTGATGGGCCGAGCGGGCGGGCGTTGGTGGTACGAGAGAAGGGGAAGATAGTGCTCGTAGACTTTGCATGATGGCCTCGTGCGCATGATACCATCGTGATGATTCTGACAATCCTCCGTCAGATGCGCAGGGCCCAAGTTCCTCGCGAACTAGAAGAGTATCATCTGAGACTGAAGTGTACAAAATGGAGCCTTTGATTTGATCGTTGCTTTATTGTCAGCAATAAGACGTTCAACATTCAATATTCGATGTTCAGTCCTGGGGACGACGGTGACGAGAACGGGGCTTGAACTACTCATGACGTCTTCATCAAAGTTAGTTCTTTAGGGGTTCATCAGTCGAACGTATAGTAGGGATCCCCTCGTCCTCCAAATACACTGACGCCTGGTGAGCGTTTTGCGACCAACCTATCTATCAACGTCGCTCCGCCGCATCACTGTCCGTACGTTGAGCTTCATCTTCATGCGGTGCGCCAACCGATGTTGTCGATGATACATGTTGTAATCGCCTGTTTTTCTTCGCCCGGTAGACCGAGCAGTCCCGTTTAACATTAAATATCGACTATCCATGGGTCGGCACAGACTGTATCATTGTTTCAGCTTGCAACTGGAGGGAACAATCGTCTTCGGAGCGACAGTAACTCTGCTCCCTTGGTCATTCAGGCTGATATCTGCGTCGTAGCCTGCTTCGACGGCCCAAGCGGAAGAGTTTTAGTGATACAAGACAAGAGATAGTTCTCTTGGACACTGCATAATAGACGATGATGTGGTATGTGCAGTACCTCGATTGCCTGGCGCACTACAAAATAACTTCTCGTGATGACTGACAATGCGGATTTCATCAATGATATGTACTGTAGCGACTATGATTGACTAACGAACTGGAAGATGATTATCCTTTGAAGGGGTTGCAATCGCATAGCATTGCACGTACAGAAAAGCTGGCTGCGCTTCCGACAGCAAGCCCTGTAATTATGCAGAAGTTGTTCAATGTGGCCGCCACATCTACATCTTCTCGGCGACCCTTTAGTCTTGGATTGTGCTCTAGTGACGCGCATCCAATCATGCTGCTACTAGAGATGTAGCCATTGGAGATTCCCAAGAAAAGGAGGATGATCATGTACACAAGGTCGGACGGAATAAGAGGATCAGTCGTAGAACCGAGCTCAACCCTTGCACGTTGCACGCTAGAAAGACCGGTACGAAGAGAGTCCGTAGGAGGGAAATGGTAAGTATACGCGGCGCCGACCAAATTACAAGTTGCGGAATGGAGCAGGCGTAGCGACCCAGAAGATCACCAATGTTGAAGACTAGAAAGTGTGCGGCCATGAACAATAGAGGGTGAATGGACGGATTTGTGCTCTGAGTTTGGACGGTGATGACGGGGAAAACAGCCTGGAAAACGGTCAGATATATACACGAGGATGCGTAATTGGTGCCTACAAGTGTGATGACGAAACAATACAAGGAGGCGAACTCGTACGGCAAATTCGCCTTGAACACACGCTGCATTTCGTCCAGCTCATATAAGGGTTTGAAGCTAGGTTCTGAACCCACGAGGCGTTGAAGTTCTTCATTTTCCTCGCTCGTTTCTCCCCTATGCTGTTGTTGTGGGGAAACGGTTGACTTGTAGATTGGGAGCTGCCTCATCCAACAATACGAAACGACAGTCGCAATCAAGAACAGTGCCGAAATACCGAACAATACTCGGGCAGCGCTCTCCGCTGCCGTGTCTAATGCCTCATTCTCGAGCATTGTCGACGCTTGTCCACTATTCGTCGAGGTCCCCCAGACTGACAACGCCGAGCTTACGAGCTGGAGGGCGCTCACGGCGACGGCAACTGCCGCTTGTCCAGATATCAGTGCGGACATGTATGGGCCGCCAAAGAGTGATGCCTCTCCAGAGATGGCGGCAGAATGATAGGAGGCGGCCACTACCTGTCCTACTGTAATCAAGAGTACGAGAGAGAAGAAGATTGAAGGGGGAAAGCGGACGAAAGTTGTCATGAAGAGAAGCGCGATGAGGATAACCAGCACAACAGTCGAGCTCACAATGCGGCGCGAAGGAGAAACCGCTGTCTGGAATCCAGCAATGCAGCTTGTTAGACGGACTTGTGCATAGACAAGTGTCGACTCGCCTGCTTCGACGTCAACGTGGCGTATGCAAGTGCGATGACGTTGACGCCAGTAAATATGCATGACATATACGAGACGAACGTCGGCTGGAGCGACGAGCCTGTAAGGCGCTTAAGGAAGTAGGGCGTTGCGGTGATCAGCGCTGGAGTCCATCATATAGGTAAACCTCCAGATTTGGTGATACTACAGTTACACACCGTTCCAAGGCAGGAGGTCTGCACAACCGAGCATGAAGTAGATGCCTTGCACCCGTGCATCCCCTTTTGTACGCGACGTCGAGATTGTAGCATTGTTGGTGTGGTCGTCTTCCACCGACTGGTATGAGTAGTCGCACTCAGGCGATCGCCTAGACATGAATAGGTGGGATAAAGTTGAGGGATGAAGAGAGCGAGGGAGCCGTATCGCTGCGCCGTGAGATGCTCAAGTGGTAGAGAGGCGCGAACCTGTAAACCTCAGGAGGCCTCATTTGAGCGTTGTTTGAGCACGTCCACCAGTCTCGGAGCATCGCCTGCGAACGCCGGTGGGAACATGCCTAACTACGAATGCCCGTTACCTCTTTGGTTTATGGGGGCAAACTTTTTGATGGTTGGCTGGCACCTCGTAGTAAGTGCAACATACGTGCTCGATGATGCATTGATGTCCCGTGGTTGTAGCGGTTATAAGTCCTTATGTTTAGTAGTCAGCTGCTCACTGTGTTTCGTGCTTTCTACAACGCGGATAACTGTGAGCGTGTGGGCACAAGATGTCGCTGTAATAGAGCGGGTCTCGTGCATACCCAGGCGTCGAGCTGTCTAATTTCAGAAAAGCTTCTTCAACGGAAAGATTCTCTCCTCATTTCTTGCGCTTAAGTTTGGGACATTGTAGCCCCTTATTTGGGCGGATATCTTAGAGGGCGTTTCATGTCAAGGTTTTCTGTCATACTTTATCCAGTTCGGCATTAGTAAAGGCTTGCTTGCTTTAACATAGAGACTCAAAAACATGATAGATACAGTACCTTTTTTTTCGATACGATTGAAACCATACAATTGAGGGCATAGCGTAGGCGCACCAGATGTATGCTCCAGGAACGTGACATGTATCACATTACTAAAATATACACATGGCCGGTTCAAGACACTGTGCACAAGACATCTAGAGCGAAGGAGCGAGGTCAACAAAGCAGTACTCACGCTGGTAGATAAGAAGACAAAGAGGACATGGGAAGATGACAGCGTCACGAGTTGGCTTGGTCACCTACGTTTCATCACTTATTGGAATATACTGATGAAAGACGAACCTGTTCTGCCAATAGTACAGTGATATTTCATGTCAAGATCGAGCGAGACTCTTAACAAGCATGTTGATAGTTGACCAGACGATATAGATGACAATCGCGTTCTGCTTTTCTATGTAAAAGTAGTGAGCGTCCTCTCGCCGCGAGAAGCAAATGGTACCTCGCCTTTTAGATGTTTCTGGACATGCAATTGGTCGACAATAACGATGGCCGTGCATGACCGAGCGCTACTTGGATGAATTCAGAATGTGACTCCGCAGAAAGGAGTGTAGAGACGAGCAAAGCCATCGAAACCCCCACCACCGTTAGACTAGCCCAACGTCACCAGGGTATACCCCAGAGAACAATGGAGAGCAGCAACAAGTGCACGGTACCGACTGTAGGAGATAGGTAAGGTCACCGACGAAGAAGTCGGTGACTTGTACCACAATACTCCGTGAGGCACCGTGCGTATCAAAGTCTCTAGTCATTAATACACCTCCCAGCGTCAAGAAACACGGCAGTACATCCCGTGTCCTGCCGACAAGAGCGCATGCTTATCACCTGTATGTAAACAAGTAACCTCCAAGAACGTGTACATGATCGCGTTACGCTGTGAGCGCGATAGTCCTCTTGGTCGTTTTGATGTCACGAATGACGACTTCGGCTTGAAGGTAGAGCCATCTTACCGTCGAATAGTACCATGCACGTGCCATGCGCATGCTCGTCGGTCGCCAGAAGGGCGGCAACGCCACCAAGGTTTTGGTCAGACGTCTTGGGGAATCTTCCACTGTACGATTTGGTTATAAGCCTGATTGTTTACCCAGTCGCGTATCACTCACCGTGCGTGTTTCAGGGCTCACGTCCTCTTATCTCAGTACCTCGGACCGAGATTGACCATGTTGTAGAATGCATCGTGGGGAGAGAGGCTGGTAGAAGTTCCTACGGGAAAGGATAACGTCAGGAACGTTCACTAGCCACTACGCCCGTGCGCGCCGGCGTCATAGCGAATTCACAGGGAGCGGAAGTAACCTTGGGAGGAGCGCCAGCGCGAACTCCATGCCTTGTTCCATGGATAAGATCCTGCATACATTCACTGTCCGTTGGCTACGTCATCGGACTGCACGGAAGGATATGATACAATGGTAAAGTTGGAAACTTACCTACTCTCGGAGGTGAGTGTCTTCTATGCATGTGTTGATCGATGATCACTGGGTCGGCGGAGAGGCCAATGGAAGAAGGTGCCTGCGTGGCAGGATGCTCCGATGATTGCATCTAATATGCTCCGTCACTAAATTTGAGACAGAAAGAGACAGAAACCAGCCGGGGCGCGGGTACACGTCCGCATACGGCGTACCTTATGACTATGCCGCGCCTTCTTCATCTCAGCTTGATATTAATGCACTTTGCCGAGTGTTTATCGATCTAGATCATCCATGTCCAGCGATGCGGCGCTGTTGGAGCTGCAGGGAGATTGCGGGACGAGAGAACGAAAGGCCGAGAGCCTCATTTGGAGACTTTGACTGAATAACAACAAGAGGCGTGAAACGAGTGAGCGAATGAGACTGGTTAGAGCGAAAAGTAGCTGTTCCATAAGGAAGAAGCGAACAGTTGGACAAACACATGTTGTGTGTGGCGGGACCTGTCATCTCAACCGAACAGAGCTAAGCTTCCTTTCCTCATCGCACCTCATTGCACCCGCACATCTTATCCCATCCCCGTTCATCCCCGCCGACACACCCACGACTCCTTGTTTCTCCTCATCTCACTTCACGACTCACGAAACACACCCCAGAGACTGACGCCCCAGCTCGAACGCAGTCCGGGACCGATTTCGAACATCGTCCCCAGATCGCCTCAGAAACCCCCATCTGGCTTGCACATCGCCTTCGCTATCGTCCCCACGTGCGCAACCCCGCCTCAGCTGTTCAGGATCGGACAGATACTCGCTCGTTAGTGATAGTGTCCACCTTGCTGAGCTGTTGAGTCAGCCGGCTCGGGTAACGACGATTACGTGCTTTACGTTTTTCCCGACGTGAAATCCTCACCTCGACCAATACCATCACCTTCACTACCACCATGAACTTCTTCAAGACGAAGCAGCGTACCCCATCCGATCTCGTTCGCGGTCTTCGGGACGCAATACCCAAGCTCGAGTCTGGGGCCCCGGGCAGCGAGACAAGACGAAAAGTGCGTCTTTCGTCGGATGTTTCGGTTCCGTTGTCTGATGTCGCACTGTTCTGCGTTACAGGCAAACGATGAAGTCTCGAAGAACCTCCAGCAGATAAAGGGCATTCTCTACGGCGATGGCGGTGCGTCATCCCAGCCATCCATTCACCCCCGTATCCCCGCTCACAGCATACAACCCGCAACCATGACCCCGCAGATCCCCTCCCCGAGCTCGTCGCCCAGCTCGCGACCGAGACCTACGCAACCGACCTCCTCCTCCTGCTCGTGCAGCACATCGCCCGCTTCGACTTCGAGGCACGCAAGGACGTCGTACAGATCTTCAACAACCTCCTCCGGCGGCAGATCGGCGCGCGCTGGCCCACCGTCGAGTACATCTGCGCCAAGCACGAGGACATCGTCTTTGGCGCCCTCGCCGGGTACGCGAACGAGGAGATCGCACTCAACACGGGCATGGTCCTCCGCGAGATGCTGCGGCACGAGCAGCTCGCCAAGATCCTGCTGTACTCTGAACAGTGAGTGTCTGTCCACTTCTTTCTGCCAAACGGGTCGGGTGGGGCGGTTGTTGGCGGTGCTCTCTGGCGAGTTCCTGAGGTGTCACCGTGACGCTTGGCGGATTACGTTTGAGGGTTTCGGCTCCGGATCGGGCGCCCCGAGGGTATCGCGGTGTATGTGGCTGACCTTGGGGCGCTTACAGGTTTTACATGTTCCCGCATTATATTGAGACAACGACATTTGGTGTTTCGTGTGATGCTTTTGCGAACCTCAAGGAGACCCTCACGCGTCACAAGCCAATGGTCGCTGAGTACCTCGACAAGAACTACGATAGAGTGCGTTCATCTCCCCTATTTCGCCGCCGTCCTGATTCTCATCATCGCTGGTATCCTGCGCGCCCTCAGTTCTTCAACTCATTCACGACCCTCATCCTATCCACCAACTATGTCACCAAGCGCCAGTCACTCAAGCTCCTCGGCGAGATTCTGCTCGACCGCGCCAACTTCTCCGTCATGACGCGCTACATCGCGAGCGAGGGCAACCTCAAGATGATGATGAACATGCTCCGCGACAAGAGCAAGAACATCCAGTTCGAGGCGTTCCACGTCTTCAAGGTCTTCGTCGCGAACCCCAAGAAGCCGGACCAGATCGAGGCGATCCTCCGGAGAAACAAGGAGAAGCTGCTCGTGTTCTTGAAGAACTTCCATAATGACAAAGAGGGTGCGTTCTCTTGGTTTGCCATGCCCTTTCCCCGCTTCTGGTGGTGGCTATTCGTTTGCTTGCTTGCGTTGGCTGGCTATATGCGTCCCATGTGGATCTTGCCTGCTAGGATTACATGCTCACGTCCTTCCTCTTTAACAGATGAACAGTTCAGCGACGAGAAGCAGTTCCTCATCGTACAGATACAGAATCTATGAGCGAGCTATATCCAGTGCCCCTATTCCCGTTCGTCCCTCTGCAATATCCTCATCACTACTTGTTCGCATGGCGACGCATGGAGATCCATGAGCCTCGGGTTTTGAGTATATGCGCGCTGGGGCGACCGTGACACCCCTCGGCATGTCTCGATGGGTCAGTGCGGACGGAGCAGGGGGTGAGCTGGGAAGTTGGAATGCAGCTGCAAGGGTGGTCGCGGTGGCGCGGATATCGCTGGGGACACGTTTTCTGCGGTCTGGAACGCAAGTCGTCGTTCTTGGTCTTGCGCTCCATCATTTTTCTATATCTTTTGGCTCCCGGACTCGTGGCTGCAAGGGACGGACAGATGAACACAGCGACGGCGACGCGCAACGCGTCGCGTCGATGTGTCGCGCCGTAGCAATTACCCATCACCACCATCTATCTACCCAGACATTCCTCCATTCCCCATTTCATTGGTTCGTGTTCATTGTTCGGTCACCATTCCACGTCTGTGCTAGTTGCTCATATTCACCGTCGAACGTCATCTATCGATCTCATCGTCATTCATCATCCGTCTCTTTCGCCAGTAATCATCCCTTTATCACCCGCCATACCTTTTCTTATCTCGTCTCCCTCATATCCACTAGTTCTCGGTTGAGTCGTCGTTACCGCGCATGTACTATACCTTCGTACTTTATACCACAGTGATGTGGCAGCCTGCCTAATTTCGGAACGTTGGGATTGTGAGCATTGTCTGTCTCCACCTTTGTCAATCATCCGAAGCGTCAGGCCATCAGGTCTAGCAAACGTGCTTGTGCTTTGTGCTTTGTACTTCGCCTGCTAGCGCACAATGATACCCATTCTGAGAACCAACACAAGGAAAGTATATGACAAAGGTTGAAAACCTAGGATTGTCGCCGCAAAAAATGCTTGTTAAAGCAAATGAACAAAGACATAACACATCCATCCAGGTACAAATAGCCCCTGTCCGTTGCCATCCACGCGGGCAAATCCATGCATGCATGTTCATGTTTCCAACATGGAAGCCGAGGCCCGAGGACGCCGCTGCATGGCGACCGACGGTCGAGCCGGTCTCTCGGAGCCCGCAAGTTGAAAGTTGACGACGTGGGCACTGGGCAGCCTCGTGCAGCGCGCGTCACTGATCGCATCTCAACTTGAGTCGGCCGTCGCCGGCGGTCAGCAAATTTAGATGCACGGTGGCAACTTGAAAAGCTGGAGCTCGATCAGAAGTTTGCCTGCCGCCGGTGAGTCTAGAGCGCAGTCTGCGGCGACCCGGGGTTGGACTTTGTCGTCTTCAAGTTTGCGCGAGAGTCGTTGTGAGGACGGACTCAGCGCGCTGATGATGCGAGAGTTGTTCGCTGTTGCTGTTGCTGCCGTTGTTGGGAAGCTCGAGAGCGAAGGAACGCAAGCCGCAAGAGGAACAAGAGGAAAGCCCGCAAAGTGAAGTGCCTTCGGAGGCACTTGTTCGTGAGTGGTTCTGTGATGCCGCATGTTGGAAGTTGGGTGAGTGCCCGTGATCACGACGCAGAACCCACGCTAAATTGGAAGGTTCAAGCTCTCAAGGTTAGCCTCTCCAACTGAGATATGTTGTGAACGTCCGATGATCGCTATGTAGAAGCATCGTGATATGTTGGAGCTCGGAAAAGAGCGGATACTTACATCCGCGATCGTACATGCTGGCAACATTTCAGTGACTGACGACGGCGAGTGAGCCAGCGAACTGTATGCATGCATGGCTTTACAGTGGTCGAGATTACACCCAAGTCCCGACTTCCGAGGGTTCCAACGTTCAAGGGTTCGTGACGACGGGGTGATGAGTGGCCGCGCGTCTGAGCGTATCGTATATTTTGAGGGATGAGCGAGAGTTCTGATGCATGATGATGGAAGATTTGTGGAAGCCTGCACACTCGGAAGTCCGGAAAATCGAAGCCCTCGGCGAAGACATCGGACGCTCCCAGGGGGGAGAGCCCCGGAGAAGTGCGGGTCCCGCCGTCTCCACGCGCGCGTCAATTGAACAAAATGTTAGGCGCTCCGGTGAAAAAACCTTGCAATTTAGTTAGCGACAAGCGACCAGGGGCCAGACTCACGTAAGTGTGAATGCGTCGGTTCTCGCGACCTTCTCGCGCTGCTTTCGGTGGGCTGTTGTGGGTGTACGTACATGAACGAGGAAGGTAAACGGCGAACAGCTCTGACGCCACAAAGTCGCCGTGCTTGACCCAGGGCCAACATCGAACACACACGAAATGTATAACCTCAGTAAGGTCACGTACCTACGGCTCTCACACCTGCGTGATGCAAGGGGTCAACGACTCTCTTAGCGAGCCCCGAGGGTGAAGACGCGGCCTTTAGAGTGAGTGAAATGCCGGCGGAGCACGGAGGCACGGAGGGGTACCACGCGAGCCACACGCGAGTTCCCCGACGTACCCAGCAGGGTCGTACGTCGAGGGAGAAAATTACGGAAGTAAGCACACGTCATCGTGCGCGTCCATTGTCCAAGAGCGGGCGGCCTTCTCGTCGAGGCGGTTCGAGCACAGGAGGTCGCCGACAGCCCCTGATCGAGTCTTTGGCTCGGGAATGATGCGGGACCCAGTGGACGTTGTGAAGTTGGTTATTGAAAGCTCTGTAAATGCGGCTTGCTGTAACGCATACGGAAATGAGCTCGATCGGGGCAGTACTCACTGGTATTTCCATGGGATGTCACCGATGAATGATTCCAGTACTCGCGGGATTGATGCATGTGCAAGTACTGGGAGTTTGAACGTCGGTCGCGGGCTGATAATGTGGGTTGTCATAGCGCCTGCGGAAAAGATGCTTCAGGATCAGCGTCGGTGGGATGGTGCCTGGTGGTGCTCTTTAACAAGACCTTTTGTTTCCTTGCTTGATCCATATGCACCTGAGGGTGTTTGAACGTCGGTCGAGGCTGACAATTAATGCGGGTTGCTAGTGTATGCACCTGAGGGTGTTTGAACGTCGATCAAAGGCTGGCGATGCGGGTTGCTAGTACTCATAAAGGTTTCGGAGATGAAGCTCCAGGACAGGCAATGGTGTTGCTCACTGGTTTAGCGCTCTAAACGTCTACATCTGTCGGCGATAATGCTCAAACCGTTTGAGTCCATCTTGAGTTCGTCTTGCTTCTCGGATTGATTGAAGTGCGCTGTTCTCTTTAGAGCCTCTGTCAAGGATTCCGCACGCGAAAACATGCTAAACGAAGCGCGTGCGTAGAGTTGAGCACCGGCTTGCAATGAGAAACGGCGAAATTGCATACTGGACCCCCGATGGCTGAGCCCTAGCGCCCACGCAAACTACCGGACCGACTCTCCTAAATAATTCTCGCACGCTCATCGAGACTCGACCAGGGATGAGTCAATGAACGACAACGCCGACGATCCTATGTAGGGTCGGGAGTCGTACGATAAGCGAAATCGGCGTGCCTTGACAAAATTAAAATAATCTCCGATATGTAGCCTCGGAGAGCCATGACGAACCTGACGTAGTTGCACCGGAAGCACTACCTACATCCCAGCTCGAAATGTTCGCAGGCCCGACGTAGGGTTTGATGCGCTTTACCAGAGTTTGAGTCTAAGAACGTGTCGAGAATGGTGAGAACTCCAGGTGGCGCGCGCGCATCTGGAGTTGTGCGCGGCATGTGCGACGTCCACCGGGAGAGGGGAATATTGGGGAACCGAGAACAAGACCTGAAAATAAAGAGACTCGTTGCATGTGGTGGGCGCTGAGGTGGTCGAGCAAAAAGCCCCGATGGGAGACGCAAGCTTGTGCTCTTGGTCCGGGAGTGTCAAGAGCCGGTGCGGAAAATCTGAGAAATCGGTTTCGAGCCGAGGACATGTTAGTCGTGCATTATTAGAGTAGGATGAAGACAATAGCAGGAGGACCCGGGGAGTCGAGAGAGGCGGTGATCCCGATACAGTTGAGCAGAGTTGCTCATGAATGGCGGTGCTTCACGCATTGCCTCAGTCCAGATGGTGGAGGCGCGCGTTTCTGTGGGTGCCAGAGCGTCCGTTAGAGGCAAGGCCGCCTACAAGCATACAGTAGCTCTTTAAAAAAAAAAATAGGGGGATAACTAAAGGACTAGGATCATCCGAGGAGCACCCCCCGTTCTATTCGAGAGGCTGTTCAGCTGTGCTGCGCTCAGCATCGTTGTCAACAAGAGCTTCAGGAGAACGAGAAACTGTAACGAACCTGTAAATCATGGACATCGCACAATGCAGTAAAGCTCTGAAGATTGCCTACACACCTCTCCGCAGCATTTCCCGACGGCGAATCCCCGCGGCGTCGAGGGCACTCTTCGCCATGCTACACCATCAACAAAAGGAAACCCAGCACCTGCGCTCGTCGAACGCAGACAGATGACACCCTCGTTTCCTCGACTCAGAAGACGCGAATCTGTCAGAGTCGCGATCAAAGGCTCCACGCGTGCGCCGCCGCAGCGCCTGCTGCGAATCTTATGAGATGATCGGCACCGCTGGTCCGCCGGCATGCTAAATGGCAAATACACGACCTACTTGGGCGAGACAAGGAAACGAAAAGCAGAGTTGGAAGAGCAGAGTTTAAAGCCGGTGCTCGGCGCTTTGTCGGCGATCCGCGTTCTGATGTAGAACCAAGGTCAAGACCAAGGTAGAAGAGCACGCCCGCCGGCGGTCGTACTCGATAATCCTCCAAAATGAAATTGACCAGTTGTGCTTGTTCTCGAGACCCGGGTCCGGCTTCTGCCGTACCGAGGAAGGTCAATAAGGTGCTGTGTTCAGGAGGACAAGGAAAGCACATAACTTTCGGTGCATAGATCAAGCTCACTGAGGACCGAGCGGTACATGCGCGCGTCGACTCGAAGCAGAGATCCAAGTCCAAATCCAATTTGTCTGTGAGCTTGAATATGCAATAGGCATTAATCGCACCCACCCAGACTGGACGTAAACTCCGCGGGACGAGGTGGTGGATAGATAAGATCAAGCACCGTTTTGAATCTGTTATGCTGAGCGTGCGCATAGCCAGAACAAAGAAAGGTAATTGCGGAGAAGAGCAGCGCAGAAACGGAATCTGGAAGCCTGTTGTGCGCATGGCGAGGGCTACTCAGCTTGTGAGCGGTTGCGGATGGAGAGGAAGGGCTGTACGCGTCTGAGGGAGATGGCTGTGCGCATGTACATGGTGTTGCGTCGCCAGTGTCTAGAGCCCGATTTTACGCCCACAAGCCCGACCCGACCCCCTTCGTCTAGGAGACTATCGATAAGTGCTTAAGCGTGTGCACTCGTGGCAGATACTCGAACGGATACGCGCCGTCCGAATCGATCCGAGCTCTCGAGTGCTACATAGATACGTAAAGGAATAAAACAGGGGTAAGGGTTGCGTCACCCCCGAGCCTTTCGCAGCTGCTGCAGGGTCGCTAGCCACAGCGCGGGTTAGGCTGCTGTGGGGCATGAATGCATGACAGGGCAAGGCAGGGTGAAAGCAAGGCTGTATTGTACATAAGCTCAATGAAGCCTTTGCGGGAAGTCATTGCTCGGTTGTTCACTAGGGTCAATGAAGTCTCTTTAGAGCGATACGAATCCAATAAGGGAGATGACAGAGACCTCACCGATCGAATGCGTGGTGGATTCAGAGATTTACGAATTTGCTTTGTTGTAATGCTAAAATACCAGAAACGTGTAGCGAGCGGAACCGGGAACGTGCCACGCGCGAAGGGTTTCGATTGCGTGGTTGTGAAACCCGCCGGGATGGTAGATCCAAACGTTTGGAGAGCGTGCGTAGAGTCTAGGCATGTTCAACCCGACCGCGTGAAGTGTTAAGCCCGCGGGACGTACGTGTGGGTCCAAACGTCCCGGAAAATGTGACAGTATGGCTTAGCTATGCCAGCGCAGCACATTAATATGAAGCATAATAAAGACGGAAAGAAGCAAGAACGTTTGAAATGACAGATATCGCATCAATAGCGAGCCTGACAGGGGGAACAAGAGTTACTTAATGTCGGGAGCCGGAGACGGCGCGCGGTATTTTGCATCCGCGCCGGGTCCACCGACGACGTCAGAGTTCTGACAGTCGCTGGTCAACTTCAATCTGAGACAATACAATCATGGACAAAACGTGGTGACCCGCCGACATTATACCGCGCACAAGTGCCTCTGTGAATATTTGAGCAAGACAAAGCAGTGGTGGTGGTTCACGGTGCATGCGTGCAGACGTCGGTGATGCCGCAGGACCCGACGCTGGCCGGTCGGACGCGTTAGTGGCTTTGTGTGACTGGGCCCGAGCGCCGAGGAGGCAGATTAGGATCATACGGGATGTGTGAGGGCGATCATGGGGCGCGACGATGCCGTGCTCGCCGGAGGCAGGGTGTCAGAACTCGGAGTGAGATATAGATCTGGGTGCCGTCAGAGTTAAATTGTCGTCCCGCAGCGTAGGCACAAATGCTGACGCAGAACTGACGCAGAGCTATGTAGCGCTAGTGGGAGATGCGCCGCAAGATTATCGCAAGACTAGTTCGGTTCGCGAAGGGCGTTTCACAGGTGATAAGGGCGGTGGGTCCACTAGTCTTCCGGGGTCAAGGGGAAGCTTCTCTCGTGGTGTGGCGCAGTCGGGGTACATGATGATGTAAAGAAGGAGCGGGATGGATGTGCATCTTGATCATCTCGGTCCAGACGTTCGCGCAGGGGACTAAACTAAGCTCGGGCGAATGGATATGGTCTGTGCGTGCACTGGTGCGATGACCGGCGGAAGTAAAAAAGCGGAAGACAGTCAGGGGCGTGAGTAATGCTACTGGATTGAGGAATTATCGAACGAGGCTTTGGATTAGCGTTTGTGGTTCCCACCGTCGTCGGGGAGGCGGGGACGAATTGAGACAGGCACTATCCAGGGAGCCGATTACGAGATGGGGTCCTGGTCGCTAATCAATAGAAACCCGCTTTTTCTGCTTTCTTTGTTATTTTAATATTTGCAGCGGTGCGCTGGGACCGATCATAAAAGAAGCGAGGGCATATAAGGCATCTAGCTTGTTCTCCTCGTCCTCCTCGTCCCACCCCCACATCACTCTCCTGTGCGAATCGGCACATCACATCTCGACGACGACGGCAAAGAAAAAGGCGCCTACGAACAGGTTTCAACAGCGGCCTATCTCCATCCGTATCATCCCTTGTCAGCTCTCGTCACACCATTTCACTCAACCCTAAACGCTTTATTCCAACGCTTTTAATACCCCGACACTCACCCTCACCCGTCCATCTCCCTCCCACTACCCAAACATGTCCCTCACTCTCACTTCCATCCCCGAAGAGTTGCTCGCTCGCATACTCGCCCTTGCCGTCACCGCTCAACCCACCCTCACCCCGCGCCCAGCCTGGTCCACGCCGCCGAACCACACCCCAGGTGCACCCGTTCGGACCCGTCTCGCGCCCCTTCTTGTCAACCGCGCGTTCCTGCGCATTGCCTCCCCGGCATTCTACCGCACTGTCCTCCTCCGCACCCCACAACATGCTTCGGATGCTGCAAGGGCCCTCCAAGCTCACCCGGAGCTCCTCCCCGCCGTGCGTGCCATCATCACTGGCGGTGTCTGGACAGAAGCTGGCGCCCTCCTCTCGCTCTGCCCTCGCGTGGACACGCTCGACATCTGCCTCGACGCGGGTGTCGTTCTGCGTACCGGACCGGCTAATACCTCTGCGCCCCAGCGTGCGGAGCAGACCAGCGAAGACGACGAGGATGAAGATGCAAAGGCGTTCTGTGACGTTATCGAGGGTCTCGACCTTCGCAGTGTTATCATCCGCAAGGCCAGTTCAGCCTACCTCACGCACGCTAAGCCCAAATATGTGCTCTCGCGCCTTGCGCGCGCTGTTCTCTGTTGGAAGAACCTCGTACGTCATTCTTTTCTCCTCCGACCCCACTGTACAACGTCGCTAATCACACCACGTCTTTTTCCTTTCGCGACGATCCGCCCCTCGCCACGATGTGCATCTCATCGCTCGCCACTCATTTCCTTTAACGTAACACACGTAACAAACTCAACTTTATATCTCAACTCCACACAACATCATACAATATGCAGGAACGCGCCGATCTCTGCCTCAAGCTTTCGGGTGACGCTCCCTCGCGAGCGCTCGGAGACGCCCTTGCCCACGCACCTCGGCTGCACACCCTGCGTGCGCAGCTCCCCGCTCTCTGGAACGATGTTGTTCTCCGAGCAAGCGACGCGCCGGCCCTCGAACGCGTCGTGCTGTACACTGCTCCCGCTGGCGGCCATTTGGCGCCTGCCGACGGCGCAGTACTGGCGACGGGCATGTACATCAGCGAAGCGCGCAAGCATGCGCGGTTAGGCGCGCTTATTAAGGCTGGAACGTGCGTTGCCACTTTGTTTGTTACTCCAAAATATTTTCTCGCCAATGCTGATGCTTGGTTGTTCTTTCTTCTTCAGTTCGATGATCCGCACGCGCGCACATACGCTCGACATGTCCGGCATGGCCACCTCCCTGCCCTCGCTCGACGCGTTTGCCGCCTCCGTGGCATCTTCGTCATCCCGTTCGCTGGGTTCGTCGTCGTCGCTGCCCTCGCTCGAGGAGCTGTCCGGCCTTGGCAAGGGTCGCCCGACGCTCTCGCTTACTCCACCCGCCGGCGCGCCCGTCTGGGGAGAGCACGGTCTGCGCTCGCCAGCGACCGAACCGTCGATGTCGCCCATCGCCGAGGACGCATGGCTTTGAAGCCTGAAGCTGCGCTGGTGCTCAGGGCTTGCAGGCCCTGGGTACCCTCTGGCTTCCTCCGCGGCCGGTGGACTGTGGCCCGCGCAACCATATGATGCGAACGGGTGTTATCCCCGTCTTGCGCCATGCGTGCCCGAGCGGCCTATCACCGGCGACTTTGTACATCGATACCGATACCCATTTGACGGAGACAAAGCCACGGCTGCGGTCCCCCACGTCTCCTCTTCTTTCGCTTCGCATGCGCGAGGCTTTGTTTTCTAGCGGTTTCTCAAGGGCCTCAAAGCGAGCTTCAACGGCGCTCTAGGCTCCTGGGACGCACATACGGATACCCAACGGACATAAGCATACCCCCCATTTCCCACGCACTTCAAACGATGATCCACTCAACGGTTCTCTCTATCCCTTGCCCTTTTCACCCTTGTTTGCTCAATTTGCTTTCGTTCGCTGTCGATTGCTTGCACCCTCACCCCATCTCCCTTCATCGCTGCACGCCCTCCATCGTGTATCCGTCCGTCCATCCATCCATCCAGACTCTCGTCATCCCTCTGACTCATTACACCCTTTCATCAATATCATCAACATCACCATCGACATCACCATCGGCACTCATCAACCAATCCGCATCACCATAACCACAGCACCTCTCCCCTTCATATATCCATGCACACCACGCATACACGCACATACGATCCATCTCCATCTCCATCTCCGCGCACTCATATCTTCCTTCTTCATTCCCGCACTCGTCGCCCCGTCAATGTCATCCTCGACGCGACCCTGGCGCGGCACGGCATCGGGCTGGTCGGCCCCGCGTCTTGCGTCGCGCCGCTTCTGCACCCGCACGTCTACAGCACCTTTTTTTATTATCTCTTTATCGACGACGACTAATTTCTGGACGCTTTAATACGCCTCTTTTCTTGCCCTTTCTTGCTGTCCCCCTTTCCTCTACCTCTTCTCCCCTCTCCCCTTTTCTCGTTCTCGTTCTCGTTCTCGTTCTCCACACAATTGGGTAGCATAGCGGAATCATACAGAAAAACGAAGCGAAATTGACATTTTAAAGACGAAGATAAATGGTTTGTTACGGTATACAAGTTTTGCATTGGCTCGAGAGATACATTTCATATTTCATACTTCATACTTCATATCATACGTTATACCCGACCTGCACTGGTGTATATAATTGGCAAATGAGGAATTTTTGAATCAAGTAGTGAAGATATCGTTTGCTTGAATGGTCTGAGAGTGAGTTTCTGAACTTGAGTAAAGCATTGAGTTGGTCAACAATTGGGTGTGATCTACACGATGTAACATTGCTTCGCAGTCAGCGCCGGTTCCTCGCGTTTTTGTTGAAAGAAGAAAAACGAAAGGGACAGAGTGTCGGCTGTCGGGCAGTCGTGAGACGCCACTGTGAGTCACATCCGAGGTATGGTTGCAATGGCGGCGGCTGCATCGTACCACAATCGCACTACAATAGAGGGGAGACAATAACGAGATAGGAGCGGGTGCAAGACGCCGCCCCGCGGCGCTCTCGAGGGACACGGGCATATGCATATGCATAAAGCGCGGTGCGGCGGTGTACGTTATTATGATAATGGTGGTGGTGCGGGAACACTGACAATTGTCAGTCGGGCGCACGCAGGGTTTATTGTGCTGTGCTGTGCGCGTCGGGAAGCGGCACGCTAATTGTGTCGCGGCGGCGCGGCCTGTGAGCTTTTTTTGGTTTCTGCATTATCGTTTGTTGGCGGTGCCACCCGCAGCGCGGGCGGTGCTGGTTCACGTCATAGAGCGAGTAATGCAATGTATTTTGACAGAGTGTGGGGTCGGTAACGTGTTGCTTAAGATTGAGGTGGCGGGGAATGCAGTGTAGAGCTGGCTGGATGTTTGTTTTTGTCGCGGCGGGGAAGTCCGAGTGGTTTTGAACTCCGCGATGCAGCGCAGAGCGGTGTTCTGGCTCAGGCTGTCTTTCGCGCTCGGCTCGTTTTACTGTTCACTCGCCCCTCGGGTCGCAGGGATTGCTTTATCTAGCATCTGATATCCTTTGGATGTCAAGTTTTTTTTCTGCGAGTAACGGTGTTCTGATGCCTATACCACTGACTTGATTTGAGGACAGCTTATCTTGGATGTAGCCCGATGATGCTCGTCTGGTGCTTCACGTCGGTGTCGTTCCACTTGAGACCACAGCACTTGGTTAACGTGAAATTTGGCGAGTAACGGCACTTTGAAGTATACATCCTTACTGCATACTGCTGCTTTACTCATGCGACCGACGCGCCACGAGTCCGGCGACGGACACGCGCACGCCTGTTCTGCATTGATCATACGCACATGGTCTCTCTCTCTGGTCTTCTGATGATGCCTCTGTCCAGTCATGACCTTCGTGGTGCGCTTCTGATTCTCTCTCTCTCTTCGAGTCCCTATTTCACCTCGTGTACGTTCTCGCCGATGCTCGGGCTGAACGCGGTGTTCCAGATTGGTTGCCGGTGATCAGACTCTGTCAACGTCCAAACATCCGTATTGTTAAAGGCTTTATCATTGGTCCAACACGACACAGCTACGATATCAGATAATCAAGGGGATGTGGTCCAACGCCGTAGCGATTCTCATGATGGACCACCATCCCCGAGACTCTGTTCATTCTGAAGACCGGCCGTTGATGCACGAGATCAACGAAGATGGAAGGTGTGAGATACATTGGCGCATACAGAGCCAACTGCAGCCAAATGAAGCTCAACAGGAATGCATACTTCAATTATTCCCCACCGAGGCTCGTTCCGGTGACAGACTTTACATCGTTATTTTTCCGACGCAATGTTATCAACGCGACGCACCTGACCGTCAGCCATGCCAACGAGTAGACAACCAGCCGAAGATACACCACTTGACCTCGCTTTTGCTCAAGAGCTCATCTCCCCAGAGGTGACCAGGACTCTTCCTGTCGGCCTCACCGTAAGCCCCGTCATTTTGAAACATTTACCAGTCCTTTTGTGACCTTATTGTCCTGCGAAGATACGTCCATTATCCTCTGATGACTACAGCCGTGGTCATCTCACCGTACTCTCCGTACTCACAATGGTCAAAGACCTATGGGCTGCAGCATGGGCAGCTCAATTCCACGCGATTGGCTCCGTTCCGGACACGTATTACCCACTTGTCATTGTAGACAACACTTTGGACCGCATCCTTGCCGCTGGCACGCTCTTCGTTGAGCGCAAGTTCCGGCATGGAACCGGGTCGCGTCGGCTAGTCGCTGTCGTGACGAGTCAGCAGCGCAATCGTCTTGGACTGAGAGTAGCCCAGGCTCTCGTTCACATCAGCGGAAAAGCTGGATGCTACAAGACGGTCGGAAATTGCGTCGATGCTAATATCCGTGAGTAATCAGATGGTGGCTTCTAGTTTCTTTCGGGGAATTATGATTGATACCAAGATCAACAGAATTTTATGAGAAGGTTGGGGGCGTTTTGTCGGAACTTCCCCGAGGACCATTCTAATGGATCCGCTTTCCCATCACTAAAAATTAATTTGCAATCTGATCAGAATGGCCATTGCCATGGAGCTTGCGCGATGATAGAGTGACGCTCGGGATGACTAAGTCGAGGCATACATTTCCACGCATATCAACCAAACCGAGGCCATTGAAATTCGTTGCAGTCGGGCCGAGCCCATGGGAATGATAGCCGAGGTCCATCCCTAAGAAGCCGGCGGGACATCAGAGTGGCATAGCTATGGCTGCCTTCCCCATTTAGTATACGCTAATGACATGGCAATCCATTGCAATCCGACTTGTCCACCGCGGATCCATTCATATCTCTGTGGCTGGGTGGAGTGCTCTGAAGTGCTACTAGCGCGTGGTATTCGACAAGGATAGGTGAGCCATCAAGCCACGTTCATACATCTCATCGATTTTGATCATCAGGGCGATAGAAATCTTCGCCCTTTACCCACCAGCTATTACCCGCGCGGCGGTTGACGGGCTTCAAGCTTGAAGCTTGAAGCTTGACTTCTCCCCAAACCTTCTCGTTTCCCGTGGACGAACCTCAAACCGGCAACATCCCTTTCGACCTCGACCTCTAACTACGCGACCAGGATGCCCCCAGAACGCCCCATCAAACAAATCCACCAGCATGCAAGTCGGCAAGCCGACAAGGAGCGCCTCGGGTGCAAGTACTGTTCGAAGACGTTTGCGCCGACAGCGAAAGGAGCTCGCAAGACTCATATGAAGAGCTGTCGACGCGAGCGAGAGGTGGAGAAGGGGGACGAGATTTACCAAAGATGGCAGGCGAAGGTGGAGCGCAAAGGTGCGTCGTGAAATTCGTTTGTTTCCATTATCGTCGATGAACACTCCTTGCTCTTGCTAGCACTCAAACGAGCTGATGGCGAGTTGCACGCGATGGCTCAGCTCACTTCCGGCTTTTGTGCCAGCATTTTCTCCGGCCCTTTCGATGGTAAGTCCTTATCGGTGGATCACGACTCACTACTTGATGTGAGATTTAGAGGAGGAGTCCGGCCCCGACGTATATGCACAATATGTGATAGAAGTAGCAAGATCCAACATGGACTACCAACCACTCGCCGAACCTCCCCTCGCTGCACATTCCCTCGAAGCCGACCTCCCCGAGAGTCAGCTTTTCGATGATCAGGTACTCGCGCCGGATGAACCCCTCGATTGTCAGTCTTTCGAGGATCGCCCGGATGACTGGTCTGCGGACGCAGATCTGCGGATGCGTATGTATCTTCTCATATGTTATCATATCGTTGACTTTATACTCTTTTTGACTTGTTTGATAGGCTCCGATTCTCTAACGAGTTCAAGTACGCGCTCGTCCGCAGAGTCCATGCGAAGCTCAGGACGTGTATCGCCGACTCCCACCTCAGTCAACTTCTCTTCGACTCGCTCGCGCGGCAACCCAATGGAATTCAAAACCGAGTACCAGCCGAAAAGCAGGCGAGCTGAGGCTACACATCACGATTCCTACGAAACCTTCCGCTCCCAGTCCAGTATGCCTGAGGTGAAGCAAGACGATACGCCTTGGTTTCCGTTCCGATCGCGGGGCGACAGCGAGCTCGCTTCGATCGCCGTCGATTCAAATCTGTCAGACTCTCTCGTCAACCGACTTCTCTCGCTCCTCAAGGACGTAGCGACGAAGAAGAAGAACGTCACGTTCGCAAATGCGGAGGATCTACGAAAGAGTTGCGATGAGGCAGCGAAAGAGTTCACCCCTGTAAGTGTTGTTACCGTGTCATGAATACGATTTGCCGTGTACACTAGTTACATATCTTTGTTGTATATTAGTTCCAGGAATATCCAATCCACCTCGAGCATAAAAAAGACGACATCGAACTGAAGTTTATGGCGCGCGACATGTGGAAATGGAGCCTCAATCTCCTGAGTAACGAGCAGCTAGCACCCCACTTCGTATGGGACGCTCAACGTGTATACAAGCATAATGGAGATTTAGGCCCCGAGAGCAAGTACGTGAGGTTCATTGATGAACCTTGGACGGCGGATAGGTGGTGGGACGTACAGGTAAGCTTAGTAGCTGTTATTTACTTATGCAGTAGTGCTTGATCTTCAACATAAACAGGATTCATTGCCTCAGTATAACGATGCCCCGTCTGCCCCGCTCGCTTTCGTTTTCTACGCCGACAAAACCAGGCTATCTAGCGCGGGTAACGTACAAGGCTACCCGATCGTGGCCCGATGTGCTAACCTTCCTGTCGACATCCAAAACGGGCGAGGAGTCGGAGGCGGTCGTGTTGTGGGGTGGTTACCATTCGTAGGGCATTTATTTGCTAACAGTTTTCCTGACCGTGACTAAACTACACAAACCAGCTTCCAGAGGACCCAGAAAAAGAAAAGACCCTCAGTTATACGACGCTGAAACGTGTCGTATGGCACGAGTCCGTCGCGTGTATGTTTTCTGGGGCAAAACACGCGTCTCAGGAGGGGTTCTACTTCTCGAAGTGTTACGATGGTATCGCCCGGTGGCTATTCCTAGTGATATTAATTCTTTCAGCAGATTATGAAGAACAGTATGCCAAACATTCTTTTTTTTTTCTGTCTGATTATATGACATTGTCTATGCCATATTCTAGATGTATGATGGCTTTGATTCGCGGGGCGATGGGTAATTACCCTTGCCCGGTGTGCTTAGTACCCTCTGAATGCCAAAGCCACTGGGCCGAGTCTTATCCTCGGCGCTCTGCGAAGCGCGCCCAGTCTCTTTACAATGACCTGAAGTCGTCGGATCGTGCTAAAAAGAAGGCGGCGAAGGTCGAGCTCGAGAAGGAGAGCTGGAGGCCTGTCAAGGTATGGAATAGAACTGGTGTACCACCTTCCTCTTCACTAACACTGTATGTGCAGAGCGCCTTCTGGATGCTCCGCGACTCTGATCCGACCGACGCAGTGACGGTTGATCACCTCCACGCCTTCCATCACGGCTTATACGGCAAGCACATCCACCTGGAACTGATCAAAATCCTCGAGAGCATGGAGAAGAGTCGTGAATATCGTGGCAAGCTCGATCGACAGTAAGCCCACTACACGTCCTCAAAAAAACTCTTCGAACTCACAAATCCCTCAGGTTCTCCCAGCTTCCAAGCTGGCGAGGTCTCGCGCACTTCAACTGGGTCACCACCGTGTCGTTCAGCGACGGAAATAAATTTAGAGATATCTCTCGGGTGAGTGAGCTCGTCATGCATCACTTCATGTCAGAGAACTTAGAAGCGATTAAGCAAATGCTTTTCGCAGCTTATAATATTGTCACGCAATCTGAATCGCCTGAGTTCTACAAGCTGCTGTGTCTACTTAGCTCCTACCTTGAGATTGACTCGTATTTTGGACTCAGGGTACTGACAGACGAGATGCTAGATGCCCTAGACCGGGAGGTTGAAAGGTATGGCAGGCTCTTGGAAGTAAGTATAAATTTCTATCGGATTAATCGCAGTGCTAACTCTTATGAAATCTCGCAGGAATACATCGAAGTCGCAAAGGCAGCACGGCCACGAATACCAGACATCAAAATTAATTGGGATTTCCCCAAGAACCACGCCGTCATCAAGCACGCTGTCGAGGACCTTCGTCGGAAGGGTGCCAGCTGCAATGGAACAACGAGAGTCAATGAAGGCGTACACCCGCCCTTCAAGCATTCATATCTACTCAGATCCAATGGAAAGAAGGTCCCTGAACAGGTATAGACTATTTACTGTGTCTAGTAGATCCCGTGCTAACATCATTTATCATGTTTATCAGCTCCTCAGAGTCGAAGATCATCGACTCGCTGTTTCTTTGGTTGAGGACCGAGTTATAGCTCAAGAAAGGCGGGCGATGGATGTCAGCGACCATCACGATGATTCGCTGGGTCCGGCATTTCAAGGTCATGTCTATGTCGGGTCGATGTGCCGAGCGATAACTGTCAAGGAGCTCGAGAGCTCACGCCGCGCTTCTGATCGCGCTTTCATCAACTTTCGCCGATCTCTCAAGACTTACATCAACGATGTCTGCCTTCCGGATCGCGAATACGTCGGCCAGCCTCTCAAAGTTCGTGACACCTTCATGGTATGTTCTTCCGAAGCCCCGTTGCACGCGCGGATGTGTCAATATGATCAAAAACCCTCACTTATTATTTTGTACACTAGGTTCAGGAACATCGTTATATGAAGGTGAATTACGAGTCCCATGAGAACTGGAAGGTCTCTACGGACCTTCTTCGATGCACTCCTAGCTTCTACGACAGACCGAGGTACGATTGCGCTATTGCGCACTTGGACGAAGACCCGGACGTATATGGTATCGTTCGTTTAATCTTGATCTTCAAGTTCACCATCCCCGAGCTTGGCGCAAAGAGCCTACCATTCTTTGCAGCCCTCGTGCAGCCATACACCGCCTCGCTGACACTAGGTTCCCGTACTCGACGCTTGGACACTGATCTCGGCCTCCTTCGAGTCAAGGCTCAACCACGCTCGGACTCTATCGTCATCCCCATCGACTCTATCATTCGAGGGGCTGTTTTATCGCAGGACTTTCGTCGACCAGACGAATACTTCGTGAACGACTACGTTGACGGGGATATGTTCCTTCGGATGAAGGACCCCAAGTGGATTGGGCAGCAGTAGGCCGCTAGATTAGATGGTATGTCCACTTTCCGAATATTTACCGGCCTCCGATTGACTGGTTTCTGCTCCCTTTACCACATCTCGTCCTATGATTCCACGCATGCTCATCGGTTCTCTCTTGTCTCTCGGCCCGCATGCACGCTCGTCACCCATTGGCATTCATCTACGGAACTCTATCTGTACCCGGCCCGACTCCATGCACCCTCTACTAGCTCAACTCTCTCGCAATGACCTGCTATCAGGTCGACCGTTTCCCCCACCCGTCCCTCCGCTCAGCCAACCCGATTCTCGTCTCTGCTGTTTCTTTCTCTCGGAAGGCACGTACTCAGCCAACCCGATTCTCGTCTCTGCTGTTTCTTTCTCTAGGAAGGCACATACTCACCCATCCACATACGCTCGGGCTTGCTGGCAACCATACTATGCTTCACTTCCATCCATCACCACTCGATCTCCTTCCCACAATGCCTACCTCCTCACTCCTGCCTCCTCCATATATTCATCTACGCTATCTCTTCTCCTTCGCGCCCGTCATCCTCGGCCTCGCCCTGCACCCCATACATGCTCACGAAGCTGTGGGCAGTGCTTCTTCTCCCTCGCGCGCTTCCACCATTTATCACCCCCTGTACCCCCTAACAGCAAACGACCACATGCTCGTTCATTACTCTTCAGCAATCTGCATCGTGTACAGATCTTGGAGCACCTCTGGCTGTGCACGCCCTGACTGACTCCCCCCCTCTCACCTTCTCCGCAACCACGCCCACCATTTTGGCTCTGCCTCACCAGATCCGTGAGGAAACAGCAGGCGTCAAGGCCGTGTAGCATTGCCTCAGGTGAGTACCTTCCTGGCATCATTCGGACGGCCATTTTTCGTTGGATTTGATTCATCTCTGACCTTCCCTCAGCGTGCGTGTCCTTTTCATACACACGGCGAGCACGGCAACACCCTCGAAAAAACATGTAAGACGTCCACACATGCATTGTGAGTTTGTTATTTTTGTTATCTTCCCATCGATCGTGTAGCACGGTCACTCATCACCTTGTGTACGGTGGAAATAGGCTCAACTTCATTCACCGTGACACCGGAGGTTGATGGTACACATGGTAAGGGCTCGTTCTAGCTGCACGTGTTCTGCGTGCATTCTTACCTCATCTGAAACTCGTGCACGCTCAGCCTCGTTGTTTATTTAAACGGTACATCTCCCCTCATCGACGTCTCCCCAACGCCATGGCACCTTCAGAAACTGAAGACTTCAAGGAGCAGATGCACGACATCGAGTCCAGCTCCGAGTCGTCGAGCAGCGAGGACGACGATGAGGCCAATGGCGATGGCGACGTCGCTGACGCACGGAGGCTCGAGACAAACGAGGAGGCGAGGATCTATGTCGAGATCATGGCCGTGAACCCTGAGACGGCGGCTACGCCCGAACTACGCAAGGTCAGTATGTTCTTTCTTTGTCTCGTTTGTTGCTCAGTCGATGTATAAACTAACTTGTCGTTGATTTATTCAGGCCTTCAAGTGGGCGCAGAACGAGTTCGTCAAGGCTCGCGACCAAAGCCTCGAGTATTGCTGCCGCATCCAGGAGCTGGAGGAGCAGATCGCCGAGCTGTCCAAGCCGAGGAAGCGATCTGGCAACACCTTGGAGGTGAAAATTGCGGCCATTGGTCGCCAGTTCTGCTATCTCTTTCGCCCTGTCGTCCCAAACTATCTCTTCCCACTCCGAGGCGTTGAACCCCTCGATCCTCGCCATCCGATGAGGTACGATAAGCCCGAGTTTATGCGCCGATGTCTCGTCACCGCTTTCGTTGGATTCTTGCCGCTCGAGCTTCGCAAGGCTGTCAAGACCTATCCAAACTTTGAGCAAAAGGTAAGTAATCAACTTATATTCCGATTGATCTATATCTAACTAATATTCTCAGTTTTTACAAGGTGCCAGGTCGGAGATCGGCCTGTTCGTCAATACCATCAAGACTATCTACCCGCATACATACGCCGGTCTCGGCATCAGCGCTCACGGGCTCGCAAAGGCCGAGAACCTCTGTCGCGATCCGACCGTCCTCTGGCTCCTAGAGGACCCTTTTGCGCCCGAGAAGGATGGCTCCGACGGCGATTCCGCTGACAAGCCTGGGAATGAGGAGGAGGAGGAGGAGGAGGAGTCTGAATCTGAGTCCATCCCGACCTTCCCAAGGATCCTTTATCAAGACCCGTATACTCCCACTTGAGTTCACGCAGATGTGGGTGTCCGCGCTGATAGCGCTATAGTGCGTTTTTCGCACGTCTTATATATTGGTTTGTACTATAGGAGTACTGTAGTACTCCTTTACTTGTAGTTTAGCTTGTGTTATTTCTAATATATGTGTTCTCTATCCCCGGGGCTTGGCCCGGGGCTTATGATCTGTCTGCTGGCCTTCCCGAAGGTCAGCCTGTTTATTCTCGTGTTTTTCCCGTCGGTACGTGATCTTTCCGACGCTCGTCCGCGTCTCTCGTGTTCGTTTTGTTCGTCTCGGCGTCGGCCGATTACTCACACGCGTTTACGCGATTTCTCATTCTCAATACTCCCCCGCAAACCTTAGTCCATACCGAGACCTTTGACGTGTTCTTTGTGTCTCGGTTTGGGAAGAGGTTTGGTTAATATGTCTGCTGTCATTTTATCTGTAGGACAGTATCTAGTTTCTATTTCATTATTTGCTATTTTTTCTCGAATAAAATGATGTCTGATTTGAAAGTGCTTTGTTCTTTCGTGAAATTCGGGGTTTTCAGTCAATGCAAGTGCCGATTTATTATCCCCATATATTCTCGTAGGCTTTTTCTGTTTATATCCTAGCTCTTCTAATAAGGTTCTCATCCACACGGCTTCTCGGGCTGTGAACGACATAGTAATATATTCGGCTTCTGTAGTAGATAGTGCAATAGCATTTTGCTTTTTTGATCTCCAAGTGACCGCGCCACCAGCCAACTTAAAAATATATCCGGAAACGGATAATCTATCCGTTCCGTTTGCATAATCTGAGTCTGAGAATGCATGCGGCTTGACTGTATTATCAGCGTCGAAGCTTATCTCATCTGTATATCCTTGTAGGTCCGTTTCTTTTTCTTGTTTATATGTTATGCCTAATTCTTTTGTACCGGATAAATATCTTAATACACGCTTTGCTGCTGCCCAATGTGTGAGATCTGGGTCGGCAGTAAACGTGCCTAATCTATTTACAGCAAAGGCTATATCTGGTCTGGTTGCGCACGCGGCATACATCAGTGAGCCTATTAGTGACGCATAATTATTGCTCCGGTTATTTTCTCCGGGCGGTTCTTTTGGGCTTAGCTTTGTTTTTGTTTCCATAGGCGTAGCGACTTTATCAGCGTCGTCTAGCCCCCATTTCTTTAGAATCGATTCAATATATTTGGTTTGGGTTAATTTAAGCGTGCCCTTTTCTTTAATCTGAGTTATCTCAATTCCGACAATTTTGCTCGGGTCGCCGAGGTCGGTTAGCTCGAAAACCGAGCTAAGTTCGTTCTTTAGTTTGGCCATTCTATCTTTTGTTTTTGTAAATAATAGTAGATCATCTACCCATACTGTGATAATTTCACAAGTCTTATCTGTTTTTCTAATGTATACACATGAATCTGATTTCAATCGAGTGAAACCTTTCTTTTCTAATCTTTGGTCTAATTCATAGTTCCATTCTCGGCCTGACTGCTTCAAGCCATACAAAGTTTTTATTAATCTACAGACACGGTTTGTGCTGTCTTCATAGCCAAGTGGCTGTTTCATATATACTTCTTCTTTTAGTTTTCCGTTTAAATAGGCGCCTTTAACGTCCATTTGTTGTATTTCCCAGTTTTCTTGTACTGCAATAGATAGTATAATTCTGAGAGTTTCTAGCCTTACTACAGGCGAAAATGTATTTGTGAAATCTATTCCGGGAATCTGTGAGAAGCCTTTGGCCACTAATCGTGCCTTATACTTCTTTAGATCTCCTTCTTTTCCATATTTTCGTATGAATACCCATTTATTTCCTATAGGCTTCCGGCCCGGTGGACACGGTTCTTTATGCCATGTGCCATATTCATCTAATTGTCCTAATTCTGCTTCTATCGCCTTTTCCCATTCGGGCCAAAAAGGACTTTTCTTTGCTTCTTCTAACGTTTTTGGGTCTTTATCTGTTACATTTGACTCGCTAAATGCCATATATAGATATTCTTGGAGCGAGTATTTATCTTCTTCGAGTTCTTCTACAAACTCTGTAAGTTCTGGGAGTTCTTCTCCCTCGTGTAATTTATTATAATCATGTACTATTTTCGGTCTTTTACTCTTTCTGGGTTCTTGTGTTTCCATATAAGGCATTTTTCTTTTATTACTCTGTGTGTTTGGTTCTTTATTAGAGTTTTCTGGGATTTCTGACTGTGCAGGCGCGTCTTGCATAGGCGTGGGAATAAACTCCCCCGCGCGACGCGCGTCGTCCGTTTTAGGAAACTTGTAGTTTCTCGAAACTCTTATTGCTCTTGAGTGAGCGTCGAAATACCTAACGGCTTTTGGGCCATCTTCGTATCCCATAAATAGATGTTTCTTAGCACGTGGCTGTAGTTTAGAATTGCCTGGTTTCTCGTCTAAAATATATAAGGGAGTGCCGAACTCCTCAAAATGTGTTATATCTGGTTTATTATTTGACCACTTCTCGATTGGGGTGGCTGTGCCATTTAAGGCACGTGTATATGATCTGTTTCGTAAATAAGTCGCGTGCAATGAGGCTTGCGACCACAAAATTTTCGGTAAGTCGCGAGCCAATAGAATTGCGCGAACTGCTTCTATTATTGTTCTGTTAAAGCGCTCGGCTACACCGTTTTGTGCGTGTGCATAGGGTGCTGTTACCTCTAAGGAAATACCCCTGTCTGCACACCAGGTTTTCAAAGGTTCATTTATGTATTCTTTTCCGTTATCTGATCGGATTTTCTTTACTTTGTAGTTATATTGTCTTTCTATAAATGTTATATAGTTTTTTATTTCTCGGGCTGCCTCGCTTTTTAGCTTGAGGGGAATGACTTGTGTACATCTACTGCAGTCGTCTATAATTGACATCAGGTACTTGTGCCCGTTTATAGAAGCAACACGTGCTGGGCCCCACAGATCGGTGTGGATTCTTTCTCCAGGCACGGATGAACGATTCTTTGCCTCTTTAGGAAATGGTGCGCGCGTCATTTTCGCTTTTTCACACGCATCACATTCAAAATTGTCTGGACTCGGTAAAACGCGTAGTCCGTCTACCATTCTATTTTTATTAAGTTTCTTGAGTGCGTGTATACCTATGTGGCCATATCTTTTATGCCACTCGTACCATGTGCGCGCTTCGCTTTCTTTGCCTATTTGGGCGTTTTCTTCATTTACTAGAGGTTTACAGTAGAAATAATATAATTTCTGTCTAAGAACCCCAATGGCAAGTGTCTGGTCATTGGAATCGAGTAAATGAACTCTGTTGTTACTATAAATGGCTTTGCCGCCGGCTTTATCAAGTCTAGACACTGATATTAAGTTTTTCGAAGCGGAGGGCATATGTAGCACATCATTTAATGTCAGGATCTTCTCTTTTCCATTTACGGACACTCTCAGGCACACTGTGCCTTTTCCAGGGACTTCTATTCCCGGTCCGCTGATCCCGTTTACTCTCATATCTTTTAAGGTTTGATAATCTTTAAATGCATGTTTATCTGCGCATATATGGGAAGTTGTTCCCGAATCGCTCACCCAGTAATAGAAGCAAGTAGTGTATTGAGAGGACTCGGCCATCTCGACATCATCATCTGATGTAGGTACAGAAGTTGTATTTACTTCATAGTCCTCGGCAATCTGAATGTCCTCGGAAGTATGCGCTTCTTCACGCTTCCTCTTCTTTCCACTATTTCCGGCGGAAGTTTCCTTTTCTTTCCCCTTTAGGGAAATCTTCCGGCCGGCCCAATCGTCGGGGTACCCGTACTTCGCGAAGCACTTCCCCTTATGGGGGTGGTTACAGTATTTACACAGCAACGCGTTTTTAGCAGTGCACGTGTTGTACCAGTGTGAATTGACTTTGCAGTGGCTACAGTACGGTCTTTCCTTTTTAGACTTGCCATTCTGAGTGCGCTTCTTTTTCGCGGGACGTTCTTCTTCGTCATCGCTATCTTCGTCGTCGGAAATCACCTTTTTCCCACGGCGAATCCATTCCTTCCATATGGCGGAAGTAAGATCGGTTGTAGATCTGCTGATCTTCTGTCCGGTGCCATCGGAAGCGCCATAGAAGCCTGAGGCCCAGGCATCCCACGAGCGTGGGAGTGTGGCGAGAATGATTTGTTGGAAATTCTTCTCGTCAATGATCTGGCCACCAGATGCCGATGCATACTGGTCTCGCATGTTCTCTAGCTGCCCGATATGATCTTGCATATTTGTCTTGTTCCCGGCACGCTTTGTAATCATCTCGCGATAGATATCAATCGCGTGCTGGGTCGACTTGACCTCGAAGCTGGCTCTGAGTGTATCTAAGATCTCGGATGAGGTAAGCTGCCTCTGTGTCTCGGGATCTTTGTCTCTAAGGTACGGTAGGAATTCATCAGAAATAGAACTATTAATGATGTACTTGGCGGTATTGTCCCGCATTTCCCACAGAACCCTGTCTCGATCGGTTTGGCAAAGGTAGGTCGCGCAGTTTACAAGCAGGCGGGGCTCATAACCACTTGAGTTCACGCAGATGTGGGTGTCCGCGCTGATAGCGCTATAGTGCGTTTTTCGCACGTCTTATATATTGGTTTGTACTATAGGAGTACTGTAGTACTCCTTTACTTGTAGTTTAGCTTGTGTTATTTCTAATATATGTGTTCTCTATCCCCGGGGCTTGGCCCGGGGCTTATGATCTGTCTGCTGGCCTTCCCGAAGGTCAGCCTGTTTATTCTCGTGTTTTTCCCGTCGGTACGTGATCTTTCCGACGCTCGTCCGCGTCTCTCGTGTTCGTTTTGTTCGTCTCGGCGTCGGCCGATTACTCACACGCGTTTACGCGATTTCTCGTTCTCAATACTCCCATTGGTGACGAGCTTTTCCGGCAGGAGGCGCTGATCACGGTGAGTTAACACGCTTATATTCAGAGGACTTGTTTCATTGTAATATCGCAGGCAGCTCGGGGCATCTTGTATGGCCCGTCTTCGTTAAGTGGCCGCGGGGGCTCGGGCGGCCCCAAGCCGAAGGCACAGCTGTGGGGTCTGAAGTCTGTAACTCCCGGATTCATTGCTGCCATTATTGTTTTCGTGCGTACATCATAATTAACTATCTACTTGATTTGATTTGCTAACTAACATCATTGGCAGGTTTTGCATCGCCTTACCCCAGACGGAGAGTGGCATTCTCCAGGCAAAGTCACGCACGTCAACTGGGAAGCTCGATTCGACACGTATCTACTGATTTTGCATAGGAATTTCGAGTGGACCGATAAGCTTATCGCCTACTGGAACGAGAGGCTCTTTCCGTCTGCATCCGGCTCCACAAAGAAGCGTTCGGCCCCCAAGGACCCTCTCGCTCATGCGAAGTCCCTTTTCGATAAGATCCAGGCTCGATCCGTGTCGTCTGACGCTGGTGATGCCGATGCCCAGCCAGCTCCTCAAGCCCAACCGTCCGATGCCCTCCAGATCGAGACACAGATCGGCCAGATGACGATCTCGGGCACGAACATCGCGATTGCGCCGGCTTCGTCTGTCACGCGCGTAGCGTCTGCTCGCGCTGCTGCTTCATCGTCTACTCCGCAGCCCTTGAGCTCGGCTTCAGCGGTTCCCCACGAGACGCCCCGTGAGCCGGTTGCAGCCCCCATGGCTGTAGCTGATCCCCTCGCCACCAAACCGGCGCGCAAGACCCGCGCGAAGGCGAAGGAACCTCAGGCCCAACAGCAGGCGCCAGAGGAGACTCAGCCTGCCGAACCGAAGAGGGCGAAGCGTACGAAGCGTACTTAGTGGCCGGTCGACTTAGGTTTATTGACGCTCTTATTACTTTTGTCGTATACTCAGTGCAGTTGTTATCATCATTAGTATTATATAATCTACGTGCGTTCTCGCGAGAAATTGGCCTTATCTGTGTGACTTTCCGTGATTACTAGCGTGATTATGAATGGTACTACTCTGTAACAAGTACTGAAGGCTATTCCTAAATTATCCCTATATAGGGAGCTACATGTCCAAGGTAATAAAAGACATTGTAACATAGCGGGAACTATGCTTAGAACTACTTTCATTTGTAATACTTAAATACTTAAGAGGTCTTCAGTTCGAATCCAGGTAAAGTCACTAAATAATAAGCGAACAAGTTAGGTACAGTAGTAAGACTAGTAACATAATAATATCAGCTACCGAGTGTACTAATAGGATCAACTGATAAAACATTAGTAAAGTTAAACCGATTGCGATAGTAGACGGTGCAATTGCCTTTTTGGAATAATACCTCCGGTCTTAGCAATTCATTGGAATGATGCGTTCCTGAGCGGCACTCGCGGTCATAGTCATGTGATTGGAACTGGTCTAGTGCCTTTCCAATCCATTGCTATGGTCACTCGCGTGGCATCATTCCAATGATACGTCCCTCCCATTGCCGTGCAATAGCTATGATTGGTTCGGTTGATTATAGTCCGACCCTTGCCGATCGAAAACCATTCTAATGAAAAGTGCCTTTGATTTCGATGCGTTGACATGCTCGGGAGCATTGGAATGCTCCGCAGTGCTTACTGATGGTCGTGAGAAAGTTCCGACATTGTATAGGGAGGCAGATGGTCAAATATCACGGTAAACGATGCATCCGCAAGTCGGCCTTTCTTTTATCCCCGGCAAACTCACTTAATCGCTTGTCTAACCTCTCCCTCAGGTCACCCTCGTACGATTCAGCGCCCACTGCACTAGAATAATCTCAGACAGCGCCAGCATGATTAACCCGCACTGTATCGCACCGCATCCAACAACTTGAACAACATGCTCGCTGGGTGGCAGCTCTGCATACACATCACGGGACTACCGGCGGTCAGTCGTAGCGCGGGCAGCGTGCAGTGTATTGCGATGGTGGAATACATACTATGGGTATATATGCACACAAACAAGAAGAAGGAGTACAGTACTAGTGTAACGAGCTAACGCTACCGACGCAGAGTCATACAATGTACTCGCAAAAAATACGGTCGGGGATGGGGAGGTGGAGGGTGGAGGAGGGTGGAGGGTGGAGGAGGGTGGAGGGTGGAGGAGGGTGGAGGGTGGAGGAGTCGTAGACAATCATAAGGTGGTCGTAACCAAACAATAAAGCAAGTAGGGTAAGATTGAGAGTACAGCAATTACTGTAGTGGACAACGCGAAGAGGAAGTCTACGTCAATCCTTGGAGTCTACCGAACCAGAAAACAAGAAGTGAAAATCACACAAGAAATTAAACAAGAGATCCTACAGTCGCCGAAAAAAAAGGAAGAAAAGCCAGCGAAGCAAGCATCACGGTGTTACCTCACTCCTGCTCAATCCGACCCAGCCGCTGCCCATGCTCGTGCAGCGCCCGCCCGTCCATCGCCGCCGTCGCGCGCTTGCCCACGCTCGCACTGCGTGTCCTCCCCCCGCCCGACGCCGTCAAGCCTGCACTCGGAAATCCGCTCTTGCTTGAAAAGCCCGCGCTGGGCAGTCCCGCGCTGGGCGGCCCGTGCATGTATCCCGCAGCCTCCTGCTCATCGTCGTAGATGCGCTCGGGGGTGCGAGCACCGGCGTCGATGACGAGCGGCGAGGGCGCGTATGCGGCGGAGATGGACTGTGCGGGGGAGTGCAGTGTGCGCTCGGACGCTGTCGTGGCAGACGCGGAGGACGAGGGAATGGTGGATGTGCGGCGCCTCGATTTCGACGCGCCGGACGAGGATTTGTCTTTGGATTTCTTCGTGGGTGTGGATGAAGTGAGAGTGGGCATTGTCGTGCTGGGGTAGGCGGAGGCGGAGGGGGGGCCGGCGCTAAGCAGCCTTTGCGGGGCTTGCTGCTGGGAATGGGGGTGGAGGTTTAGAGTGAACGGCGCGGATGCGGGGAGCGACATGCGTCGGGGGTTCGATGAGCCTCCGGACGCGGAGGTGCGTGAGTTGGAGTTGGAGTCTGAGCCGCCCCATGCGGCCACCGAGCTGCGCTTCTTGCGCGTGTAGAGCTCGCCGCCGAGGTCGGCGTCGTCCGAGCCGCTGCCTTCGTCGAGGGCTGCGTTGGCTGCGCCGAGCTGTTGCTGATGGACGAACGTCTGACGATCGTGCGATAGGTTCGCGCTGGGCGGCTCGTAGTAAGACGTGTCCTCGGGATACGGTACCGTGCCCTCTTGGAACCCCTCGAACTCGCCTGCCCCTTGCTCCAGTTCCTGAGGACCACCGCCGAGGGCCTGCAACGCCGCATCGCGCTCGCGCTCCTTGCGCTCCTTCCTCCGCGCCTTCCTCTCCGCCTTCGCCCGCACCCTCTCCTCCTCTTCCTCCGCCATCCTTCTTTCCTCCTCGACCTGTTCCTGCGTCTTCTGCGGCTGCGGCGACGTCAGCCGCTGAATCGCCGCCGCATCTAGCGGAGCCGCGTCGCTGTCGAGCGTCGACGAGGACGCAGTGGCCGAGACAACGACAGGGCGGCCACTAGGCACGAGATCGTCGTCGTCGTCGCTGAGGTAGATCGGCTGCCGGCCGAACGTGTATCCGAAGAGCGTGAGCGAGAACTTGGGCGCCTTCTTCTGCTTTTTCGATCGCCGGCGGCGCCGGCGGGAGGAGGGGTTGGCGGAGTGGAGGGAGAGGGCTTCGCCGTCGCTGTCGACGTCGCTTGTTGGGTCTGCGAGGAGGTGGGCGAGGTCGGTGCGGCTCGTGTTGGTGCTGGGTGTGCCGCTGCCTTCGCCGTTGGATGGGCTGTTGGATGTTGCTGAAAAGCAGGGGAGACACGGGGCGATGGCTGCGCGGACGCTGTCTGACCAGGAAAAGTTGTCCATGAGCGCGTCTGTAGTTGTCGAGAAGCTGTTTTGCTGGCTATTGGTCTGAGGGAGAGCTGGTTGCAGGTGGAAATCGAGAAAATGGGTATAGGGGGTGGTAGTGAGCGGCCTGCGCTTGAGCAAGGCACGCTGGTAGGGGCAGGGCTTTGTACAGAGAGTGAGTTGGCAATGCAGCGAGACCAAACTATAGCGGGGAGAGCAAAACAGGCGGTGCAAAGATGGGCTGATGGGAGCTTATGTTGAGACAAGCATAATCATGTGGTTGTCGATCCGGCTATGAACCAGCCATGCCATTCGTCTATTCCCGCCCCTCGCTGCCTGAAACACGCCTCCTGAGACCAGAACTTCATTCATTTTCTCATTCTGACCTCGCTATTTCAGTGCTGCAGGAAAGTCGGAGCTGTATAATGGTGTCAAGGCTCCGAGTTTATGTCAACGTTTCGGAGCGGCTGCTGTGTTTCCGTTCCTGATGGCGCCGCCACTGTCTGAGGCTGGGGCGTTTCTTCCTCCTCCTCCATCTCGATAACAATATCGATGTCCCATCCCTTCTCATTCCGTGCAGCACGCAGTTCCATTCCGCTACTCATTCTGTCAGAGGGTACACTTCTCTGACTAACTCTAGCACCACCCACCGTCACCCGCGCCATGTCTTACACTCACAACCTACCAGAACGTAGTGGCGACTTCGACGCGACAACGCCCTTGACCAACGCCTCCTTCTAGATTTCGCCCAGGCATCTCGACAGCACGTTTGACGTAGAACCTTCCTCCATGCTGTTGTGGATATCAGCGGGACCACCTCTCAACTCGGCGCACGATCGCCTCCCGGCTTAGCATGCGATCCATCGTGCTTGGCACCACCTTCGTCATCCACTCGAGGTCTCAAATCTCTGGAAGAGTCGCGACCATACGGATAACCACCAGTAAGCCCTCTTAATACAACTCTCGTCACGACTCTAACCATCCATCACTTAACCCTCGATAGCGTCATGTACTACCTCAAACTCATCGGCATCAAAGCCATCCGCGCCCTGCTCCCCATCGCACTCCTCTTCGAGGAGGGTCTGCCCAACCGGCCCAAGCCAGACCACACACTCCACATCCCTTCATCCGATCGCAAACGTGGAAGCATCCGCGTTGATGTCTACCTGCCCTCTCTACATGTACCAGACCACGACCACACCGAAAGCGAGCACCAAGCCTCACAACCCCTCAAGGACTCGCGTACAACCGACTCGGGAAACACCACCCCTCCGACGTCGCCGGCACGGCTGCCCATCGTTCTCAATCTGCATGGTTCAGGATTCTGCCTTCCCGTGATAGGCCAGGATGCGGTGTTCTGCCGGCAAGTAGCCGACTCGGTGCACGCTGTCGTGCTCGACGTCGACTACGCGCATGCGCCCGAATTTCCGTACCCCGCCGCTCTGGATGACATCGACACGGTTCTGGAATGGTTGCGGGACACCACCGCGGGGAGGATGCCTGAGGGCAGTGGGAAGGACAGCAGCGATGGAGATGCTGGTGTGGATGCAAAGGGCTGGGACGTGGAAAGGCTGGCGGTCACAGGCTTCAGCGCAGGCGGGAATCTCGCACTGACGGCGTGCGTCCGCGCGTTCGAGAGAGGGCAAAAGGACCCGTTCAAGGCTGTCGTTGCGTTCTACCCTTCGTGAGTACTTCTTCGCCTCTTCTCCCCACATCGCCGCCGTACCCTACCCCGATTGTAAACTCTTCTACTAACTAATCTCACCGCACCTCAGCACAAACCTCGCTGAACCAGCCTCCTCCAAACCTTCCCCGAAAATCGCATCAGGCGCCTCAGGCGGCACCATCCCTCCGCTCATCCGTCGCTTCTTCTACGCGTGCTACCTCCCCTCCTCATGTCCCTTACCGCGCACCACACCCACCATCTCGCCTCTCTACGCTGACCCGCACGCATTTCCACGTTCAACAACAATAATCACGTGCGGTGCCGACGCGCTCGCGCGGGAGGGGAGGCAGCTCGTCGAGAAGCTGCAGAGCGCTGCGAGCGAGGATCCGGGGCTAGGGCTCGATGTGGTCGGGTGGGAGGCGGCAGGGCAGGGCCATTCGTGGGATAAGTCGACGAAGGAGGGGACGGATCCGCGTAGGATGAAGGTGGAGGCGTATGAGTTGGCGGTGAGGAGGCTGAGGGAGGCGCTTTGGCCTGCTTAAGAATAATTGGCCGAGAGTGGGCGGAGGTTTGTCCGTCGAAGAGAGTTTGTCTAGATTGAGCGGGTGAACCGCTTCCATGTCGTGGTAGTAGATTACTATTGAGCTGACGGCGCCGACGCTGCAGTACGGCCTCTACACTCACACAGGCAGCCAACCCTTGAGCTACAATTTACATCTGTGTGCCCCGGTGTCACCACTTTGGTAGTCACTTCAAGTGAGGTGCATATACCAGTGCTCTCACATCATTTCTGTGAAAATGTCAGAAAAACCGTACCAAATCTCAGACTGAATTTATGTTGTTGACACCAATATTTGCAATAGGAAACTAGTGTACACCATAATTGATGCCAAACTACAGCTATAAACCTACAATATCATTGCATCTACTTATGAAACTAATGATATACTTCAAAGCATTCTGCTGTACATACAAGAAAAGATAAAATTCCAGGCAATGAAATGTAGTGTATACTCACAAATGAATCATACAGAATCCTCCAAGGCTGCCTTCTCTGCCTCCCATTCAGCTAGAAGATCAGGTGCTCCATGTGGGTCCAAACCAACTTTTGCATACAGCACACATGTTTCCCTCATAAGGTCAATGGCCTTGTCAAGAGAACCCTGCATATACCAGGTATAGGCCAGGTTGTGCATTGTTGTCAAGGTATGAGGATGCTCAGGACCCAGAATCCTCTTTCTTGCCTCCAACACTTGTGTCTGCAGCTCTTCTGCTTCCCTCAGGTTGCCCAGCTGACAGAGTGTAGATGCCAGGGTATCCATGGCTCTCAAGGTATGAGGATGCTCAGGACCCAGAATCCTCTTTCTTGCCTCCAACACTTGTGTCTGCAGCTCTTCTGCTTCCCTCAGGTTGTCCAGCTGATAAAGTATAGATGCCAGATTATGCATGCATGACAAGGTATCAAGATGCTCAGGACCCTGGACCCTCTTGAATACCTCCAATGCTTGTGTCTCCAGCTTTTCTGCTTCCCTCAGGTTGCCCAGCTGAAGGAGTGTTAATGCCAGATCATGCACAGTTGCCAAGGTATCAGGATGCTCAGGACCCAGAATCCTCTTTTTTGCCTCCAAAACCTGTGTCTGCAGTTCTTCTGCTTCTCTCAGGTTGCCTAGCTGATGGAGTGCTAAGGCCAGATTATGCATAGCTAACAAGGTGTCAGAATGCTCAGGACCCAGAATCCTTTTTCTTGCCTCCAACACTTGTGTCTGCAGCTTTACTGCTTCTTTCACTTTGCCCATTTTCCATAGTCCAAATGCCAAATTGTGCATGGCTAATAAAGTATCATGATGTTCTGTACTATCTTGATTCAAGTTACTTTGATAGATTACATCTCTCAAGACAAGTTGACCCTTCCAACTTTCAAAGGCTTGATAAGCTCGAGTCCAGATGTTTTCTATGCTGACAGGTATGTCTCCCCAAAGAACATATTTGATGTGTGTGTACAACAGTTTTCTAACAGTAAAGTCTTGCTCCAAAAGCTTTGAGGGCATTGCCATTGCAAGAACCTGCTGGATTTCAGACATGTACTGGGCCTTATGCATTGCCTTTTCAGATGCCCATTGGTGAATGAGAGGGTGGATGCTGTATGTCCCATTTGTAGAAGACATCAATGAAAAATGAAGGACCTCTTGAGCAATAGCATTGAACTTCAATGAATCCCATTCCTGATTCTCATCTGCAAACATTTGCAGCACAGTAATTGTATCCTTGTTGTCCCAGCCTTGAGCATTGAAAGCTGACTCAAACAGCCACTCTGTGATATCACTGTGATACAAGAATCCACAGTACTTGAGAAAGGTTTGGGCATCAGAGCTCAACTTTGAGAAGCTGAGCTCCCAAGTAGCATATGCACCAAGTGGATAGTCATGTGGCCATTGTTTTGGCAAGTCCTTCAGCAATTTGGCTTTGTGCTTTTCAAGCAGGTCTATATATTTGGTCATACTGCATCTGGTTGATGAAATATAAGCCCCTGCTTGAGCCATTGCCAAAGCAAAACATCCCAATTTCTGTGTCATGTGGGTCAGCTGTAGCACTCACTATATGAGTGAGCTACTTACCTTAACAAGTTGCAGCACCATGTCCTCGTTTTCAGAAGTATTGCTCACTTTATACAAGAAAATGATGGCATCCTCTTGTGTCATCCCAGTAACTTCTGCTGAAGCGCCACCCCCAACACCATGTGAGGTGCAAGCAGAATTTCTTGTGGTGACAACAACATTCCCATGTGTGCTGACAGGAATGTAGTCCCTCAAATTCAGAGAGGGATCATCTGCATTATCCAGCAGCACCAGCCAGTTTGTGGGGTTACCCTTGAACCATGCCAAAGCATCACTAAAGTTCTTTCCAGATCCTTTCAGAGTGGCTATAGCTGCATAATCAGCCTTCAAGGACTGCTCTGAAGTAGCATCAACCATAAATACTTCTGAGAACCTGGATAGAAAAATTAGCATTTGCCCCACATGCAGATCTAATATACTCACTGTGGTTCACTCTGCTGTTGACCATCATGGATAAACCTGAGAGCAATCTGAGTTTTTCCTGCTCCACCAGGTCCATGAAGCACAAATATATGCTGCTGAGTAGCACCATCAATCCTGGTGGAGAAATATGTTCTCATCTGACTCAGAACATCATCTCTGCCAGTGAAAGTAGCAGAAGGAGGTGACACTAGTTTGGCCACTCCAACCTGGTCCTTTACTGCAGCAACAGGTACATGATCCACTGCAGACATCTGCACCTGCCCTTCACCACTGCATAGCACCTTGAGACACAAATCCACCCTCGAGTCAACCTCCACCATCTGCAGGTACTGGGTGGTATGGGCATTCACTGCCCTCTGCATATTCCATGCATCCCAGGACACACCCTGCATCCCCTGCACAATACTGAACCGGAAATACATCTGCGGGTAATTGACGAGGAGGGCATGCACCTCCCCTGCCACTCTCTCACAGTCAACAGCAATGTCATGAATAACACCCTGAACATCTGATGATGTAACACCAATGGTCTTGGCATGACCAGTGCCCACACTAACAATGACACTGAGGTCACGTTGGGCATACAACGATGCAGCCTCATGAATAAGAACACGGCAGGGGTTGTTCAAGCCCAACCCCACATCAATATATTCACGCTCGACAGGTCCATCAGCAATGGTGATGGACTTGAAATGCCCAGGATGGGCAGTGGCAGCACGCGCGGCCTCCCATATCATGCAGTTGGGGCTCGCATTGCGTCCGACAGCGTACGTACGAAGAAGAGCTGGCACGCCAGCATTCATGTTCTCTGCAAGACGGGCACACACGAACCTGTAGCAGAGTCAGCCTCGACAACGAGAGGAGTGAGGAGCGAGCATACACTTTGCAAGCAGCGTCGTCCTCGAACATGCGGGCGTCTTTGTCGCCACCCAGGCAGCCGCCGACAAGGTTGCGGAAGACCGCGACGAGCTCGGTGGCCTTGAAGAGCTCACCACTGATTGGGTTGTGCTTGCGTCCGTCAACATAGACACGTTGGATGAACTTGTCGTATGCCCTGATGGCATCGTCGGCCGACATACGGAGGCGGCCGAGCATAAGCGCGATGATCCTGCAGCGTAAGGAGGTGTTAGCAACATGAAGTAATTGGCAACGACGATGGCAGGCGGCAGTGGATGTGGAGCGCAGTTGGTGGTGATGATATGTAGATGACTGATCAACGATCGCGAGGTGACGAGTAAAGGTAGTGACAAGCAACGATGACGGCGATAGGAATAGGATAAGGGAAATCAATGGCCATGGTGGTGACGAGTAAAGGCGATGACAAGCAACGATGACGACGATGGGAATAGGATAATGTAGATCAACGACCACGGTGGTGACGAGTAAAATGAAAAGACAAGCAACGATGACGACGATGGAGATATCATAAGGGATATCAACGGCCATGGTAGTGACGAGTAAAAGGCCATTAATGATAAGCAACGGTGACGGCGATGGGAATAGCATAAGGGAGGTCAACGATCACGGGGATGACGAGTAAAGGTAATGGTAAGCAACGATGACAGCGATAGGAATAGAATAAGGTAGATCAACGACCGCGGTAGTGATGAGTAAAAGGCGATAGCAAGCAACGATGACGGCGATGGGAAGAGGATAAGGGAGAACAACGACCAAGGAGGTAACGGGTAAAGGCAGTGGCAAGCGACGATGGCGGCGATGGGCATAGGAGAAGGTCAACACTTACCCGCCAGTACCCGTGCCACCGATCATGTCGAAGTACTCGTGAGGCGCCGGCGTGAAGGGAAGGTCCTCCTTGGATTCGATGCGCTGCATCATCTCCCGGATGATAAGGAGGGCAGACCTCCCGCGGACGCCGCCGCCGTCTAAGGTGGGCAGGGTTCATGGAGGATAAGCGCCAGCGATGACGGAGGATGACGATGATACGCACCGATGGACAAGAGTCTGAGAGGTTTCGTTTCGTTTTCTGGCATACTGAATCGATAGAGTTGAAGTACGATGGGTTTTCGAAAGAGCAAGTAGCGAGTTTGAGAGAGGTCTCTGAAATGCGCACTGGTGGGTGAGCGAAGGAAAGAGGGAAAGAGCTTTCGTTCTCACGTCGCAGCCTTATAACTCACCTTAGGCGTCTGTTTGACAATTATGGCACGGCCTATCATCGTTGCGCGTTAACGTTGAACACGAGGATACAACGTAGGAGGGTCTGATGATCATCCGCCGCGTTGCATTAGGAAATGGGCGTCTGGTCTATTCATCGAAGCTCGTCCACGCGTCCCAGGGCAGGTCCAGGTGCCGTGGTGGACGATTGTATCGGTGAAGCGTCGAGCTTCATGCTTGTCCAGAGTATGATTGCGTACCCGGGCTGGTGTCGAGACGAGCAAGGCAAGAAGGTTGTATCGAGAGCGCGACGGGTAAGTCGCGTCGGAGATAGAAACACCAACACAGCTCTACCCAGCCAAAAGTATCTCCTTTCACGTCCATCTGAGGGAAAGTAGGAGAACTCGTTCTAATTCAACATCAAACCAAAGTCTATGTGCTACTATCGTTCGCCTACACCTAAATCCTATGACTGCACGGGCTTAATCAACAACGGCAACTGCGCCCCACCTTCCTTGTCCGACTTCAGCATCGGCCGTCTCACGATGAACATCTGCACACCGACGTCCTCCACTGGCGTCGCCAGCTCAAACTCGAACGCCTTCACCAGCGAGAACAGAAGTGCTTTCATCCTGTCGCACGCACAACTCTATCAGCACCACCGTAGCGATCCGAGAAAAAGACCAAAGACTCACTCGAACAGCGAAAACCTGTACCCAATACACGAATGCATCCCACCCGTAAACGTCATCTGATTCCCCCACAGCCCCGGCAACCCGTTCTTCTGCGGCGCCGCCGCCCCGCCCTCAAGCCACCTGTCCGGGTTAAAGCTCGTCGCATCGGGACCCCACACCTCCTCGGTCGTGTTCATCGCATAGATGGGGATAATGATCGAGTCCTCCTTATTCAGACGCAGCTCGCGGTGCACCCGCCCACGCCCGTCCGTGTAGGGGTGCGCGAGTGGGATCACGTCGTCCCGCGGGGCTTTGCGCGCCGCGAAGGGAATGGGCGAGTGCAGCCGGAGCGCTTCGCGCGCGACTGCGTCGAGGTAGGGCAGGGAGGACTCCGCGAGCTCGTCCATTGTTGGTGTGTCTGTGCCGAGTGTCCTGAGCTCCTCACGGAGCCGGGTCTGGACGGCTGGGTTCTGGGCGAGGGAGAAGAGCGTCCATGATGTAGATGTGCTCGTCGTTTCGTGTCCGGCGAGCAAGAATGTGGGAATTTCTGTAGAATTATTTCTGTTGTCAGAAAACGGCTTCTTGAAGAGCGAATAATAGAGACTCACGGGCCAAAACGTCGTTATCGCACATCTTATTTGCTCCCTCTGCCATATTCGCCTTCACGAGCAGACTCAGCAGATCTCGCGCACGCGATTTCACCCCTGACCGCTGCTCTTCGATGGCAGCTGCCTTGGCCTCTGTTAGGAGCTCCCTTCCGATACGCCCCATCGTGTCTAGTGCACGCTGCTCTCCCCGTCCCCGTTCGGTTGGCTGACGCACCACCATTATGAGTATGCGCCTTATATTCGTCAGGAAAAGAGGGATCACTCACAATCCAGTCGATGAACGGAAGGAACAGACCGAGAAATAGCTTTGTCGGGTTCTCATCGGCGCGGAACAGGTAGTTGAACGCATCGTTGAGCTCGTTGGGCCCAGAATTCGGCTTGAGCGCGTTGAAGTGGTAGTTGAACCCTACGCCAAGCAGCGTTAGTATTAGCATGATCGGAACAGACCAGCATGAACGACAGTATGGACGTACCCGCGAGCCCAATAACATCGAGCGTCATTTTGACGAGCCACGCAACAACGTTAATGCGTTTTGAGGGAGCGTCGCCAATTTGGTCAAGCCACGCATCGCGCAGCTGTGGGCAAGTACGGTCAAGCTGAGACTACATTGGTCAACGTGATAACCACATACGCTGTTCGCCTTCTCCACGAAGATATGGGTGAGATCGCGCAGCTGTATGGGGCCGAACGCCGGGTTCTGTTGGACTTATGCGTAAGACAGGAGAACGCAGAGAGAGGAAGAGTCCCGAACGCACCATGACTTTACGCTGTATTTTGTGACCCTCGCCTTCTACATTGAAAAGTCCTAAGAGAGCTAATCTTAGCACTCAGCTTCTCAAGGGCGACTAAGGACTCACCATGACCAGGAGCCATGACACGCGCTAGCTGAAGGCGGGCTTCATCCGATCTCGGGTATGTCGCGAGAATGTGGGCTATTGCCTTCGCGTCCGTGGTGAAAAGACGCTTTCCCTGTAATATTGTAAGAACATCTACTGGTCAGACAACTGAACATCATGTAGGGGAACGGTGACTCACCCCAAGAATATAGTTCACCACGAACGTCTGACCACTAACCACCGCATATACGCATCAGCGCACCACAAAAGCCATCATCCCGCAAAACGAACGTACTGTTCCCGAACCCACTCCTTCTGCACCTCAAGCGTATCCTATACGCATACACACACCGTCAATCGCAATCCAACACGTATACATCCACCTCAAAACCTCACCGGCCCCGTCAACTCGACAAAGTTCCCCGCGAGCCAACTCGGGTTCTTCAGCCGAGGCAGCCCGCCGAAGCAGAAGAAATGGCGATAGAGGAAGTACGAGGCCTTGACGAGCTGGTACGACGCGAGCGCGCCGCCGGTGACGACGAGGACCTTGCGCGACACGCTCGTGTGCTGTCCGCCGAGCAGAGTGTCGATGCGCTCGGAGAGCGCGCTGGCTGAGTCGGCTAGAGTGTCCAGTGACAATGGTAACGGGAGGGAGGACATGGTGGCAGCGCGATGGCAGCAGAGGAGGAGGGAATGCTCGGCGGGGCGAGTGTCATGATGGGCGATATATCACCAGGTGAATTCTGCGGGAGTCGAGGCGACATGCGCACCAGCTGCTGACAATGTAACAGGGGTGTAACAGGGAGAGGCTATCGTGCTCCCACGCGTGACGCGCCGAATCTCGAGATCAATCTCCAGTTGTCTACCGCGTCTCTGCTAGCGTCACCAGATATCATTCGGACCGCACTATCTCGTTACCACTTGGTTTCCCACATAACGACGACGGCGAAGTATCATGCATATGATTTGTCGCCCTCCAGGGGTCAAAATATAGGAAATGGACGAGAACTCTAGCCAATGTTGTATCATCTACAGGTATAACTTAGAACAGGTAAGTAGTGCTGAAATATTACTCCAGTTGCGTATGCGGGATAATGCGAAATAATGGTCATCAAATCCAACGAGCTCAGAGACGAGCGGCGGGAGGCGACGTAGAGGGTTCTTGCGGCTGCTGTGCACCTTCCGTATACCTGACCATCTGCCTCCCCGCACGATGGCAGCCAAACTTCAAGTAAAACGCTACCACCATTTTCAGCCAACACATCCCATGCAAAAAGCAAGTCCCATTGAGCCACTCACGCATATTCGCATCCGTACAGTTCCCCACCGTCTTATACACCCCCATCCGCCCCCCAATATACATAAGCGCCTGACACAGCAACAGCCCCAGATACCTCCCCTGCTTCGTCCTATCCACCGCAATATCCTCCGGATGCGCGCGCGAGCCGAGCCCGCGGCTGAACGTGCGCTCGACGTAGAGCGTGCCCGACGCGACGATCCGGTCCGCTTTCTTGTCGACGATCACGAGCGGGAAGTACGTGTCCGCGCACGCGCGCATCTCGAGAAAGTGGGCGGTCCATGCGGCTGCGCCTGGGTCCGCGGCTTTGGTGAGCACGCGCAGGACGTCGAGGTGGCCGCGCTTGTAGTCGTCCGAGGCTAGTGGGCGGATCTGCGGGTGCTGGTGGTTAGGCTTGGAGAGAGAGAGGAGAAGGTGAAAGGGGCGCACGGCGAGCTCGGGAGGCAGCATTTGGACGACCTCGGGATCGACGAGGTCCTGCGAGAACATAAGGTCCAGAGGAGCAGCAGAGGACGACTCTATGCTTGCGGACATGTCTGAGACTCGGGCCTGGCCTGCTACGGCGATTTTGAGGAAATAAAACGAGACGGTTGACTGTCGTTCACCGCGAGCACGTCGGCGAGCAAAGGAGCGAGGAGAGAGCCCTTATGTCACTAAGCAATCAGCCTTGACCACACGCGCGAGCGCCATCTCTGCCTTTGTTATATAAACTCGACGCGATGACCTGGCACGCCCATCCGCACGCGTCCCTTGATGCAGTGATTGCACTTGCACATTGCACGATCACAGATGATCATCAGCTCTCGAATGCTCCAAATCGGAGAGGGGGAAAGCGCACTTTGCGCGGACGCGGTCATCTCCACGAGAATGAAACCGCACACACCGTGACCGCTGTCACAGCCCGCGCTCCCATACTAATCGTTTCAGAGCTGAGATTGCGCCGCAGCCGTCGTCGCCGTCGAGGGGCTTGAAGGGCTTGTCCATCTTCACAATTAGCTAGTCTCGCGTCTTTTCGACGTGGCGTTGGCGTTGTTAGCATGTGCATACAGACAGGTGCAGATGTGAGTGTGTGTCCACCGTCGCTCGCGGCATAGGAGCCGTACAAGCCGTTCGGAACGGTCTGATAAGCTTTGGCCGCAAACTTCGGACAGATCGCATCACGGATTTGCAGCCCTCGAAACCGTCAGGAACGCAGCAGCGACGGATAGTTCGAGCGGAAGAAAACAGCTGAGAATAGTGCGAGATGACAGATCCAGACGTGCCCTATCAGATGTCAGAAACCAGAGCAGAACGTCAGCATACATTGATGATTGGAGCAAACCCTGGAAACTCTCGTGAACACGCACTCTGGTGGTGCGGCCGCCTCAAGGAGAGATACAATCGTGCACTCGATAATGAATGTGTGCCTAGTTTTCCCAAACAAGAGGTAGATGACACGAGAGCAAGTGGAACAACAGGTGAAAGAAACAACGAAAGAGGCAAGACGCGCGCGTTGGCAACGCCCGAGTTTGCACTACACAGCCACCCAACCATCCGGAGAATAATCGGCACTTTCTCCCCTCTCGAATCTTGTTGTCAAACCTCCCGAGTTCGAAGCACTAGAAAATTATTCCAATACAATTTGCCAATTTAGTTAAAATACCATGGCCGAGTAGTTTGAATAATCTTTGCATACCTGTCCGAAAATTATCCGATCCAGGCACCGAGTTTTATTTAAAAGAAAGTTTGTGAAAGTATGCTGATGATTCTGTGACGGGTGACAGCAGATATTTAAAATACAATCTGGTATAGCAGCCGAGTCATGAACCGGACTGGGCTGTCAAAGGTGGCTCAGTATCTGAGCCGATTGCGGATTTTTGACAGCCCAGAAAGGCTATTAGCCAATAAAAATATGAGAAAAGAAAAATACAAACAATTTTCATTAGGCAGCAAACCATTAATCAAACGCCTGTCAAACGCCTGTCAAACGCCCGGCAAACGCCATTCAAACGCCCGGCAAACACCATTCAAACGCCCGTCAAACGCCT